GGACGTCTCTGGCTGCATCCTGCTGTCACTGATTACTAGTGGCTCCCTGATTGGTGGGACGGGCCCCCGTTGCCCTGTGACCTGGGCAGCATGTGCGGCGGCGTGGGAAGCAGCGGAGGCCGGGGTTTGGTGATGCGGAGCCGTCACATCTGGGGGCTCACTCAATGTCGGTAATTAGTGCGTGACAGTGGGTGGGCAGCGCTGTTGTCGGTGTGCACGAAGGATGGAGGGAGGGAGGGACTGCCACTGGGGCTGCCTTACGAACGGTTTACTGATGTGAAGTGGGTGTGGCCCTGAAGCCATCCTAGCTGACGTATCTTGCTTGAACGTCGGGAATCAATTGTAAAAAGCAGCGTTACAATGGAGGGAGACCTTCCAGCACTCGCTTGCATGGCAGGTGGAGATATCACCCAAAAAGCACATCTGGCTCGCAAGCATCATTGGATTGCATGGTGGGGGCTTCTATACGACCAAGCCGCTATGCCCGCTCGCTGGTTTCGAAGCTTTGTCAACTGTCTGATCGTCGTACAAAGGTGACAGACAATGTGCATGAAGCCTGCGGCGCCCCCACAAGCAATCAGGAAACGTCGGCCATCCATGGAACCTGCCCATACGTGGTGCCCTCATGCCAGTCTGCGCGCAGTGGCTGTGACCCAGCGTGCGAAACCTTGGTAATGGCTTTGCGGATATCCATGAAGGGAATGCCGCATGGACAGTACAACAGGAAGCACCCCTGATGATCAAGCTGACGTCTGGCGAATGTTGTGCGGAGCATCGACTGACAAAGGTTGGTTACTCAGCGCCGACGCGACGCTCAAGCCCCAAGTGACCTACAGAAGTCCCAATAGTGCGCCTCCGTCGGCTAGGTTATAGGGCACGCACGGAACAGATCCCGTGCGTGGCCACAAGGATCCATGGACTGTGTTGAGACTCCCACATGGACCTGGATGTCAAAAGTGGATCTCGCTCTTGCCGACTCTTGTCATGTTGACGCCAGAGCGAGGGCCCCCAGCCGCATGAGCGGTCATTACTCCGTGCTGATGGTTTACGTGTGCAGTCGACACTCATATTGCCCAGGCGACCCAAAGCGCAGACCTTGTAATTATGTCAACGACGTTTCAGTCAGCACTGTAATCGTGGTGCCTTCGGTATTGTTTCCGACTATGGCAGGCGGGCCAGCACTAAGACACGGCTCGAACCGCCCCGCGCTGGGCATGCATGACCTGGCTAGCAGGCAGCATGTGGGCACCCTCCACACAGTTGTACCGAGCGTGGCCCAAAGTCGACATTGTGCAAGCAAAGTCGGCTGACCGTCTGTGCGCATTGAATGGGGACATTCTGTGTGACCATGGAGGGCACCCTCAGACGTCATGGCATGCACAGCGAGTGTGATGACTGACTGATGGCCTCATACAGCCACATTCCCTACGGCTTTGCGCTGGAGGCCGAATCCCAGCGGGGACAGGTACACCCCGGCCTGGCAGGAGAGCGTGGACGTGTCGACATCCACAGCGGTCCCAGCTTTCCGCCAGCTCGACAACGGCTCATCATACTGCAGAGGGTCCTGTGTACAGACTACGACTGTTGATATTTGGCCGAGTCAGTGCCAGCTAGTGCCACATCATGGAGGTCGTCCCAGGACTGGGCTGCGAGGTTCTCATGCCATTCTGAGTCGCTTGCTCCCGCCATGCGGCGCAGCGCACTTCTGGGCGTGGAAAGCCAAGGCCGTCTCCGTAAGTGGCGTGGTGCCAGCCGGACAAAGCGATACCTGTGCGTCGAGACTGACTAGCTGGCTCGTACCAGAGTCTGATCAGGGTCTGAGACTGGACTAGTCATGCGGCGTCGCGCACGCGGCTGCATGCATTCCACGATAAAAAATGGATGAGCACAGCATGGCGGTGTTGCCACAGGTTGGGAAGACGGCGGGCACTCCGATCTGGGCAGAAGCCGGCTCTCAGATGCTGCTGGGCAGAGCGGCGGTGTGTGATGCTCTCGGCCACGACAACACGAACAGCGGGTGTCGCTTTGCACGAGTCGGTGAAGCAAGAGGAGGAACAAGTCTAGTCGGGTGTGGGTGGGTGGGTAAGGGGGGGGGGGAACAAAGTGGCAGTCTTCTGGAAGCGGCGTCGAAGATTCTCAGGCCCCTGCAGTTGCAGGTGCACGACACCCGCCCACCACACACAAGGAGCCAGCTCCGCCCCTTCCCTGTTGTTATTGGTCTTGGGACGGTATGGCCACCCGCCCACCCACACCCAAACACCACCAGGCGTCCTGGAGAGAGAGCTTCGGTAGTCCAAGCCATGGCTCGCATAGAGGTCTCAGCTCGGACGCCGGCCAGCCCAAGGTACGCCTGTCCATTGTCGTTATTAGGTATTGCTGCTGCTCTGTGGCGAGTCAGCACCCTGCGCGGCCGCCGTCTTGTGTGTGCCTGCTCATCTGCCGTACTGCGTAGGCGAGGGTCCGCGCGCCCAAGGCCCTGCGGGCGGGCAGCTGCATCCCTGGCGATCCATCTCCCACGTGCGCCCGTCGTTTCTGCTGCACGCGCGCGCATGCCGGACCAGATCATGCACGACACCACAGTCCTTAGCACCGCCGTCATATTATCGCTCCCAGCGCTGTGCCGGCCCTGCCTACTTACGTACGGCGATCCACGTCATGCCTTGGCTCCGGCATCGTCATGGGGGCGCCTGTCGTTGTCCCACCACGCAAGAAACTGATACCGGCACAGCGTCGCAGGTGCCAGGAAAGCAAGCAGTGGCCAGCATCATGGCCAGGGTCGGCACTCCGCCGGACTGGAACGGCATGCCCGAGTCCAGCGGTGCAGTAGCCGACGGCCCCTCTTCATCGAAAAACCCTTGCTTCGGGGATCAATAGCTGGCCGCTTCAGGACGTTGCCCTCACTCGACCGACATTTGTCCCTTAGCCGGCCCGCCAGGGTGTCGGCGCCATGCAAAACATCCTCAGCCACTGGCCGGCACTTCGCTGCTTCTTCTCAGACATTGCGGCGGCATGGGGAGATGCGTGCTTGATGACGCGAACGATGCACCATGCCGCCAAAGCACATGGCTCCAGAGCAGCATTGACACCGAGCAAGAGATGGAACCTCTCATGCCACCCCTACGTAACAGTCAAACAATTATCATCAGCGAGCGCATTGTCCGTCCTAGTGGCTAGTCGCAAAGGTGGGGTCGCTAGAAAACTTCGATTACTGGGTCGGCAAGCCATCTCCCGGCAGGCTAGAGGGAACAATGGGTGGATGTATCTCTTTCGAGCTTCCGGAATTGCCTCGTTTCAAAAGGGGCACTCTCCTCAAGGTGCGTACGGCCCCTCAGAATCACCACTCCTGCCCATCCGGATCCTTCGGTCGGATCTTGACAACTGCGTGGTACCACACGCAGAAAGTTCGAGGGCCGGCATCACGCTCCACGGGCGCTGGCAAACGTCTGTGTGCACGACATTTCATCCAGCCTCCTCTACGTCTTCGGCGCTTGCATTGTCTCGTCTTGGAAAGCCCTGCCTTTCTGCCAAACAAGTCTGTGCCACAATGGAGTCCGACGCTAAGAACCGTGCGTACCAGCTGCTCGGTACGAGGAAGTCAGGGGTATCAGAGGAATCGACCAGGTCATGCTATCCACAGCTTCGGGGTGCCCACAGCTTGTGCTAGCTTGGGCGCAAGGAGCTTCCCACTTTGATGACTCGATGAGCGAAAGCGCGAACGCAATGACATCCAACAGGGCGACCACATCCGTTCCGGGCTAGGCCTGGTTCGATTGCACGGCAGGCATAGGCTCTTGGGCACCAAACGGCGGAGCATGGATCAGGGACCGGCCGTGGGGGGTGGCTCCTCAAAGCGTGAACGCAGCGGGCGTGGCGTGCCGCAAGTTGGCAGAAGGAGCCCTGGCGCACATCGGAGACGGGGGGCGTGGGTGTGTGCCACGAGGGGTACTTTGGCCTGGACAAGGGCTTGGGCGGGCGCTGCACCATTCCTGTCAACTGTCGTTGGATGGCAGATGGTCTGGGTGAAACCACCAGACCGCTCGTGTATCCCCACTCCCCAGGGGTTGGCGTGGCCGGGGCGTAGGAGGTGGCTTCAACCAATCTCCCTGGCCATCCAGTGGAGACCGCCAATGACTTACAATACTGGTACAGCTTAGAGCCCATGGCAGTATCCGAGTACCTGGGCGGACGCCTGCTTGCGCTTGTCCCTTCCGGCCCAGTGGGGGCTGCTTGATCGTCCTTCTAGAATTTAAACATCTGCTGCTCCCCAACCCTGCCAGCACATTGACGGAGCGGCAACACAACCTGCACAGCATACACAACCACGCACCAGCCCAACATAGGCATCATCACCACAACTACACACTTACGCCGCTACTTGATACACTGTCGTCTTTCTGACGGTTTGAAGTCTTCTGCCGAGAGAGCTTTCTACGAACAAAGACAACACCGAGTCCACAGGACCCGGCCACAAGTCACCTGCAGCAACGTGGGCTGCAACATATCCACTCGTTGCTACAGTGGACGACGTTCACGCCTCACACAACAATCACTGTTACGATGTGCAACTACATTCAGGTACGGCTCCACAACGCAGGCCTGTTGGTCGTCCTGGATCATGCCGGAGGACAGCGACTAACCCGCCGCTAGATCCAATATCATTGTGGCCACTTTCGATTCCCGGTGCAGAGGTGGTGTCACGTCTATGAGAGGACACACAAGAAATGCCAGCCCAACGTGACCTGCGCAGAGTGGAGGTAAGTCCATGCCAAATCGTCAAAGTCTCTCATCTCGAGCTTGTTGCTGACTCGTCTGCAGAGGTGATGAAGTGTGTCGTAAGTGAGCCCGAGAGAATGCTGGCCGTTCGGCTTCCCCTCATTCACGCACTTTTGCCCGAGGCCCTTCCCCTGCCCGACACGCACACACACACACACACCCCGTCACAACTTCTCATTCGTGCCGAGTTGCCCCCCGCACCACACACATGACATTCTCAACCCCCATACGTGTTGCTGCTTCATTTCCGACATTTGACTAATTTGTACGTGCACAGCCGATTGTCGCCCAGTACCCAAGCCGGCTTGGGAATGGATGATCACGCGCCCCCGGCAATCACCATATGTATGATTACAATGCATCGTCCTCGTTCGCTTCACGGGCAGCCACGTGCGATCCGTGATTCCAAGAGGGGGAAGGCACCATTTCCCACCAGCGGCACCTGCGGATGCGAATAGAAACGAAAGAAGCGCTGTTAGCAGTGCTACAGCATGGATCCTGTATGCGTGCATGCAGGACACCCTCTTCAGTCTCAGGACCGCCTCTACCAGAGGAACAATCACAGAGACCCAACCTCGACGCCTTGCCTCGTTTGCAGTGGGATAAACACAGCACCACGCACGAAGGCAGACTGCATGGCATCCACACGCAAGCAGCTACACATGTGCCCAACCATGACGCGCAAACACACCGACGAGGAGCAACAACAGATTTCCCAAGCATAAGCAACCATTGGTCAGGAAAATCTCAAAGAGCACAGATGGGCATGCAGATTCTGGATTGATGCCCGTTTTTTTTCTTTGGCGTTATTTCTTTTCCAAGGAGAGTGGATATCATCACGGAGCTGGGAGACACCTGGCGCAAGGCCCTTTGCTTCGTTTTTTTGGTCCCTCGTTGTGTCTTGCATACAGGCACAACCACACCCGGCCAGTGGTGTGGGACACATGGAAAGCGGCCGCATCTCCACAATGATCTCCCTCTTGAGTCTTTGGGGCGTTGCTGTCTGCACCACCACATTCAAGGGTGCGCAAGGCGCAAATTGCGATTGGTCACGAACTCACGGGGGCAGTATAAACCGGGTCACATCACCCATCATCATTAGCGAATCGACATTGAGCAGCATCGTCAGCCATATCATTTTTCCAAGGAGTTGCACATCTATTACTCTTCCGGCTCAGGATTTCCCGGCGGGCAACCTTGAAGAGGTTCGAAAGGAACGGCGTTCGGCTAAGGATAACTCGAGACAAATACATATTGCTTTTTCCAATCTCAGATTCTTTTGCCACCTTTTGCTCCTTGAACGTGTCGATGAGGATGGGAACTCCGCGGAGCACACTATTGTTGCCGCGTGCACACTGAACCACCATCAGCAAGGAACAGCTTCGTTCAACAGCCTCCCCTGAATTTCCCGAGACGCACAACATGAGGGTTGTGTGCATCGTCTTTGGAAGATTCCAGGTCAGGTCGTGCCTTTATCCCTCTAGTCCACCCCCATTTCACGCAGGATTGCCCGACTGGGACTGACCAAGTCTTCATTTTTTTTGTCTCGCATTTTGTTCCGCCCGTCATTTTATCTCCGATGCTGGCCAGATTGCTCGATGAGACAATCCACCAACACAGCAAAATGCCAAGCGGAGCAAGAAAGTACGGGAGGTCCCGCCCACCACGCCTAGACCATCTTCTTAAATCGCCCAGGTTCGCACGCGTCTGTATTGCCATGTGGTTCTAGAGACCAGCCCAGCAATTTGCAACATGCATGACGACACCGTCGGGGCGACAATGTCGATGGTAGATTGATTCGCCGCATGAAGAAGCCGCGCGCCCCCCCCCCCACCTAGTCAAAACCGTTAGAAGAGGGCCAGAAGAGGGCCAGAAGATGCGAAATCGGAAAAAGATCCAGCTGGCGCAGACCGATCGTCCTGTGCTGCACGCTCACGTGGGCACCCGTTTGGCGGGATTGTACATATTTCTTGTGACCGACGGCGAATTGCATGCGTCGAGGATTCGCAGGATCAGTCAGGTCAGTCAGGTCGGGTCGGCGAAGACCAAAAAGCCCCCCCCTCACCCCAACGGGGGTTCGGACTGCGGGTAGGCATGCGGCTTGACCTCAAACCTACGTAATTTGCAGGCGAACAACAAAGCACGCAAACAACCCAAGTCGACAGAAAGGGAAACCGCCTCGCCAGGGCCGGCCGGGCCATGTCCAGGTTAGCGCAGCCTCGCACAAAGCAGAGTACGCCCATAGGTTTGGAAGTTTTCCCATAAAATCCCCCAACCAAGAATGGCCATGTCTGTGCCGCTGCTCCCGCAATCAATCTTTTCCCTCTTTCTGCGTATGGTGTGGGGTTTTTGTGTATGCTCTGGGTTGGGGTGTGATTGATGCCTTTGCGTCGCCTCGCCCTGGTTTGGGCTCGGACCTTCTGCTTACTCTAAAGTGCTGACCGGTCGCGGGTTCCGAACAGTTGGTCCACCCTGCTGGCAAGAGACAGAGAGTGAAGAGAAAGAGCATGGTTGGCATATGCGCGCATCCCAGCGGGGAACCGGGGGAGCAGAGCAGGGGGGGGAAGAGATCAACAATCCATTATTGTGGGCGTGCCCTGAGGAAAATTTGCGGAAGGTTCCGACGGGGGGGGATTCTATTGGGTTTCGTTATCCTGCTGCGATCTTCGGCATGTGAGCAGCGGCGGCGCGCGCCGTGGCGGCGCTGGGATGTTGGAATGCGTTCCGCGCTTTTTCGTCATTCACGCACGCAAGGACGGACAGACAAGCAGATAGACACACGAATTTGTGTGGAGGTGGAGGTTTCTTTCTTGGTAGGCGGACGTTTGCCAAGAGGTTGGTTTTTTGGGGGCTTTGGAGGGCTCCGTGCAGCTGGTTGGGCTTCTTCTGCTTGATAAGTACCAGTGTCTGGCTGGAGGTTTCCTGTCTAAATCTGACTGGCTACTGGGAACACATGCCAGGCTATCATGGTAGTCCAAGCTACAGGGCGAAGGTGGTGATGGCGGTGATGGTGGGTGGTGCGCCTGCAGGCATGGTCAGCTGCATGTGCAATGGAGGAGAGCAGGCTGCCTGCCTGCCCACATAAGAGCAGCTGTGGTGATTCCTAATCAAGAAAGGATTCTTTGTGTCTGTTGTGTATCTGTTGTTGTCGACATCCGTGCTCTTTGTCCATTCGGATCCTCCCGAGCTCTAGATAACTGGTTGCGCACTCCACGCAACGCAGGCAGGTGATGGAGGTACTGCGAACGGAGTCGGGGGCCCTCCGAACGAACGGGGGGTTGGCGCCTGGCCCAAAACCATGCCGTCGGAAGCACGCAAGAGCAACGTTGTTGCCGATCATTTGTAGCTCTTTTCTCCAAATCTCCAATCTCCCCAGGAACCGCGTAGAGACGTATTTCGGCAACGCGGCTCCGAAGAACAAAGTGAAAGCGACAGCCCAGCGCATGCTCCCTTTAAAACCTCCGTCGTATGCGCGGACAAGGCTTCACGTCCGTCCACTACGGATATTTTTCCGGAGGAAGGAGCAGGGATCTTCTCCCCTAGCTGTCCCACACCGGTCAAGCGGTTCCTCCCTGGCAACTTGGCTGTGATTTAAGCTGCTACTGCTGACAATGCGTCTGAACTCATAGAGGTGTATCTCCTCTGGCTCCAAAGGGGATGGGTGCCTGGGGACATGAAAGTAGCACTGGTCTGCCGCACCGCCGCGCATGGATGCGAATGATTGGCATCCCCCGCATGTGCGGTGAAGAGAAGGGATCTTCTCCGGGCCCGTCTGACGGCGCCCCCTCCCCCCAGCTGATTACCTCTTCCGCGGTTGCTGGTTCGTGGAGCAAAACGTACGTCTCGTCCGCCCGCCGCCGTGGGGGGTTTGTGGCTGGACGGGCGGTCGTTGTAGGTGTCAATCAGTGATGGTGGTGGGAATCTTTATCTCTTTCGGGTTTGGACGAATCCTTCTTCTGCCCTCCTCACGCCATGTCGATGTCGCACCCTGAAGATAAGTCAAGGGTGCACTGGCGCCTGGGAGCGATGATAATAATAGTAAAAGTCCTGGCAGGGTACTTTGCAGTTTCGTGATCGTATCAGAGCGGACGAGGGAGGGGCATGGGCGAGGGCATGGAGACACTGTCGTAAAGCCAGCAAGTACTGATTGATTGCATAATCCTGCTCTTACTCAAAGGGGAGCTGGTCGTTAATTGATTGACGTCGAATAGCAGCGACACATGTCTCTGGCCTAGAACTTTTGACTACATTCCAGCTTGTCACACTGTCAATCCAAAAGTGAGACAAGGCAGGTCAAGGCGGGTAGGCGCACACCCAAATGATTTTGAAGAGTTTTGACTGGTTCCTCCGCGTGGCCATTTGTCCAAGACAAGTGCTCAGCCATCTTGCCATCCAGATTTGGCTTCCGTGGTGGTTACACAACCAGGCACCAGAGATCGGAATCGCGATTGTAGTGTCCAAGCCTTGTGCCTCGCTGCAGCCAGTTCAGATCTCGCAGCAACGAGGCGCCGGATCGTGGCGCAGTTCTTTTTACGGAAGAAAACAAAGCTCATCAGCACTTTACATGACCCAAAGAGGAAGCCTTACAGGACACAACAAAGCAAACATTTATTGATTTGTGTCTAGAAAGGTATCCAGACAAAGCAAGCCCGTGGTGGAAAAACCAGGGCGTAACGTAAGAATCGCTGGCCCAAAGTGGCGCCCGTCAACCGGGCAGCTGGGATTCCTTCGGACCGCCCCGCCCATGCATGTCTGTCAGTTGGCCAGCCTGGCTTGCGACCCCGAACTTGCTGAAAGTTCTGGCATGCAGCGTCGATCCTTGATGTTGTAGTTGCATGCATGATTCGCGAAAAGGCTTGACCCAAATCCTTGCGTCCCTTGCTGGGTAACGCACTTTGCTTTTTTGCTCAATTCTCGCTCCCTCATAGTTATGGCTGCCGAAGCCTCGGCAGGGGCACCTGTTCAGCTCCGAGCTTTGCTGGCAGGGATTCCGTGCGTAATGAGTCAATCAGAGAGAATCCTACATGCGATCAGTCCGCTGAAGTCGTAGCAAGCGTATGATTTGACGACCGTGCTTGTTTTGCCATTGGCGCACATATGGCGCAACGAAAACACCTTGGAACTAGTTTCTCCACTGTCTATCAGGGCGGTTGACCGCCTGGGACGAACCACCTGAAGTCATCCGCAGTGACCACGCGACCCGCCCTATGCGCGCCGCATCCACTTTGCTGTAAGCCACACCATGTGTATTTCACCAGGGCAAGCACAGATGCCGAAGCACGGCTTGCATGCAAATCCCTATGGGAAGGTCGAGCCGCCGGTCGAGCAATAACAACGTGGGACAAGTGGGGAGGTGGCTTTCAGCTCCCCACGCAGGCTTGCAGCTCAGCTTTTTCGATATCCCTCGCGTCGTGGGACGGGCGGGAACACGCTGCGCAGGGATCGCGAGGGAGCATGGCATGGCGGCAGCGGCTCGGAACCCCCTTTGCCACCATCTTTAGTTTCCTATCCTATCCATGCAAATGCAATAGTCTCAAAACTGCCTTGTGGATACCACTTTCTCCAGGAACCATGCAGACGGCCAGCTGGATTCAGTGTGGTAAGCGAGAGCCAAGACACCAGCTGGACCTGCTTCCCGGCGGCAGCTGACGCCTTTTAAGGTTCACACAGGCATAAGCTCAAGGCGGGTGCTTCCGCTAGTAAGTACTAATCGACAGCTTACCAGGGGCGGACACGGAATAGGTTCCGTCAAACTCATGCGCGACTGGAGGTCGAGGCCTTGTTCATCACAATCATACCGCCAATTTACTCTTTTGAGCAGTTTGTAGGGCAAACAGCTGGAGGGATTCACGGTTACATACACCCTTCAAAGGCCGCTGGGCGTGGCGCCCGCCACCCCGTCTTCAGTGGCGGTCACACTACAGACGTTCCCTGACGTCAAGCACTAGGCCGCCTAAACCTGCCTGTGTCCACACAACTGAGCAGGCAGTCTCATTCAATACCTTCAAGTACACATTGCAGGCACCGCTAGGGAAGCTAAGATAGATGCACGGCTGGTTCCGCGCTTCACCGCGTTCTCACTAATGAAACACCAGGTCGTAATACGATGCTGCTTATCGCGGAAACCAGCAAGTCAACCTTGAGCTAAGTATGTGGCTTCTACGGTGCAAGCGACCAAAACCCCCACGTGGCGCCTCGGCAAACGGCTCAGTCTCGTCGAAACTGTACACAACCCAGCCCGCCCGTCCACGCCGCACACCCATATGCTTCCGATGATAACCAGTCCCCCTCGCCCGAGGACGCTGCCTCGGCCTGACCAGAAACAGGGACAATAGGCGAGGCACCACCCGATGGGCCTTGTCCATGCTGAAAAGCAAATGGGAGCATGAGTTGGAGCACTGCCGCTGATTCAGCCTACGCCTCTGCTCGAACAACTCGATGAACCCCCTCGCCAAATCCCCCGGTCACCGGTCACCTTGTTTGGTTTAGAGCTATTCGCGTGCTCGACAGGCATGTCCTTTCCATAGAAGGAGGAGAAGAGCAGCCCGGGGTGGGTGGTGATGAGGGAAGGGAAAGGGGGGGGGGGGGCTGTTCACTCTCGAGAAGTCCGGCCAAAGGGAGAACGACATGTTGCGTCTGTTTGCTGCCCTCCTCTAGAGCAAAGCACGTGTTCCATAGATCGGGGTCATGTGCGCCAGCGGCCTTTTCAGCGAGGGCACGTGGGGGGGGGGGGGGGGGGGGGGAGGGCCTGCCTGCTGGGTGAGAGACAGACACGGACGAGACCTGCGCGCTGCACTTTGATGATCCCATACTCGATTGGATTGCATAAATGGCGCGAGGGTGCGTGCGCCGCCAGAGAAGGGCTCTGTTTGTTGTCTGAGGCATTGTCACGCGGGCCATTTATGAGATCGACGATGCGGGGGTTGTCTCATCGAGACGTTCCCGCTCGCCGCTCGACGGTCTCTCACAAGGGGTTTCAACGTGCAAGGCACCCGAGTTCCTGTTTGTCACTTGCAAGCTGCATCTTCGGTGATGAGTCTTTGCAAAGGGGCCATTCCTTGCTTTGGGGTTGCAGCAGTACTGCTCGCCCACTGGGCGATCATCCAGGGCCGTTGGGCTCCTCTGATTAGGCAGCCCGCAAGGTTCTCAAGTGACGGCCCCGCCCCCCCCTGGTGTTTGAGGGCTGACATCGAGATAAGCTGCTTATGATAGGGCTGTTGGGCACGGTCTCGGACCTGGAGCCTTTGGACGGCGCCGCCCAATGCGAGTTTTTGCACACCAACCAGGGCTCGTGTCTTCGGGCGTGGGATCCCGATCCCGTCTCTTGCTCTGCTCTTCCCCTTCCCAGAAGCGTCGTGGTACCAGAATGGCTGGCCGCCAGGAGTGGTATTAGTGTCAATGTCCAGGGTGCAACATTGATTATTATGTAGTGCCGGGCTTGGATGCTGCCACGAGACCAGGGTGTATTTCCAGAGCCCAGATCGAACTGCCAGATCTCCTGGTTTTGTGACGTGTCGGTTGTTTGAGAAACAGGCCGTTGAGGCATGGCTGTGCGACCAACCAACAACGGGCCACAGAGCCAATAGCGGGCTGCGGGCCGTCCCGACGAGACGGTACGCTAATGTACAATGGCCCCTAAATTCCGCAATGGCTGCTGACCTGCCTGAGCAGAGCAGCGGGTCTTTCTGGAACGTGTTGGTTCACGCCCGCGCGTCCGCACCCATGGACTGTAGTAGCCTGGACTGGGACGCGCCCAGTTCTTCAATCTTGCAGCTACTGCCATGCCATACCATCATCACATTGATGGTCCATACGCCCCTTACTGGCCGAGCTTGTCGCACCCTCTCGGCGACCCGACAGGGGCACGCGTCGTCAAAGCCCCGCAACGTGGGCGTCGAACTCGGACTCCTGTCCTTGTTCGGACAGCAGTCAACATGCAGTACATCATACCGCTTAATAGACGCCCCCTTGCATCGTTGTGCACCTGGACGTGCAGATCGCTAATTGCATCACCGTTGAGCGCGTGAGCGAGAGCACGCACGGCTCCTCGGCAATACGGGCCAATCACCACGCCTGGCGGCCTTCCACGATGACGAAGGACAAACATGTCCATCAGCAGGTACTATGGTACACCTCACGAGTGCCTCAACGGCGGGCGCTCTGGCCAGTTCCTGTCGCCGAGCTTCCATCGGCTATGTTGCGTCGGCTGCGTTGCATCGGCCAGAGCCACAGGCCATGCATCAGAATACACGCCCCCCAGCCCAGACTCTTTGTCTATCTCCTGGCACCGCCGCCTGGCTCGCGTTCATCCGCCTCCTGGCCTAAGCGCGCCCAGGGGTTCTAAGTCATGCCGGATCCCCTCGAAGATCTCCCCAAATGGGTAAATGTGAGCCTTGCCTCGTTTCGTCACGCTGTCGTACCGATATGTCATGATGGCATATCGGGAGAGCATCTGGGCAAGGATGTTCATGACCACACACACACACATCCACGCGACTCCCGCCAATGCCAGATGTGGGTTCCACCAATGGGGAACTGCACTGAAACGCCAATAGCGCAATATCCAAATGGAAGCACGTCCTCTTCTGTATTGGAACAATCACGGAACATCCCCCACTGTAAAACCCCCGGTGCCACCCCACACATTGTTTCTTGCGCTGTGGATTTTCAATGTGTTCCCTTTTGGGGGGTGGCACGCCGCCTATTTTCACCGCTCGTACGACGTCGGCAGTTGCCGTCCACCCAAAAGGCACATGGCCCCGTGCCTCTTGCGACTGCAGTGGTCTCCTAAGAAAGGGCTCGCGGCACTTGGCGGTTCCTGGCCTGTGCGAGATAGAAACGTCCTATTGCAACCACCCCTACGGAAAAGTATTTGCGCGGAAGGGGGAAAAAATCTGATTGTCGGGATATTTGTCCGTGGTGTGAGAAAATCTCTGCAATGCTCTCAAAACAATACAACGCATTCACGTCGTTAAGGGGGAGGGGGCCGGCGTTCCATGGCAGCCATGCAAAAGTTTTGCTTGCTAACCGCCACTCCAAGTGGCATCTGTGCATTTCAACGTCAAAGCACTCGTATCGAAATGCTACCCTAACCCAAGCGCATGATGTGTAACCACGTATCAAGCTTCTCGGCAGCCATGCATGCTACAGCCAGTGTGATTCGCAGACGCTCGAGGCACATACACACACACCAGTAGGCATCCAAGGATCGGCTTGCTTCCATTCATCCCCCCCCAAGTCCTTGTTGGTTCTCCCCTGCTCCCTGGCCCCACGCCCGTTGGCGATGCTACTCCATTACTCAGGCCCGTCGAAACATGCCCTGGCGGCGGTATCGTACATTAACAGGTCTGCCTGCACGCGCGAAAACCACGCAAAGGTGTTCCTTGTCAAAGTTGCATCGACTCGGTGAAAACGCGCATGACCTCGAAGGGGGACAAACCAAACAATGGCAAACAACCCCCAGCCCCGAGTAGCATACGCGCGCCCGTCGGCGTACATGAGGTAGTATTCGAGGCAACCGTTCAAGGCCGTGGACAAGGGGGTGGCAAACAAAACCCCCCCTCACCCCCTTGTATAGCGACCTGCATGAACGGGTGATCATGTGATCGACCATGCATGGCTATATCGGTGTGACTGACTAACCACCCTCCTAATTCGTAAATAAATCGGCGTACTTTTTTTGCAGACCTTGTGTGCTGCGCGTGAAACGCAAGACGTTTTGGTGTAGGGACGAAAGTGCTCCGCGAGGGCTCCGCTGGGGTTGCAGCGCGCCCGGCTTGGGGTGCGTGTGGGGGCGAAACACGGAGTTCCGCCCTGGTGTCTCCATCGCCACCTCCGTCCAAGCGTCTCGACGACCCCGTCTGCCATGGTCGAGAAAGCCCGGTTTGAGGTGAGACTGTGAAGCACCAAGATTCATGACTGCTGCTGCACTAATTTAGAGCGCGCACCCCGCACCGACAAAGTTCCAACATGCGCGCTGATGCCGGGGATTACTCTTACAGCCACACGAGATATACATATACCACCACAAGACCACAATCTAGCACATACGACCATAGGATCGAGAAAATTGAGGGTCCCGTCCGCTCCCCTGTACACAAGCTCGATACCGCCGGATCAGTAGTTGGGTCGGTGACGACCAGCGAATCCCCGGTGTTGTATGTTTTTTGTTGTTTTTGCCTCCTTTCTAACCGGCTCTTACTGAGCTCGTCATTGTTTAGCGACCTCATAGTTTTGTTGGCTTTGCCCAGAAGCATAAGGTAGTCACGGAGAAAATTTTATTTGGCAGCCATAAATTGGAAACACACACACACACACACACACACACACACACACCACGCGCTTCTCCTTCTGCCAAGGTGCCAGAATACTGAGTGAATAGTTAAGGTGGCGAAGTTCAGGACAACAAGGAGGGAGCAATGGAATCTAATGATGTCGTGATTTTTAGACCGCCTGCCCGTGGCCCCTCCAAAGTCACTGTCAAATTGGTGATTCCAGCACACACACTGTCCTTCACGATTGTCGAATAGCGAACCCGCTGCCGCCGCCACTGACGAAGACTGCGCCAGTGGAAATTGTCATGATGTCAAATACGGTACCTGTGATTGACAAAGCATCCACGAGATCTTGTTAGCGCGCATAAGTTCAGCTGTGTGGACGTAAATGGAGAGGTCTGATCGAAATACAGACATGTGAGAAAGATATCAACAATGCCCTCCAGTGTCGTTGGATTTCAAGGTGAAAAATCGATGATATTGTGTCCAAGAATGGGGTCCAAATCCAGCAGAAGCGTATTTTAATATTTCAAAGACTGAGAGCACCCAGCCTACTAATCACATCCGTGTCAACCCGTCTTGTCTGGAACGACTTCGTTCAGCTTGCTAGCAAGTCCCAAATTATATCACGGGCCGTCCTCGTACTCCGAGTCATCGCAGTCTGGCTTGCCCCAGCCACCACCGCCGGGCGTGTTGATCTGCATGATCTCGCCAGGCTCGAGGTTCACCACAGCTTTGCCTCCGAGAGCGATCTTCTTCATGGACGACTCCTTGTCACCGGCACCGTGCCCATTGATCTCGGGATCTTGCTCCTCGTCCTCGTCCTCCCCCTCGTCCTCATCACCAACACTAAACTTGAACACATAGTTCTCTCCCTTCTTTCCTGGTCGCCCGCCATTCATACCATACGGCGCATAGACCCGGCGATCGCTCAGGATACTACACTTGAGGGGGATCCGGGCCTCGATTTCCCTGATCGTGCCGTTTCCGCCATTGAACTGGCCTCTACCACCAGACCCCTTGCGCACCGCGTATCGCCGCACGATGACCGCCGTGCGCTTCTCAATCACCTCTGCGTCCGTGTTGCGCGTGTTGGTGGAGTGCACGTTGACCGCGCTCTCGCCATGCCAGCCCGGCCCGGCGCCCACACCACCACCGAGAGCCTCGCCGTATGACCAGCCAGGCACAATCTTGCCCGTAGCCGGGTCCCGGCCGCCCATGCCCCAGCCAAAGCTGTTGGCACAGCCCTGGCTGGCTGCGCATCGCCCAAAAGCGCGGAGGATGGTGTCGACGACGCGCTGGCTGGCGAGCGTGGAACCGCACACCGCGACTGCTGGACTAGGATTGAGGATGGTATTGCGGGGGACGCGGATGTCTACGGGGGCTAGACAGCCTTCGTTGAGAGGTATGTCGACGTTGACGAGGCATCGGATTGTGTAGATGATGGCCGAGTGCGTGATAGAGATTGGGCAGTTGTAGTTGCCCCAGGACTGTGGGCCGGTGCCAGCAAAGTCGTAGATCGCGCCGCCGGTATTTGGGTCGATCGTGATCTTGAGCTTGAGAGCGGTGCCATCGTCAAAGTAATCGGTCGCCGTCAATGGCTTTGGATGGTCCCGCGCGATTCGCTTGAAAAAGTCGCGCACGGCGACCTCTGCGTTGGCTTGGATGCCAAACATGTATGTGTGTACGACGCCGAGCCCAAACTCGCGACACATCTTGTCTAGGAGTGTGATACCGCGCTGATTCGAAGCAATCTGGGCCTTCAGGTCGCTTAGATTATCGTTGATCCGGCGGGTCGCACTGCAACCTGGGAAGCTGCCCGCCCGGTCGAACGCGGCGCGGATATCCTCCTCCAGGAATTCGCCGCCAGAAACAATCTTCATTGACTTGATGTTGATGCCTTCCTCCCACAGCTCTTTGCTCTCCGGCATCATCGACGTGATGCCCTTGCCGCCAATGTCGGTGTGGTGACCTCGGGAGGCAACGTAGAACGCAATCTTGTCGTCCACAAAGACTGGGCTCACGACAGTAAGATCTGGAAGGTGTGTGCCGCCGGTCTGTGGATGGTTGGTAAGAAGAACGTCTCCAGGCTTGAGCTTGCCAGCCCATAGCCTGTGCTGATACTGTATCGCGAACTGCATTGAGCCGAGGTGGATGGGAATATGAGGCGCATTGGCCACGAGCTTGCCGTCCGGCGAGAAGATGGCACAAGAGAAATCCAAACGCTCCTTGATACTTGTCGATATCGATGTTCTCTGTAGCGTATTGCCCATCTGCTCTGCAATGGACATGAAGCGGTGTGCAAAGACCGAAAGCTGGATTGGATTGATCGTTTCGTCCAGCTGCGCAGCCTCTGCGACTGGCTTCTCAATTTCTTTGGCCTCGTCCCGTTCTAGGACAACGTGGCTGGACAAGATGTAGCCCTTGAATTGTGATTCGACCACGATCGTTTGAGTTTTGTCGATGATCAGTGCTGGACCCGGCACCACTGTCTGCTTAGGAATATCCTCAAGGCGGTACACACCAACATTTTGCCACTTTCCATCGGTGTACAGACGCTGTTCAGATTGTGGTTTGGCCTCCTTCACGCTGTGTTGCACTGCAGATAGCTCTTTGAGGGCGCTCGCGTCTTCTTCGACGGCAACAGCACTACCGGTGCCTCTCACCTTGATTGAGTCAATAACAATTTTTCGCTCTAAGTTGAATGCGAATTCTCGCAAGTGCAGTGACTTGAAGGCCTTGCCATAATCTTCGTCAGCGGGTTTCGATACTGTTATCGTTGTGTCGGTGCCGAAATAGCGCAGAACGAGCGATTCGTCAAAGGACAACGAAGTCTCCGTGGCACCCTGGGCTGTCAGCTCGAGGGACGCCTTTTTACGGAGTATCTGCAACCGTGTGCGAACGGCATCGAGAACGTCCATTGAGAAATTGCCGGCATATGGCTCGTAGGTCTCGTATTGGAGCTCGGCCTGTGATATGCCGTAGGCCGAAAGGAGCGAGGACCATTTGTGTATCAGTATGCGCTTGATGCCCAGCTTCTCGGCAATGGCGCACGCGTGCTCTGCGAAAGATCAGTAGACAGCTCGAAATAGTGTGCAGTGATGACTTACGGCCACCGGCTCCTCCGAAACTGACGAGGTTGTGCTTCTCAGGAGTGAAACCTCGGGCCTCCGTAGCATTTCGGATCGGTCTACTCATCGCTTCATTTGCTACATTTAAGAAGCCGGAGGCGACCTCTTCTGCAGTCAACTTTTGCGAAGTCTGCTCGTTGAACTCTTTGGTGATGACCTGGAACTTCTCAGCGACAACGTCTGCGTCGAGCGGTTCGTCTGCGTTCTTGCCGAAGATGGAAGGGAACGAGGAAACTACGAGACGGCCGAGGAACAGATTCGCATCCGTGACCGTGAGTGGGCCGCTGCAGTCTGAAGTTAGTCAAAGCCAAAGGCTGCGTAACAGAGCACGTATTACCAACCCTTTTCTGTAGCATGCTGGACCTGGGTGCGCGCCAGCACTTTCCGGCCCGACAACAAGTAGCCCGCTTCTTGCAAACAGGATCGAGCCGCCGCCCGCTGCAACGGTGGCGATGTTGAGCATAGGCACAGATATCGTCCTTCCAGCAATAGTGGTCTCCGTCAAGTGATCGTACTTTCCATCAAATCTTGATACATCTGTACTTGTGCCACCCTGATAATTGTGTGAGCGAGAGCGATATGACGACCTCGTGTAGGAGCACGTACCATGTCAAAGCCAATGATCGGAGTGCCATCGTCTTTGTCATAACAGGATCGGGCAATGCCGACGACACCACCAGCCGGGCCACTCAGGAGCGCCTCGTTGCCCTTGAACTTTTGCGCCTGCTTCAAGCCTCCATCGCTACACATGAACTCAACTCGCTGCGGCTGAATTTCGAATCCGGCCTCGAAGTTCTCGACGTATCTCCGGATGATGGGATACAGATAGGCCTCTGAGCAGGTCGAGTTGCTGCGGTTGAGGAGCTTGATGACAGGACTGGTCTCTGACGACGTTGTCACGTACTTGAAACCAAGTTCCTTTGCTAGTTGCGCAACTCTGGCTTCATGATCAGGGAAGACATGCGCATGCATGAATGCAACGCCTAGGGACTCATAGCCCTTATTTCGTAGTTGTTGCAGCTGCTGGCATACTGTGTTCTCGGTGAGGGGCGTAATGACACGGATCACTTCGCCACTTTGCGTCCTGACCAGAGCAGGATCCGTTATAGGACCAGTGAAATCCAGAGGCGCTGGATTGAGATCATAGTCCTCGATTGTCACTCTCTCGTCCACTTCGACCACAGTGTCGTGAAGTGCCTTAGGTTTCCGGACGTTGAGATCAAACAGCTTTGGGCGAGACTGGTCACCAATGACACAGATGTCAGCGAATCCTGTAACATCGATTAGTGTTTCTTCGAGGCCACGAGAGGTTGCCATCCTTGCTGGTGATTACCTTTGGTTGTCATGAAGGCGAACTTGTCGCCTTTGTGCTCGAGAAGAGCATTGGTTGCGACTGTCGTGCCGACTCTGCAGCCCGCTGATCCAGCAAGCCTGTTAGCTACCTGTAAACTCTGAATTATCTTGGCGCCCAAACTCACCTATCCTTGTCCCATCTAACTTCTGACCAACCGGAATGGGCCTGCCTTCGACGAGCTCGAGTACCCTCCGGATTGCCTCAGTTGGCGCATCTCTGTAGTTTGCCGGGTCTTCTGAGAGCAGCTTGAAGATGATTGGTTCGCGTCCGTCGACATGGGCGACGACATCGCAGAAGGTGCCGCCACGGTCAATGGAGACACGGATATCAGCCATTCTGAGTCTTGGTCCTGAGATGACTGGCCGTGCAATCGTCTTGGTGGCTGTTTCCCGGGTATTTGATATAGCCGGGTGGCACCGTTGCCCCTCGAGTGTGCCTTTCCAGTGAAGTAACGAAGCCGGATGGCTATCGATATCTGAAGAAGTCGGGCAGGGTCTCGTCAGTGAGAGGCCCCAGTGAGGACAGGGAGCACGCCGCCTACCCTGGGATGTCCCGTCGGCAGCCGCTGCCCAGGCTGAAGGAGGCCAGGGTATCGCCGCTCCGGGGGGGACGGCCCAGTGGGTTCGACCGCGGATGCGAAAGCCGTGTCGGGCAGTGTCCCGATGGCTGTCGGGACGCGATGCGACAGCGATGGGACTTGGCCAGTGAGCTGCTGCCGTCGGGCCGTTGCGACAGCTGCAAGCACAATTGCCTCATGTGCCAAGTGGGACCTTCCCGGGGCGCTCGCCTCGGGCACTTGAGCACCTGTAGACGCGCTTGGCGATAGTGGGCAGAGGGCCTGAGCGGAACGTCGCAGGGCGTCTACAGTGGGTTCCCTTCAGCGGCTTCAGCGCTCGCACCGCTGGGCTGTGGCGAAGCGGCATCGGCACCGGCAGCGAGCCCGACAACGTCGCTTGACAATCGGTCCACGCTCGACTGCATCAGGTCATCCGCACAGCTCTGGTTGCGACGCTGATCGACCGTCGGGGAGATACGTCGTCCGTGCCATCAGGTCAATCAGATTGTCGTTGTGTTTGTCGGAATCAAGAGCGTTGAGTTACCCTTTTGGACCCGACTGTGCGATGCAAAGTCTCTGCCCGGCGCAAACGTATAAGCGACCCTTCGAGCACATTTCGCATTGACTTTAGGCACTGTTGCCAAGCACGCTATCGACTTATCATTGATATCACAAAGCCAGCAAGTGGCAGAGCGATTCATAACTACACGCAGAGTCTTGGCCCGGGAGCTGGCGAACAGGTGCTCACAATGTCCCCCATAGCCCTCCATGAAGACCTCACCATCGAGCGGGTAGCCATCATCGGCGCTGGCCCATGTGGCTTGGCTGGTGCGAAGTAAGATCATGACCCTTGTAGCGACTCACAGGTATTGGGGCCACCACTGACATCTACACAGATATCTTGCTGCCGAGAAGAAGTTCACCAAGATAGAAATCTTTGAGCAGAGGGCAGACCCTGGTGGTGTCTGGAATTACACTGCACTCAACGTCATCGACGACGAGTTCACCATTCCCAGGACCAAGCCAACCACCTCGCCCGACACGGCGATATCAACGGGAGGTGACGAGGCCGCTCAGTTCGTCTCGCCTGTCTATGATCAGCTCGAGACAAACATCCCACACACTCTGATGAACTACTCGGATGCCAAATTCCCCAAGGACTGCTCCCTATTCCCACCGCACCAGCTCGTCCGGCAGTATCTCCACGATTATGCTGAAGAGCTCAAGCCTATTTTATCACTTCAGACACAAGTCTTGAGCATCACCAGAAGTGCCGAGTCCGGCTGGGATGTGCGAGTCCTCGACCTCAAGACGAAGCAGGAGAGGACAACACGGTTTGACGCCGTGCTGGTGGCCAGCGGCCATTACAACGACCCCTTCATCCCCAACATCAAGGGCTTGGCCGAGTTTGACAAAGCCAATCCGGGATCCATTTCACATTCCAAATTCTACAGGCGTCCAGACCAGTATGCTGGCAAGGTGAGTGGAAGCCTTCTCGAGCCATTGCTCCTCCAAGTCGCCTGAGCTGACCAGTATGTCTCGCCACAGAAAGTCATCATTGTCGGCAACTCGGCCTCGGGCATCGACCTGAGCGCACAGATTGCCACAGTCTGCCAGCTGCCCATCATTGTGTCAGAAAAGGTCAAGCCCAACGCCGTGGCTCCTGCCGAGGACCGTGCGTGGGCCAAGATGGTGCCCGAGATCAAGGAGTTCGTCCCGTCGACCAGGAGCGTCGTGTACGCAGACGGCACCACAGACGACGAAGTGGACACAGTCATCTTTTGCACAGGATACTTCTACTCCTTTCCTTTCCTCAAGCTCGGCAACGACGCCTCAGCTTCCGCCACCACCACCGCCCCATCCTCCTCTACCAGCACAGCCGGCAGCGACGATGAGGCGTCATCGCCATCACCATCATCATCATCATCATCATCCCTTCCGCCAATCATCACAGACGGCTCTCACGCCGCCCACCTGTACCAGCACATCCTGTACACCCACGACCCCACCCTCGCCTTCCTCGGCATCCCGCAGCGCATCGTGCCCTTCCCAGTCTCCGAGGCCCAAGCAGGCTGGGTGGCCCGGATCTGGTCCGGGCGCCTGCCAACGCCCAGCTTCCAAGCCATGACGGCCTGGGAAGCCGACCTGATCGCCCGCAAGATCGGCCCTGCCAACGCCAACACCAAGACAACGAGCAGCCGCGCCGCACTGCACAACATGGCCTTCCCGCAGGACGTCGAGTACATCAACGCCCTGCACGCCGAGTCGCTCTCCGCACGGCCCGAGCCGGAGCTCCTGGGGCCGGAGAACAACGGCCAGGGCAAGATCCCGCCGTACTGGGGCGCCGACAAGGCCTGGACCAGGGAGCGCTTCCCGCTCATCAAGCTCGCCAGCCGCGCGCTCGGGGACAGGCGGCATGCCGTCAGGAGCCTGGAGGAGCTGGGCTTCGACTACACCAAGTGGAAGATGGAGAAGGACCTGGAGGAAAAGGCCGAGGCGCAGCTGATATGATTTTCTGTGGTTTGTTCTTGTTATTATTGGCCGAGAGTTGGCACAGAGCGCGTTTTTCTCGCGGTTCTTGCACACGTCGTCTCTGTATATAAATGGTGTAAGGGGGGCTTTGGAAGTGGACAGGCTCAGCATTGCTTGAGCCTTTGACTGACAGTTTATCGATGTCGATATGTCGCGATGTTCAAACTTGGTGTGTGTCCGGTCAACCGATCACTTTTCTCCCATTTGTGACATGTCCCTTGTCGTTCTCAACTTCCAAACTTCCGGGGCCTGATGGGTACACTGCGGAACCATGAACTGGCGGTGACAAATTTGTAGCCATTGACTACAAAACACGTCTGTGGGCATTCTTCTGTACTTCACGGGCTTGAGCATGCAACGGAACGAAAAGAAAGGGTAGCAGGAAAAACATAACTTTTCACAGAGTCCAGACTCTCTCTAACGCGACGCAAATAAACAGTGCAGAAACTCCATGCCCGGGCGCCAGAAAACGACCTCTGCCTTGTGTGACCTGTGCTAAAGGAAATCCATCTCTAAGCCCCATTCGAACGACCCATCAGTTAGCGCCAGCCCAGCAAGCCCAGGATCAGGTGCGCCTTGTGCTTGATTCATGTCCTGCTGATCCTGATATGTGAAAGCACCAGCACTACTCGATGTGCCAACACCGGTGCTCACTGATCCACCAGTCGTCCCGTTCCCAGCCACTGCAGCGGCAGCTGCCGCAATGTTGGCCGCGGCTGGATCGGCCAGGTCCTTGTCATCCACCATGTTCAAGAGCCAGCAGCTTGCCCGACCGAGGACATCCTGCGCGAGCGCCAAGAAAGCCGCGGCGTGAGGACGTACCACATTCAGACATGTTTCCCTTGATGGGGCGCCAATTGTGTTCATGAAAGACGAGTTGCCATGAGAGGGGTACTGCGAGATTGAGGAGCTGTAGCTTGAAATCGCACGGACAGAGTCAAGAAAACGCTGTGTGATCTGCGCGGCTTGGCGTGCCAAGGTCCAAACTTCCGGAAACGCTTCCAAAATGGCCACAACCGTGACCGTCTCGTCCTCAGGGAAGGGCATACAGTCGGCCGGCGAGCTGAGGAAGAGATGCATCAGAAGCATGATGACCGGGAAAAGTCGATACAGAGTAACCGTGTTCAGGGGCAGTTGTCTGTGGTGGAAGAGCGCTGCCGTTGATTGCAAGTGCTTTTGACAGTACCGGATCAGCTCCGTCCGTGGGACGATAAGTCCGACTGGATTGAAATGACAAGGGTAATATAGGAGAACCAGCAGATAGTAATATCGTGCAGTGAGCCAAGTCATCGAGTTGTGGATAGGCACGTTGTCAGACTCAGTGGGTGAGACCAGACACCCGTTACTGTACCAATTCTCAATATCGGTGCGGATCTGCTGCAGAATGACGCGGCGGTCAGAGTGACTAAGCAAAACGGTCACGGACGGTCTTTTGCAATGGATTTCCTCCAGGATTCGGCCTTCGAGTTGTCTGAGCTGGACGACGTGGCGGCTTGTCTGTAAAATCATGGTGAGCTGACCTCTGTCTGGCGATGCAAACTCTTCAATGGTCAGGCCTGGCAGCGGTGTGCTCATATTCTCGTCTAGCAGGGCAGGCGGAAGGCCTAACGAGGTGCACAACATCCGATCCAGGATGTAGATACTCCATGTCAGCCGATGTCGGAGCTCAACCTCAGATGCAGTCAAATTCTTGTCGTCAGACGCTCGCCGGGTCAACCCGAGGACCATTGCTTGCCTGGACAGGATGCCCACGATTGTAAATGCGGATGGTGCGAAAGGGTCGAAGAGGGAATATAGTGCGAGCAACAGAAGGATCTGTATTGATTCCACACTCTGAATGCAGACACACTCCTGAATGATATCCGAGTATGAGATATGGAACCTTGAGGCGCTGTCGGGTGGAATCTGTCCAGCACGCTGCAATGTTGTGCAGCCGATGGCCATGACCAGATATAAGAGCGTTGACTCAGCCTTCCGCTGGTATCGCGACAGATCATCAAGACTTTCCAAGCTCTCCTGGAGTTTCCTGTGATCAACGAAGGGATACGCCCTGTTTACGTTGCGGAGGTAGGCATCGACGAACTTGCGAGCCACTGCGTCTGAAGGGAGACCACCGCTATGTGACGTTGAAGTCAAGGGGCCATCTGCTACGGGTGATTGATCTGTGGCAATGGATAGACGGCCGTTGGGAGGCCCATCCATGACCGAGCCCATGCTCATATCAACAGTTGTCTGGATGCGGCGATCTGGATCTGCCCCTGAGCTCTGAGACGTCGCATCGTGGTTGTTCGGCTGAGTGCCGGGCGATGTATCCGTGAGCGAACCATCGTGTTCTGGAGCGTCCGCCAAGGACTGGCTGTCTGGGAGCCCGCCGGGTACCTTGTCGGCGATGAACTTCTCAAGCCATATCACGCGGGCTCTGAGTTGATGGGTCTGTGCAGAGGTCGTGGGCGGCGTCGAGAAGGAGCACTTCTGGCCCGCACTGGCACAGAGCGAGCATACGGGCAAGGTCCTGCTGCATTTCTTTTTGAACTTGCGGCACCGGTCACATGCGGGCATGCTCCTGTTTGGTCGGGACGGCATGTTGGTCGCGGCGGTCCCGGTGCCAGGAGACCGGGACCGTGGTCGAGCGGCGGGATCCGACCGGTCGCTCTCCATGTATGCTGAGTCGGGATCGGGCTCGGCGGGCCGGCCGACACGGAACCGGTGGAAGGAGGATCTCATGTCGGACTCCATCGCGTTGACGCGTCTGTGCGTTCAAGCACCAGGACCAGAGATGGAGAAGCTCAGAACGGCCTTGTGATCCTGTCAGTTGGAAGCGGAGGTGTTGGCAAGAACTACAGCGTGCCCTGTGCATGCAATGCTGAAGGCTCTATTTGGAGGTTGAAGATAGGCATCCTGCACCGGCCGGATGGGTGAGCAAGCGATGGCTTGGGCTCGAGCGAAGTCGCTGGCTTGGCACATGGGCTGGGATAGCGTGGACATAGACAGTGGATGGCCAGGCAAAGTGTAATGCGGTTGGAGGGCCAGGTAGCACGCGTCAGTGCCTTCCAGCAGGCCGGCGTGACGCTAGCGTATTAGCTCCATGTGGAAGCATGGAGGTGAGCGAGGTGAGCAGCCGATAGCGCCTCCCGACAGGCTCTGGAACAGTTCCATGGTGGAGTAGGCGGGTGCATGAGGGTTGGCGGTGGAGGGGACCCTGACTCGGTGGAGTCTGGCGATGGTGTGCGAGGGGTGGTGGTCGGGCTGCCTTCCGACACATGACTGCCACCTGCGACGCCGCGGCGTAAGGATCCGTGTGCAGCGTGTGGCTCTGTGTCGCCCAAGGCAAATAGTGCAAGATGCAGGGCGGGTGAGATCGTCGAGGTTCCCAGTCTTTGCGCAGTGATGAAAGCGTCTGCAGATGGGACGACAGTCCCTCGTCTTGCCCGGGCAGGGCGGGCAGGTGCAGGCCAACGGGGTTGCAGCAGCCTGCAGGGCTCTCTTCTGGCCGCGGCGGGCCCTTGTCTGCCGCCGGCCCCACTGTCCATGTGCGTGTGCGGGGCGATTGCCGGCCGGCCGCAAATGGCCACAATCAACAACGCCATACCTGGCCTAGCCAAGGTGACATTCGGCATTTGGCATCATTGAAATCCATTTCTTTCTCGTTGACAATGTCTCCAATGGGTGCACCATCACCAGCAGCGCGATTGCGTGCTTCCAAGCCATGCTTCCGCCATCCGGGGGGCCAGCTCCAGTTCCCTGGTGGCATGGCATGACATGATATGACGAGTCGTCCCTGCCCGCGCGCCCGCCTCAGCTCGCCAAGTGCGCCCGAATACGACCAAGCACCTCGACCGGCTTCTCCAGATGCACACTGTGGTTTGCATTCTCGACAATGAACAAAGACGCTCCCGGGATGCGCCTGGCAATTTCGACCGAGTGCTCTGCGGCACAATGTCAGCACGCGAACAAAGCTCAGCTCGCCCATTCTGTTTGGACGCCACATACCTGGTGGGCAGATCCAGTCCTTGTCGCCCGTAAACACCAAAGTCTTGGCCGTCACGCTGGGCAGTCTGTCACGGTAGTCAAAGTACTTCTCGCTCTCCGCGTACAGGTCGTCTTCGCCAGCGTCAGCCATGTTGGGCATTTCGGGACAGAATAGACGACGAGAGCACTTACTGTGAGACTCGGCATTGTAGACATTGTGAAGACAATGCTGCAAGGCGGCATTCGCGTCAAAGGCTTCGCTGTACAGAGGCAGCATGGCCAGGTGGACGAGCTGGAACTCCAGGTCGCTCTCATACGCCCCAAATACCTTATTCTTGAGCATTTCCACGGAAAAGCTAGGTGCCTTGGCTATCCTCTGCTCGAGAGTTTTGATGGCATCCTCTTCCTCTGGACGAGTCACCAGCCATCAGCATACATCAATTTGCAGCCACCCGGGGCTTCACGTACGATGGTAGGAAGGAGCAGTCCCTCGAAGGACCAGATGTGTCAGATTCGACGGGTACTTGATGGCATAGTGCTGCGCGAGGAAGCCGCCGAAACTGCCTCCGATCAGAATAATCCTGTCGTTGCCCACAAAGTGCTTCCGCATACCATCGATATCATCAACAATCTGCTCAAATGTGTACGGCTTCGTGGCAGAGCTCTCGCCGTGGCCTCTGGAATCGAACGACAAAACCCTGAACGTGTCATCCAGCGGTCGATATGCCTGGTAGTCCGATTTGTGGTTACCTGAAGCCATCTTGTCAGCGCAAATGCTTGGGCCTGATGAATGGAGGTGGCCAACCAAAACCCCTCCCGCCGTGCAGTGTGATGATCAGTGGTGCAGTGGCAGGCCCTGAGAGGCGATAGGCCAGCCGAGCGCCGTTTATTTCGACATAGTCGACCATGATGGCAATGCAAATTACGTCCGTCGTGGCCACGTCTGCAAGAACACGATACAAGATCTCAAGAATCGTGACTACTAATCGACATGAGAGCGTTGTCAAGTGTGCACACTTCTGGCTCGGAAGGCCAACCGAGGTCGGCGACGCCCACGCTTCGGCGTTCATCAGTAGCACTCCCCTGCCAGCGTTCAAGGCCCCATGCCTACACCGTGGTACAGGTGGCTTGCTGGTGCCCGCTGTGGAACCGTTCCCGACAGCTCGGAGGCTACCGGAGTGGAGACGTTTTTCACCCGAGTCGCATCCTGCTCCGACGGCCCACCCCTTCCCGCGCAGGCGTCGGCCATCCCCCGACCCCCCAGCCATCTGCGATCAGCTATCTTTTGCGTCGAGTCAGTCGCCTGCTAAGCACGAGTTTATTTGCTGTGGCGACCTCAATCCAGACCTTGGGGGCTGGAACGCCAGGCTGAGGAAGCAACGGGCAGAAAGGAGATGGACAATAGGTCGCTAGTCCGCCAAGAAGGGGTAGGGGAACCGGATAGAGGTCGCCGCAGGTGGCTGCCAAGTCCGCCGATAGAGAGAGATATTCCAGCTTTTGTGAAAACATCCCCGTTCTGTCGGAGATCGCTTTCATTACCGATTGCCTGGATGATTGACCAAAGGGGCAAGGCTCTAGATTGCGTGATCAATCCACCTGTGGACTCTTTTCTTCTCTTGCGCATTGTCACAATTGGGTGCTGAAGGCATCCGTCAACCTTTTCCTATATATTACGCCCCATAGCTGCGCTGCGTGTGCACAGGCCGATCGGCTCGAGACCAGTATCGTCTTGCCTGTTATCGTACCAGATCGCGCGCCTTACTCTCCACGGCTCCGCCTCAAGAGCGCAAGCACGAGTGACCTGCCTCGCAAGCCGCAACCGACCTTTGATTGATCTCAGGGGTCCTGCCCCACTACCACAATGGCAGCGCCCGCTACGGAGATCGAAGCCGCAAAGGTCGGCATGACAACTCCAGATGTTGTCGAGCAGTCTGCAACCCCCGAGAAGGTCGCTTCGATCGACGCTGCCGATGAGAAGCCTGGAGCCGCTCCTGCAAGATCGACATATCCTGGACTCACAGGGTTTTTCCACTGGCACGAGCCCGGCACTTCGAAAGAGGAGAAGAGACTAATTTTCAAGCTCGACTGGTTTCTCCTGTCCTACTCGTGCCTCTGCTTCTTCATAAAGTGGCTCGACCAGAACAATGTCACCAATGCTTGGGCTTCTGGTATGTCTGAGGACCTCAACTTTGGACCAGGGTAAGTCGGCGCCTGATGCTCCAGCTTTGACATGTGTTTTTTTGCCATGCGACACAAAGGTGCTAACAGTCTAGTCTAGCAATGAATTGTCATGGATGAACACATTTTTCAATGCCGGGCAACTTCTTGGCGGACCTTTCGCCAACCTCGTCATCACGGTCGTCCGGCCGCGGTACTGGCTGCCATTCTGCATGATGGCCTGGTCCATCTTTGTTCTCTTCCTGTACAAGTGCAATCGCGCCGAGGAGTTCTACGCTCTACGCTTCTGTATTGGGCTCTTTGAATCGGCAGCGTGGCCCGGCATTGAGTATACTTTGGGCTGCTGGTATCGCAAGAGTGAGCTTGCTAGACGTTCGGCTCTCTTCGTCATCTCTGGCGTGCTAGGACAGATGTTCTCGGGCTACCTGCAGGCCGCACTTTTCAGCGGCATGGACGGGCGTCTCGGGCTCCGCGCCTGGCGGTGGCTTTTCATCTTTGACTTCCTGCTTGCCGTCCCCGTGGCGGTCTATGGTATTGTAAGTAGTGCCTTGCCATCAGTTGCCTGGACCCAACTCTAGCAGCGACTAACTTTGTGTCCTCGTAGATCTGCCACCCCGATACCCCAGAGACAACGAAGGCATTCTACCTTAACGAGTGGGAACGCAAGCGCGCCTGTGAGCGTATCGAGGAGGAGGGCCGCAAGCCTCACGGAAAACTGGACTTTACTCTGATCAAGCGCACATTTGGCAGCTGGCAGGTGTACGCCTTTGTCATCGGCTATGCCCTGTGGTCACTTACCTGGTTAGCCCTGACCCCTAGACCCGAGGAGATTTCCAGAATAATTACTAACGGTTTCCTCCAATAGCGGCAACCTTGTCATGCAGTTCTTCACCTTGTACCTGAAGGCCAGTGGCCTCTTTTCAATTCCACAGATCAACTCGCTGCCCACCGCCATTGGCGCCGTCAACTTCTTCACCATGGTCTCCACCGGCTATGTGGCCGACAAGATTGGAAGCCGCGCCCCGGTGTGCCTGTTCGTCGGTCTGATGCTGGTGATGAACTACACCATCCTGACGGTATGGAACGTCTCGCACAGCGCCAAGATGTTCGCCTTCATCTTCAACGGCGTCTACGGATGCTACACGCCCTTGCTCGCGGGCTGGTGCAACGAGACCTGCGGTGGCGACCAGCAGAAGCGCGCGTTCATCCTAGGCCTCATGACCTCGGTGGGCCCCGCTGTCGTGATCCCCTTCCAGCAGCTGCAGTTCCCCAGCTCCCAGGCGCCCGCGTTCTCGGCCACGCATGGCTGGGGCAGCGCGCTGGCGTTTGTCGTCGCGCTCACACTCTGGACCAGCGCGGGTATCCCTGCGCTGCAGAAGTATTTTTCAAAGAGGGTGCAGACAGATGAGTTTGCTTCTGAGCATGAGGTCGAGGCTACGAACTAGATTTTCGAGATTGACATTACGAGAGGTTGCTCTGTGGGCACGGATTCTGTGCGGAAAGTCAAGCGGGCGGGAGCGTATCTAGATTGATTCAAGGAGTTGGTTATGAACTGTTGTTGTTGTGGTGGTTGGATCAGCCATGAACTCTGAGTTCCATGTCCGTAGCATTATGAGTTTTATTCATATATGCAAATATGCTACACTTCGTCCCACAAGTGCCTGCCTTTTACCAAGTGAATACTTTGCGTGATATCCCGTCCCAATGATAATCTTGTGACTGCCAGCGGGGCCTTTCTTAGGTTGCATCATGGACCCAGACTTGGTGATTCTGGCACACTTCACTGGTATGGACAGCGGGTGGCAGCGATGGGGTAGCATGTTCTTGCCCCAGGGTTGCGAACCAGGGAAGGGGCTCTGCTCCTCCTTTACTTGCGGAGAAAGTGGGAGAATGGGCGAAGAAGTCATGGATCCGTGGATGATTGGATAGCGGTTGGGAGCATGTCAAGAGAGCAGGCCGGGGCTTCCACGGGGGTTCTCAAGTGAGAAACTCTGGTCTGGTGAGCGGGTTCCTGGAGCTCATCAATGGCTGGGGCACTCATGCTTACTGTAGAAGGCTATCGTTTCTGGAACCGGGTCTTCGTGGTGTGTTCCTCGAGTGATTCCCACCTTGTGAGAGCCAGTGAACAGCTGCAACGATCAACAACGAACCAATTTACAAGTCCGCGAGAATGTGGGCAAGACCTGCCCGCGGGAATTTCTAGGTACCTAGGCTAGAATATAACTATCTCAAGTGATTTCTTGGTTCAGCTACGTGCACGTAGTTCTGTATGCCCAGGCATGAACATGACGCCGTCCTACACCACAACACCGGCATGCAGATATCTGAAGCTGATCCCATCCGCTGATTAAGCAGCGGCACGCACTGTCAGGTTGGAGGCTGAGCAGCACCTCGGCTCGGTTTAGCCGACATCCTTGGAGGGCGGTGTGGCCCGTGCACTGCTTGCTGGGGGAGCAGATGATGGGGAAGGGGCAAGCGCGGGCTGGGGAAGGAGCCACCCCGTGCGGGCCCCCAAAGAGGAGATTGCCTCGGCTTTTTTGATGTCATGGTGCCTGCCTCGCTCCCCCGCAGTCTCTGGAATGGAGATCCTCTTCCCGCAAGCCGTTTTACCTCGCCACTAACCAGACCCCAGGCCGCCCTGTGGCTCCCGACGATCCGGGCAGGCGCATATTTAGATTGTCCATCCACACGTTGATATCCTCGTCTTGCTTGCAGGACCACTGTTCTCTTTGACTCTGGCAGCCTACTCCTTGTCAGCACCGTCGCGCTACCAATATCACCCAAAGTACCTTTCTCTACACCACAGCACTTCATCATGCCTGCCAAGCAGAAAGCGCCCGTCTACGTCCTCGGCGTGGGCATGACCAAGTTTGTCAAGCCCCGTGGCAAGATCGACTACACCGAGCTCGGCTTCGAGGCCGGAGTCAAGGCCCTCATCGATGCTGGCATCAACTATGACGACGTCGAGCAGGGCATTGCCTGCTACTGCTACGGCGACTCGACCTGCGGCCAGCGCGTCTTCTACCAGTTCGGCATGACCCAGATCCCCATTGTCAACGTCAACAACAACTGCTCCACCGGCTCGACTGGCCTCGCCATGGCCCGCAACACCATCGCCTACGGCGGCGCTGACTGTGTCATGGTTGTCGGCTTCGAGAAGATGATGCCCGGCTCCCTCCAGACCTTCTTCAACGACCGCGAGAACCCTACCGGCACCTCCGGCCGCATGATGGCCATGACCCGCGGCGTCACCAACGCTCCCGGCGCCGCCCAGATGTTCGGCAACGCTGGCCGCGAGTACATGGAGAAGTACGGCGCCAAGCTCGAGGACTTTGCGGAGATTGCCCGCATCAACCACCTCCACTCCGGCAAGAACCCTTACTCGCAGTTCCAGGACGTCTACACCCTCGAGCAGGTCATGAAGGCTCCCATGATCCACGAGCCCCTCACCAAGCTCCAGTGCTGCCCCACCTCTGACGGCGGTGCTGCTGCTATTCTTGTCTCTCAGGACTTCCTCGACGCCCGTCCACACCTCAAGGAGAATGCCATCCTCGTTGCTGGCCAGTGCCTCGCCACTGACGCCCCCAGCTTGTTCTCTGAGAGCTCAATCGACCTGATGGGCTTCGAGATGAGCAAGACGGCCTGCCAGACTGCTCTCAAGGAAGCTGGCATCACCGCCAACGACGTCAGTGTCGTCGAGCTCCATGACTGCTTCTCGGCCAACGAGATGATCACCATTGATGCTCTGGGCCTTTGTGCCCCTGGCAAGGCCCACGAGCTCGTCCGTGGGGGCAACATCACCTACGGTGGCAAGTATGTCATCAACCCCTCTGGCGGTCTCATCTCCAAGGGCCACCCTCTTGGTGCCACCGGCATTGCCCAGTGCGCCGAGCTCGTCTGGCACTTGCGCGGCTGGGCCAACAACCGCGAGAAGGGCGACACCAAGTACTGCCTGCAGCACAACCTCGGCCTCGGTGGGGCCGTTGTGGTCACTGTCTACTCTCGGCCCGATCGCAGTACCGCACCCAAGGTTGATGACGCTACAGTGGCCAAGAAGAGCCACATTGGCTACAACCCGGCCACGCAGGCCAAGGGCTTTACCTCCGAACAGTGCAAGTCTGTATTATCCAAGGGCAAGTTCAGCGCCTGGGCTCTCCAGGACACACGGGAGAAGGTCGAGGCTCGCTTCTAAGTGGTATTCTTGTTTTTTTTAAACTGCTGCTCAATCGCGCGGATGACGAATACCTGGACGTGCGCACTTTGTATATATGTACTTGCTATCTTTGTTGTTGTTTGTTCAGCGCGCACAAAAACTTGCCATGCTAGGAATTTCTGGCTAGGATGAAGAGAAATGAGTACGAAATCTGTTTGATAATCATAAGACGGAACACCGACGTTCTCATCTGAATAGTCTGCATGTGGCGCGAGTGCATAGTCCCAGTCGCAATCTAATCAGCCGCAAATACGCGAAGCTGCCACATGGCGTGTGACAGTTATCTTGGAAGCGAGTCATTATTATTCCGCGAAGTGTCTGTGGTTCGGGAAACCGGCCGGGGAATGCCGCAGTTGAGCAAGGTGGCACATGCTAGCGATAAGCTTTCCAAGAGCCCACCGGCCGGATTGGCGCTGGCGCTTGGCCGCCCCACGGGCTGGCTCGTTCTTGGCCCTGGCTGATAACTACAGGGGTTGTCGCTGGGGGGAGATAATGGCGACTTCAGGTCGAGCGCGTGCTCTCTCGAGCCCAGGATGAGCCGATCGCCGATAGTGAATTGAGGTTCTGATGAAACGAAGCTCCTCCTTTCTCTCTCGGGTTTGTCTGTCCGGTCGGTTGTGCATTATTGGGCTCACTACAGGCATCGCGTTCTGACAGCCGGCGCCTGTCACTTCGCAGTGGACGAGTGCCGCTGACCGGGACGTTTTAGGGCTGCTCTAGCGTCGTCCGACATTAGTCGTTGTGGCGTGTTGACCCGGTGCGCTAGGCGCGTCAGCTTGGGGACTGGCCCCCAGTTGTTGAATCGTGCATGAGGCATGGATTCCAGGCATTCGAATTTGGAGTCGTGGGGAGATTACCGGCCACATGAGCCCCTTTCGGCAGACGCGCGAGCCCTGACCCCCGCTCCGCCAGCCGCAGACCCTGGAAATCCTGCTGCCCGTCAACCACCTCCACCACCAACAACTCATTACTTGAAGTCCGGCAGAGTGGCCGACCGGGGCCGGGCACCGGTCCCCTTGTCTGGTGCTGTACTGTACCAGCCTCCCGGCACACTCCAGCGTCCTGCTTATCACCCGGCCAGGGCATCTTTCTGGGGGACCCATCCATCCATCCATCCAGGGGTCTGGCCTTCCGAGCACTCCCCCGCGCGTCCAGCAATGTGATACAAATACACGGCGGCCGGCATGACACCTCCGCCGCCGTGCCGTCCATCCAACCCTCCGTTGTCACTTGACGAGGCAGCTGCGTGTCTGATCTCCCAGGATCCATTCTCGCGCCTGGACACCACACACAACTACGGCTCCGTCAACAGCACCACCACCGCGAACATGGGCGTCCCCGTCGAGCCCGCCATGGTCCACGACCACGAAGGCCTGGCACCCCAGAAGCCTGGTGCCGGCGACACCGCCATTGTCGAGGCCATCAACCTCGAGAAGGACCTGACGTTCCGCCAGGCCATCAAGATGTACCCGGCCTCGATCGCGTGGTCCCTCTTTGTGTCCATCGGCGTCATCATGCTGGCTTTCGACCCGCAGATTGTCGGCAGCATGTTCGCCATGCCTCAGTTCCAGAAGGACTTTGGGTACGAGCGCGACGGCGAGGTATGTTGCGTCATCATTCGCAGTTCCAAGCCATTCGATTCACAGAGACAGGCGCTCACATCTTCTCCCTCACGCAGTACATCATCTCGGCGGCTTGGCAGACGGGCCTCTCCATGGGTAGTCCGATCGGACAACTCGTCGGCGCTCTGGCCTCTGCCTACCCCATGGAGCGTTGGGGCCGCAAGTGGACTTTCTTCGGCTGCGTCGTCCTCACCGCCCTGCTCGTCCTGATCCAATTCTTTGCGCGGTCCATCGAGGTCCTCCTCGTCGGCGAGCTGCTCTGCGGCCTGGTACTGGGCTGCTTCGTCGTCATCGGCCCGACCTACGCCTCCGAGGTCTGCCCCATGTCCCTCCGCGGTTACCTCACGAGCTTTACAAACCTGTGCTTCGTCACGGGTCAGCTGCTCGGCAACGTCGTGACGGCTGTGACGTCGGAGCTCGACACGCACTGGGCGTACAGCATCCCCTTTGCGCTGCAGTGGTTCTGGGTCATTGTCATCCTGCCGGGCATATTCTTCATCCCCGAGAGCCCCTGGTGGCTCGTCCGCAAGGGCCGCATGGAAGAGGCGCGCGCGTCGCTGGGCAAGCTGTCCTCTAAGGGCGTGGACCTCGATGCCGCGCTCGCCATCATCTACGAGACGGACAAGCTCGAGCAGGAGACCGAGGCCGGCAGCACGTACCTCGACACGCTGCGGGGCTCCAACCTCCGCCGTACCGAGCTGGCGATTGGTGTCTATGCGACACAGGTCCTGAGCGGTATCTATCTCATCAACTATGGCACGTACTTCTTCCAGCAGGCCGGTCTGCCGACGCAGTCTGCGTTCTACATGGGTGTCGGTTTCCTAGGTAAGTCTAGTCCGGTTCTTTACAACACAAAGCGTCTCTTTTTCAAATCCTATCCTTATGACCGCACTCACTAACGGACACTCCCCGGGAACAGCTGTTGGATGGGTCTGCACCGTCCTCTCGTGGTTCATCATGGCTCGCTTCGGCCGCCGGCGCATTTTCAACATCGGCCTCGTCGGTCTCATCACCCTCATGTTCATCATCGGCATCCTCGACAGCATCCCCAACCGCCCCGACGGCGTCGCCTGGGCCGAGTCGACCCTGATGCTCGTGTGGAACGGCTGCTACGACCTGTCGGTGGGCCCCATCGTCTTCGTCATCCTGGGCGAGTGCTCGGCCACGCGCGTCCGTTCCAAGACGATTGCCGTGGCGACCGCCGCGCAGGCCGTCGTGGGCATCCTCATGACCATTGCGATCCCGTACATGATCAACCCGGACCAGGCCAACATGCAGGGCAAGCTGGGCTACTTCTTTGGCGGCCTGGGCATCATCTGCCTCGCCTGGGGCTACTTCCGCATCCCCGAGACCAAGGGCAGGACGTACGAGGAGCTGGACATCATGTTCGACCGCGGCGTGCCGGCCAAGGAGTTCAAGGACTACAAGGTCGAGAGTGTCATTGCGGGTGGTGCCGTGCCGCAGTGAAAAGCAGTTGCCATGCGCACAGTGCTCGTGCTGCGCGGTGTTCCGCAGCCCCGGCGTTTTTTAAATATCTGGTCATTCATGGCCTATATATACCCAAGTAGGAGATGAGATGAGAGTCAAGATGGGCTTAACCTCGAATTTGGGTGGCCCCACCACAACCGGTAGATTTAGCGGGCTTATGGATTAATGGGGAGGATGAATAGCTACTCTATCGATTGACTCGCTGCATTGCCTGTCCTTTGTCTCCTTGCGTTGACAATGTGTGGATTTTTACCATACCATTAAGAGGCATGTGATTCGGCGCCACTCAAGTATAGAACGGCTCCTCCCGCCAAGTGATTGATAGTTCGTTGCATCGTGATTGTACCTTTTTTATGGTGGCTTGTGGTGTTGGTCGCAGGGGTCGTCGTCGTTGTAGTAAGCAACCCCAACCTGATCGATCACCAGCCAACACCACCACTCAATCGAGCTGGCCAATCTTGTGTAGCTAGCTGGGCCACCAACGTGGTACAAAATGGGAAACCTCTTATCATGTACGGTACGGGCGGCCCCAACCTCCCCTGCCAGAAGATAAAGATCAACAATGGGGGGTTTTTTTGGGGCCGGGGGCGCGCGGAGACTTAGCCCGGACCGGAGATCGCGGGGCGGCCCTTAAACGGCGGTTCATTTGTTGTGGATCTCGCCGTCGGGAGGTGAGTGGGTTCAATCAGTCCGACCATCCAAAGACGACGATGGATGATGATGATGATGGGACTATAAATCATGCACTTGGATTCGACATATATAAACGACTGCTCGATGCCGCCAGGATAGCGCGAAAAGACTACTGGCAAAAAGACCGTTCTACGAAAATTTCCTTGGCAGCATGCGCAGACGCCGCGGTACTATTCTGACATTAATGAAGTCTTCGTAGCGATAACATTACCACAGTCACGCTGCTGCTGCTGCAAACAGCAAACGTGTTGTAGCAACAAAGCCGAGACGAAGCGAATCTAGACTAAACTAGACACAACCCTCACGGAGGCGCGCAAAGAGCAGCCGCCAAGATTCTCTACTCTATCCGGACGCAGCCTACGCCTGCTGCTGCTGCTGCTGCTGTTGCCGCTACCGCCACCGCTACCGCTACCATCACCACTTCTGTCCAGGCAGCCGACGAGCCTGCCAGAACGGGCAACAACTCTGCCGTCCATCGAGGCTCGAGGCGGTACAGCTCGACGACCACGACGACACCGACTCCCGCAGCGACGACCAGCCTCCAAAGTCCACTCGTGAACAGCAAGAGGAGTAAGAGGAGTAGCCTTAAGATGATTTCGTCCGCTAGTGCCGCCGTAACAGCAGGTCCCAAGATGGTGACCATTGTCGAGCCGGTGAAGGAGTATCACAGCGGTAGTATTGGCAGCATTGGCAACACAGGCAGTTGCAGTGGCAGTGGGCTAGGTATTTCGACTCCGGCCGCCGTTCACAGGCTGAAGATGTCGGGGCTGGGGTCTGGCAACCTAGGGTGAGTTCCTTTTGTTCTTCTTCTTCTTCTTTCGGCGTTGATTCTGTCGGGTATTTCACGTGGTGTTATTTGTGGAAGCCCGTCACTTCCGCGCTGGGCCCGTCAGCAACACAAAGAATAATTTCTCATCCCCCCTCCCCGCCCCCCAGGGGCGGCTAAAAGTAAAATGACTGACATAAAGACCTTCACAATTTTTACGAGAACAACAGAGACCTCCTCAACATCATCAAGATGTACAACGCCGCCCACGCCGCCAGCGAGACCACCAAGATGCGGCGCATCGAGTCCGCGCTGCGGCCCAGCGTGCCCAAGATCGAGGCGTCCGGGCTGTTCCAGCTGTTCTCGGTGGACGAGTGGACGGCGGGCGAGAATGAGGGGAGGAAGATGGTGGGGAGGCTGTATCGGGATTACATGTGGCTGCGGGGTTGAAGTGATGCAAAGAGAGAGATGCGGGACACGGCGAGGGAACTTGGCAGCACAGCGAGCTGATATTTTGCTTGGAAGCACAATTGACGGGTCTTTCTTGAGGTTATATTATGAACAAGTACCAAAATTGATTACCAAGGTCCTACGTAGGCACGCAGTGAAGGTCTCTGCTCTTTTCCAGACGCAGTGTTGCCGGGGTCTGAAGCAAAGACGATTTTGCTTAATTGTTGGACATGACCAGAGTCATTGTTGTCTACTGTGGCCTGGTGCAACGGCCATTGATATCCATCATCACAGGACGTAGCCCTCGTTGAAAGACCTGATCATAGGCACACATTTCAGGCTATCTCAGGAGCAGAGTCACGCCCACGCTAATATTGCAGGGGACTCGCCGCCGCCACTGTGCATTTGGACCACATGCAGCCAAATTATGACAGACTTGGAACGGGCAGAAACAGACGGCCTTGAAAATGTCCTGCCACAATAGGCAGTCAGCCAAGCCAACAAGCCAATCAGAACCGGGAACAGCCGAGAGCGGCTGAGATGCCCTGAGTTTTCCTCTGGCCCCCATCATGTAATCAGGCCATCATGTAAGTAGGCATGATCAGGTCGTCGTTGCAGAATCACGACCGCCTCCGCAGATCGCCTGTAGATCATGGGCAGAACTGTGTCACGCCGGCGCGGTCGGGCCGAATGTGGAGCTCCAGGCACGCCGCCCGGCGTGTCCCGCAGTAGTTCAACTGGAGTTGCATGGCGTGCGGAGCACGGAGCCGAGCTGGAAGAGCGGGGGAAAGCAAAAATGTCGGCGCCGTCCAGTCATGACAAATCTACCGAGCTCGCTTGAACCTCAGCTCCGTCGTCTTTGGGGACTTTCTTGTCAAAGTCTTTCCGCTCACGACTTTCAAGTCTTGCGTATTTACTCACTTCGTCGGATACTCACTTCATCGAGGCTTTGTGTGTAAAGAGACCCCAACATCATATCGTCACAATGGCCCAAGTCCTCCGTCGCCGCAATCCCAGCCCGGACGTAGCCCTCAAGGCCGTCCTGGCTGCCCAGAACCAGACCGAGGCGCAAGCCATTACGAGCCCACCAGACACGGTAAGGTTTTCCTCTCCCACAGCACAGACACGCCAAGAGTCATTCCTCATCGTCTTCAGCACGTGGGAAAAACCACGACCCATAACACATCAGGCGTTGTCACCACGTTGTCCCCAATCATGTGTGCCCATTTGTAACTAACCAGAGAAACCACAACCCCCTTTTCCACTCATAAAAAGACCGAACAAGTCCTCGAGACTTGCAACGCCCTGACCTTTACCCGGTTCACCGCCCAAGACGCCTACGACCTGGGCCAGCTGCTCTACGCGCGGCTGCTGCCCCTCTCGCGCAAGGGGAAGCCCACGGTGATCAGCATCGCGGCCGCCAACACGGAGCAGATCCTGTTCCAGGCCGCCGTCGGGTCGGGCACCCTCCCGGACAACGAGCTGTGGGTGCGCCGCAAGCGCGCGTCGGTCCTGCGCTGGGGCTGCAGCACGTGGCTGCTGCAGTGCAAGTACGCGGGCGACGAGGAGGCGTTCCGCGCCAAGTTTGGGATGAGCCAGGAGCAGGCCGGTCGGTATGCGATCCACGGGGGAGGCGTGCCGATCCGGGTGGACGGGGTCGAGGGCGTGGTGGCGGTCGTCGTGGTCAGTGGGTTGAAGCAGCACGAGGACCATGGGGTCATCTTTGACGTGGTCAAGGAGCATTGGGAGAGTGTCTAGGCAGAGCAGGGACACGGCGGGATGGCTCCGTGAGAGATCAAAACAAGGTTGGGTAACAAATGGGTTACTGTTGACTACTCAGCTGTACTCTCTGTCTGTGGGAAAGCAGGCGAACAGATAAATAAAAAAACCGGTTGAGAATACAGGGTCGCTGTTATTGCAGACAATTAAACTTACAAAGGGAACAATACACAACAAAATTCCATCCCACATGGTTTACCTCACTCGTCCTCACCTTCTTCCTTCTTCACCTCTGCCTTCTCCTCCTCCTCGACGTCCTTGCCAGCCTCGCCCCTCAGCTTTGCCCCCCGGAACGCCTTTCTCAACTCGCACTTGCCCAGATTCCTGCCGCCAGCCTTGCACTCGTCGCACTTCTTGCCGTGGGTGACGAGCAGAATGTGCAGCCCGTACTTGTCCTCGTCTGGCACGCGGGCGTCGAGGTGCGCGTGGGTCTCGTCCCTCGACGCGCCCTGGGGCCGCCACCCGAGCAGGCCCGTGATCCTGTGGACGTGCGTGTCGACGGCGAAGCTCTCCCTGCGCAGGCAGAAGAGCAGCACGCAGCTCGCCGTCTTGGGGCCAACCCCCTGGAACGAGAGCATCTCGGTCATGGCCTCGTCGTTGGTCGCGTCAAAGAGGTGGTCGAGCGAGTACTTGCCGTACCGCTCCTTGGCCTGCCTCAGGATGCTGATGATGACGCGGCTCTTGACGACGCTCAGCCCGCCGCTCTGGATCGCCTTCTGCAGCTTGCCCTCGCCGCCCGCGACGATGGCGTCCCACTGGTCGCTGCCGCCGTAGACTTCGTCCATGCTGAGCTTGGCCCGCGTGCTGTTCTTGTCGCTCGTGTTCTGCGACAGGATCGTCCGCACCAGCGCGTCCAGCACCGACGGCGAGTCGCCGCACCCGGCGCGGTTCGAGGGTGCCTGCAGGTCCTCCTGCTTGATGCGCTCCCGCGGGCCGTGGATCGACGCCAGGATCTTGTGCGCGAGCTTGCACTCCTCGGCTGTCGGGCGCGCAAAGTCGGGAAAGGGCGACTTGTTGGCGTACTGCGTGTACGATTTGAGCTTGCGCGCCTGCAGTGCCTCGGCTTTGGACGGCGAGGCGGTGTCCAGCTTCTGTGGTGAGGCTGGTGACTGCTTGCTGTCCTCATCGTCGTCCTCGGCCTCCTCCTTGGCGTTGCGGCCTCTTCCCCTTCCCCGTGTGGTGGCCTGCTTCCGCGGACTAGGCGTTTCCGCCTTGACCGGCGACAGCATGACAGCATCCCCCTCCCCGTCTCCCTCGGTCTTGATCCGTTTGCCGCGTCTCCTCGTCGCCGACGGTGGCGACGCATGCTGTTCGTCTGCTTCCTCCTGCTTGACCTCGTCCGTGTCCGCAGAGGCCGCACCAGCGCGCCTCTTCCTCCCATTCGCGACCTTGCTCGTCTTTCCGCCGCCTCCGCCGCTATTGTTCTCGGCCTCCTGCTCCGCCTCAAGCTTGACGACCCGCGCGCTGCGCCTGCGTGGTGCCTCCTCCTCCTTCCCCATATCAGTAGCTCCACCACCACCACGCGCTTTCGCGGCGCTCCCTCGTCGCGCAGCAGCAGCCCGCGCCATGACGCTGAATCTAGCCGTCTTATCTTCCTCCCAGTGATGATAATGATGGTTCCGAAAATCCCGCACGCGGAAGGCAGCGGCACTATGACCTATACGCCCCCCACAGCCGCGCGCGCGCGCAAGAGGAACGAAAACAAGTCGGCAGGCCAGGAGGCACCACAACCACCGCGGATGAAGCGTTGTGTGCCGTGGGAAAAACAAAACCTTTCCCGTGCGTGCGTGCGTCCGTCTGTCCGTCCGAGGAACCGTCGCCGCCGCCGCCGTCGGCCTTTGTGGTTGGCACACACAGAGAAAAACAATCTCTGATATACAGCAGTCGGCCCAGGCGCTTGTTCCTAAACCTTAGGAGTGGCGGTGCTGCTTCTGGGACTGATTTTGCGCGCGCCGGTTGCAGTACTCCTCCTCCCGTCGTCGCAGTCACCGTTCGTCACCGTCGTCACTGTCGTCACCGTTGTCGGCGCTTGCTTTTTTCTGTTTCAAAGCTTTTCCCGTGTCTCCGATGATGACGATGATGATGATGCGATGCTGGTGGTGGAAAAGGGACCAGGTCTCTCCGCCGCAGCACACACACACACAAGAAGCAAGTATTCAAGCCGCAGTCGCGTGAGCCCAACCCGAAAAACACCCCTTTTGGAACTGATTGGTGATGGTGGGCGAGCCAAAAAGGAGGGTGGTTTTGTGTGTGTGTGTGTGTGTGTGTGCCGTGTACTGCAGGTTGCTTTTTGTGGTAGCAGGAAGTGGTGTCATAAAGTCCAATATGGGCGCGCCTCCACGCGCGCGTGTGTGTGTGTGTGGTTGATGGAAAATGCATGACGCATGCTATTATTCTTCTCCAAGAACCACCTTCCCACCCACCCGGTCGGTCCCAAGCTTCCCGCAATCTGCGCTAACGCGCACAGGATCTTCAGGGGTCCCCATCCAGCCCCAACACCCCACTTACAGTGATACTCCCCCCAGGGTTCAAATTGCGTTGCACTTCGCGCTGGCCACGTTAGCGTGCTGACATCACCACAAATCACCACGCCTCCGGACGTCTGTATGTCTGCTCACTGAGAACTGCGTCGTTTCTAGACTAAAAGTGTTGTACCAGCTACTCCTAATGTACCATGCTGGACCTTGAGCAGCTTGTGCTTTGACAATCTACAACTGATGCGCACCAACTCCCTAAAAGCAAGTGAATGATTCCCCTTTGAACGCCCTCGCTGTAATCCTTCCTAAGAATCCTTTGAACGCCGCTGAGTTTTGGATTGCTCCATGGCATGTAGCTCCAATAGCATATCCCGTGCCCCTTGGGTTTGCTGGCTTGCTATGAAAAACGAGGATCCTGCCCCTTGCAGGGCCGTCTTGTTCCGTCATCTACCCTGCAATCACCCCTTCTTGACGCTCGTCTTGCGCCCGAGGCCTAGCCACCTCCGCTTTCCCTGCAGTGGAGCGCCATTGTCTCCTTGCGACTCCACATCCGTGCCTTCAAGACCTAGTTTCGCTCTTCCGTCATCGTTATCCGGTTGAGGACCAGCCTCCACATTCACCCCACCCCCGGGACTGTGCTCAAACTCTGGCCGCGGAACGCGGTTTCGCAGAATCGGTGGGGGAGTCGCACTTTGCAGATCTTCTGACATGGTATCAGAAAGGTTGCGGTTCACGGGCCATGGCCGCGGCGAAGGAGGCGGGACACTGCACCGGCCGTCTCGTGGAGCATCTCTGTCTGCAGCGGGCGATGCCGGCGGCTGCGTAGCAGCCCCCGCAAGAGCTCCAGGCGCCATGCTGAGCGAGCCTGCTCTCCTAAAGAATGCATTCAGCCGCCCACGGGTCGTCTGCCCTGCAATGGGCGGGTACTGGCTCTTCTTAGCAGGCTCCCCGGGCTCGCTGTGCTGGCGAAGTGGTTGCATCTTTGGCGGCGAGGTCTGCGTGGCTGTGTCCATGCTGTGGCTCCGGTTCTTGTCACCGCCGATACTGAAACGTCGAGGGCTGCGGAACGGGAGTTTGTCAGTCTTCCTGCCCAGAAAGACGGTCCCGTCCGTGCTGCCAGTCCGCGCATGTAAACTGGAGATCCGATGTGGTGTTGGGGGCGGCGGCTGATTAGGTCCCGGCAGTTGGATCTCTGACACGCGGCGTTCCGTGTTGAGTGCTGCAGACATCTCGTCAAGGGGATCGCGCTTCAGAGCAGCCACTGGTGAGCTCATGACCCCTATGCCGCGCTGAGCACCAAAGATCTGGTCAGGCTGCCATCCGGAGCTGTTCGCAGGGAAGGAGAACAGATCTGGGCTTGATGATCGTTGCTGCTCAACCGGTCGACCGCCTCTCCGTGCTCCAGGGTTATTCGGCTTCAGGCTCTCCTGCATCCAATAGTCCAGATCATCTTCAGAATGAGCATCGGCACCGCCGTCCGAGTCAGAATCAGATGCCCAGCTATTCCCGCGGGCTCGCGTGCTGGACGTGGCCGCGGCAGATTGAGGCCGCGCCTGGGGCTGGCTGGTTGCGCTGAAGCTGGCAATGAGCACGTCAGTGTTGATCTGGGGCATTGCGTTGCCGCTCGTAAATGCCGTCAGCGACGCCAGCTGGCCATTCATGTCCGCAGAAGACTTTCGCATCGGACTCCGCGAGCCGTCCGTTGGTTTGTTGGCCCACTCGGGCGTGTGAATATGTGCATTTGATACAAACTGCCCCGAAAGGCTATCTCCCGAGGTGGCCACGCCTGGATGCTTGCGCAGTACTGAAGATGCAACAGTGTCTGGAGTCGGAGGGAGATTGTGATAGCCACCATGGTCCTTCTGTGGCAAGCCTGACGATGTGTTCACGTGCTGAAGAGTCTCGCGTCCCGCGCGGACGGCTCTCTGATATCGCTGCAGGTCGTTTGCTCTCGAGGGCGATGGCGTCATCACACCCTGACCGCGACTGCTTGGACGAGGAGATCCCATCTCGTATGGTGTAACCTCGGGTCTCCTTGCTTGCCTAGTTTTTGGCAAGGGCGACGAAACATCCATCACTTGGTTCAGTGAGTGCATCGGGACACCGTTCTTCGTCGCAGATCGATCCGGTGAAGTGCTCGCTGTACCAGCGGCTGCACTCCGAAGATCAGCAATACTCTCCTGTCTTCGGCGAGGCGATGCTGCCACTTGTGGACTATCCGCAATGACTTTAACCGTGGGCGGAAGTGCCGAAACGTATTCGTACCCGCTGCTGTCACCATATATGCTTGCGAACGAACTCTCGCTCAGCACGCTTAGGCTCGGGCTAGTAATTCTATTGAGCTCGCTCGGAGCTGCGCTGGCGTCCGAGATGTTCCTCGCGTGCACGAAGCTTCTCCGGTTCGCAAGAACGACATTCCTAAGGTTCTCCGTCTGCTCGCTATGCTCCGACAGAAAGCTCGGCATGCGGGGCAAGTGCTTGAGCTGTGGCTTTGGAGTCATCGATCGGTCGGCATCATTGACATGATTCGGGCTCGGGTGGAGGTATGGCCCGCCAACGTCCACCTGTCGCACCATCTCTCGTTCCAGCGTGAGTTCTTCTACACGCGCCTCGAGTTGCACGATCATCGCGACTGCTTCGCTGATCGCCTTGTCGCGGGCATCGAGTTCGAACTGCAGGTTGTTCACCGTGGTGGTCGCTTCCGCCTTTTCGGTTTCGAGCTCCTCGACACGTCCTTCGAGAGCGGTCTGTCGCTCTCGCCGATGGTAGAGCTCCAGTTTGAGGTCGAAGTTCTGCTTGTGCAAGGTGGAAAGAGCCTGTCAAGGTCAGCATGTTGAATCGTTCCTGATGAACTTTTTCTGGAGCGCTTACCTGTTCCATCTCCTTTACCCCAAAGCCCTTGTGTTCTCCCTGTTCAGCCACGCCTTCTCCGGCAGCCTTCTCCCCCATTGCGGTCGAACTTCTCTGCACTGGCGAGTCTCGGATATTTCGATCGCGGAGATCCCCAACGGAAGTGCTCATGCCAGAATCGGATGGCCGCCGGCTCCATGTGCTGCCTTCCAGCTGGCGCTCACGTTGGAGCCGTTCCTGCAGCAAACTAGACATTGGAGTGACCGCCTGCCGAATATCGTCGCCGGACGCTTTGGTCGCCTGTGAACGTTTCGAGTCGACCGAGTTCTTGCTTCCGTTCGGGTGGTGGTATCGATGAGATGGGTGTGAGCTGCTGGTGGGTGTTCCAGGCGTGGCTGTTGGCGAGAAGACGGCGGAAGACGCATTCCTGGGGGACGATGGCTGGGTGTTTGCACTCGAGAAGCTCGATTGGGAGGCGAGCTTGGCGTGGAGAGGCTGTCTCGCCTGAGCTCTTGCCTCTCTCGGGCACATAGGTGAATCCATGGTCATATTTCTCGCCGATCGCGTGCTGGCTTTACGTCTCGAGCTCCAAGATGGAGATCTATGGCGGGTTGTTGGATCGACAGCGACTCACCGCACCGAGCGAAGCGTTCAAAGCCGAAAGGAGTCTGTGCTCTCCCGGGAAAGTAGCAGATCAAGTATCCATCGACGAAAAAACAACGCCTTCTTCCCCACGGTTCAAGTTGCTGCTTCTGCTTCCAGTGTAGGCTGTTTTTACCGACCTCAAACACTTGCGAAGCTTGTGGCACGATAGCTAGCCCCGATATCGAATCGTGGTGAGGAAGTCGATTCCTGCAGCACACGACCTTGCCGGTGCGCCGTGAATCAAGTCGTGTAGCACTTGCAAATCATGCCCACCAGATCAGTGTTCCGCTCTGTTGTTAACCGAGCAGGACCCAACTACTCTGCAAGAAGATGTGCTTTTCGAAGTCGCGATTGGCGCCGGTACGGGCTGTGTGTCTGCAGGCCAGTGCCAGGCTGATATGTTCCTGCCGCACGTTGTCCCGAGATGTTATGTGTGTCTCAGCCCGACAAGGGCGTTGTTGGACGACCGCCGACTGAAACGAGACAAAGGATGGCAACACCAAGCTTGTGGTAAGCACAGGGTCGTGCCAATGCCACGAAGTTGTTTTGCTGCGGTGCTGGGACGGGTCGCCAGATATCCGGAGGGTTTCGCGCCACCGAGTCGTTCCTATGGTGCTCGGAAAGCTGTTTGGCTCGTCCTTTTTTCCGTAGGAGCTGTGGATTGACCCGGACGGTGGGCAGGGCCGGCGACGCCTTGAGGCACTAGAGAAATGTGTGGCTGACGATAGGCCCTAGCAATGCGACTAGGAGGTGCCTGCGGACGAAGGAATGTGGTGATGGCGTGTTTTTCTAGGTTGGGTAGTCGGAATGGTCAGGATGTTGGGGAAAGGAGGGTAATGCGCCAACACAGACGTAGACGTAAGAGCAAGAGCAGGGACAGGACAGAGGAGGACAAAGAGAGTCTGAGTTTGGCTGAGTGAGCCGGGGTCGGCAGATGAAAGAGGGACTCTGCACTGAAGTGACTGGCCGGGGACCAGGGCCGGGCATCACACCCCCGTCGCCTGTGACGATGCGACGTGACGAGCAAAGAGAGTGGGAGACGAGGAGGGCAGGGCTGCGTGGGCCCGACTGGAGTCGACCGGGGTTGTCGTCAGGCAGTGAGGCGTGCTCGCCCGCCCGTGGAGGACTGACTTATCACGGGCCGGGACAGGGCAGGCACGCAGGCACGCAGTCAGAGTGGCTTGTGGGCGTGCAAGGATTGCCCAGGTGTTGGAGGCTGCTCCTCAGATGTGGACAGACAGCCAGCTGTGTGTGCGAGGCACAACGGGGCAGGAGCAGCCGGCAGAACAAGGTGCTTGCCTGCCTGCGTGCTGCATCTCGCGCCGTGTGGTCTGGTGTGCCTCCTGTGCAGTGCAGTGCACCCTCATCACAACTTGAGACCTGTGGCTTTCGGCCTCTCCTCACAGCAGCACCACCACCACCACCACGCGCGCCGGCGTGGAGCGCGGAGCAGCGCGGATGGGCGGGCGCGCGGGCGGCCCCTGCATGTGCGTTGCGGCGTGCATTGGGCTGCAGTAGCGAGCGCGGGTGAGTGGGTGGGCAACTGGCCGGCCCCTGGCGACCAGGCCCTTGGAGGAGCGTGCTGGGATCTTAATTAATTGCAGCACCGCCGCGCCCTGGGACGGGCTGGGCATAATTGACAATAGCAGATGCAGATCCATCCTACCCCATACCATACCCGACCACAGGGCTGCCGGATTGGACAAACATGCTGTGTGTGATATTGGCCAAGGTGTGGTACGATAGGTCCGTTGGAGCTAGAAGTCAAACAATCGTAACAAGGACGGTGGTCGTAGGTGCCAAGACCGACATTTAAACATCATCAGAAACACCGGAGGCAAAGCCTCCCAGCTGCGACTAGTTATAGTACTGTGCGGAGTCAAACCACGGCTGCCTTTGGCCCAGAGCCCGGGGCCCAGGCTGCTTACGCTACGAACCGCGGTTCCGGGCCTTAATTGTTGATACGACGAGCCCAAGTGCCCATCGCGCCGGACCAGCTGGTGGGCCAAGCCGTTCCACAGCCACGCAAGACCACTTTGTACATCGTGCACTGGCGCGGCCTCTAGCGCAAACCATCTTTCGCGTCCCGCTCGTTGGCGTCTTCTCGTCTGCCCAGTGTGCTATTCATGGACTTGCAGAGTACTGATGGCGGGCGGGACAACCCGCACGGGTCCTAGCTGTTGGACAAGGCAAGAGCTTTCTGATTGCTCACTCAAGCTACGGGCTAATATTTGTCATCCATTTAGTACAGTACGTACGTGCCGTGTACACACCTGGCTCAATCGCACAGGGAAATCCAGCTACGGTCGCGCAACGCTGGAGGTTACCACCGTTGGTCGACGGTGCTGGACCGTCGTGGGCCAGAGTGTTGCTGCTGGGGGTCCGCCCTGCCGTTATTCTTTGTACCCATGTCTTGCTCCACCGTTTCCTCATTGTTCCGTATGCCGGTATCCCTGCCTGCCATGTTCAGGCCCAGGCCGGCGACGCCCATGCTCCCGGGGTCGACCCGGGAGAACGAGTACTCGGTGTTCACTGTATTCTGGTACAGCATCTCGTCATCCTCGTGAGTTCCTGCCATCATGTTCATTACACTGTTGTCTGCAAATGGATTTCCTGTGAGACTGGAGCGGCCGAGATGATCGCCACCCATGGCTGCACCGGTTGACCCTGCTGCTGCGAACGAGTATGAAGTCGGGCTCAGGTCCATCTCGTCGGGCATGCCAATCGCCGCACCGGTCAGCATTGAAGACATGGTCGGTAGAGAGTCGTCCTCAAGCTCAACTACGGCGTTGTCGACAGCCTCGGCGGTGTTGCGGTGTTGTGGCATGGATCCTCCAATGCTCGTTCCTGCAAACGCGGCAGGCAGACTTCCCAAGCCGAAAGCAGCTGGGTCTGTGATCCCGTTGAAGGGTATGGTCGGGCTGAGTGAAGCCCTCATTGCACCTGGCGACTGCTCGACAAGCATGAGCAGCTTTTCCGCAAACATCGTTCGGCTGTTGGGGCTTGAGCTCAATGTCTTGACGAAAAACTCGAGCGGGTCAATCGTCGGTGCCCACCTGCCCCCACGATGGCCTGCGACAAGGACGCCCATGTCACCTCCGCCCACGTAGTCCATGCCGGCGATGCCACCCTCGGCCGCACCACCACCGAAGGGCACACCCGGGCTCTTCGGCCCAGACTCGTATGCATTGAGGACGTTTACACACCACGTGCCAATCTCGAAAATCTTCTCCATGATCCCCATGCCGTGAACCTCGACGGCATGGCTCGGCAGGGACTGCAAAATGGCGGCTGTGTCTTTGGCTATACTGAGCGGGTATGAGAATGTCATGCTTTCGTCTGCAGGAGCGGTCGATAACAGCCCCTGCCGGAATGAGGACTGCCACACAATAAGCCGGAGCCACTGCTGTGTCATCAGGAGATCCGCCTTCTGTATATCTGTTGGCTCGGGCTCCTCTGTCGAGTCCATACTGCCGTCGGGACTGTTCGAGCCCATCGAAGCAGTGGCTGTCCGGCGACTGATCGCGCTGGAACGTCTCCTCGAAGGCCGGAGCAGGAAGTCTAGTGGGTGTGCAAGCAGTTGCTGTAGGTTCAGATATGTTGTGGCAGACACCTGCGGATCGCTGCCGTCATTCCATGCATTGACAAAGCTTTCATCGAGCGGGATATAGCTTCTCACTAGTTTCAAGAAGCCGGTGTGGATGTCTCTGCTCTCATACGCATGACCGTGTGCTGGCAGACTTGGTGTCTTCCTCAGAGTCAGTGGTTTGTTGCGTAGGATGGCGAAGCTCCGTTCCGTCACATATAAGATCCAGAACACTCTCCTCCGACATAGCGTCTCTTCGGGTGAAAGTCCATGGTACGTCTTGTCATCATCGAGGCCCATGTCCATGGCCAAGGTTAACGCCTCCCGCAGGTAGTACCAGCTCTTACGATTCTGGTTGATCTCGAAAAAGCTCGTGCTCAGCCAGAAACTGGAGATGACAGCGGAGAGAGATGCGTCCTCGAGGAAGTCGTACTCCTGGCGCACGGATATGCATTCGTCGAGGAAGAACTTTCCAGCCAGCTCCCAATTCGGCGCACCCGGAACGGCGAGCGATTTCCCAGACATGTGGAATGAGGTAAGAGCAGACATGGCGTAGATGAGGTTCTTCTCAGGTGCGCTCATGGGTCGCGAAATGATGGTACGGACTGCCGGCATATAGAGAATGGGCATGATTGGATAGATGTGGTCGTAGTATAGATCAAGACACCGCGGGATGAGGTGTGTGTAATCGCGGCTGTTCGGCCGGAAAGCATCGGTAGTATATGGCGATGTGGGCTCCGATGATGTACGGCGAAGCGCGGCCGGGGCACCACCAAGGTCAAAGCCTGGCATGAAGGGGGGCGGTATTGGTGGTGTGATTTGAGGCACGGGCACCGCCGGTGGCGGGAAGTAACTGGCAATTTCTGCAGTGGGTGACGAAGGCCCAGTAGGTGCGCCTGAAGTCGGCGCCGACGAGTCGAAATAGAGTGAGCCATCGTAGTAGTCGACGTCTTGCAGGCCGATGGCGCCCGGACCCAGATAAGATGGTTGACCTAGGTAGAAGGGCTGCCCTTGTCCTCCGCCCTGACTGGTGAAGCTGCCGCTTGACGCTGGGCCTGATGTCTGCTTGTCGCTCTCTCTAAGCTCGTCAATGACACGGCCATGTCCGCGTTTGGGACCTCGCTTCTTGGGGACATGGTCTCGCTTGCAGGTCAGAGTGGCGTGAATGCACTGCTGACAGGGAATGTTGCCGTCGCATCTGATTCCTAGTAACGAGGGAGGGTCAGCATCGAAGTTGGAAAAAGAATTCCTACAAGAGAATGATACGGTAAAGGACGCTCAAGCGCGCATCGAAGGCCATTTTCAACGGGGAAACCATGGTCAAAGTGCACATCAGAGTGCAGTTGCTGGAAGGTCAAGGCCGGTGCTGACGGTGGCTTTCAGGGATGTGGGGAAGGAGCAATGCCAGTCCGAACATTACTGAGCCCCTATGAGTGTGACTGCACACCGATATCCCCCAACATGGCGAAATGCACAAACAAAACCCAACTCGAGGAGAATGTCGACTCACTTCTGCGCCTGCAATGGTCACAGACGATTCTCTTGTGCTGACCAGCAGCAGCACCAGCCGCCGACGAGGCCTTTGTCGTGGTCGGCGATGTCTTGGCTGCCGCCGACTGCTGCTGCTGCTGTGCCGCACCGGCCCCCGATGATGCGGCTGAGGTGGGTGGTGGAGTTGATCGGCGCTTGCGCGAGCGCGCGGGGGATGTTGACAACTTGAGGCTGTCGCTGCTGCCGTGGCTGTTACCCAAGCCCTCCCCACCGCCGCTGCCCGTGTCGATGCTGAGCTCCTGCTTGACGAAGCCTGCGCGCGGGGGCGAGGTGGAATACGGTGGAGGGGAGCTGGCGGACGAAAAGTACGAGTCGAGCGTCGACGACGAGAAGTCGCGCTGCATGGTGCCTGTGACGATGGGAGGGAGCTACCTCCGCACGGCCAAGGGGACAGGCGCAGCACGCGCGTGCAGGCGGACAGGCAGGCGGGACAGTTAGCTGGCAGAGTGTCTAGCGCCGGCAGGGTATCCGGCCTAGGAGAGCTGTCCGTCCAGTCTCAAGGAGTGCCGGTGTCGATCGTCGTCCTTTAGTCCCAGGGCATATGTCGGCAGGCGAGTGCTGGCAAGAAGGCAGAGGGCGGAAGGTGTGCAGGCGTGGTGGGAAGTTCCAGCGCAGATTCGAGCGAGAGAGAGCCCAGAGGGGAAGATGGGAGGAGGGGGAGATTAGCACATGTATGTGAGGAGACACGGGCAGGCGCTGGGGGGCAGTAATGCAGGGCAGCGGGCGATTGCTGTTGTCGTCGTCGTCGGTCGAGGCAGCCGTTGTGCAGGCTGGCTTGGACAAGCGCGAGTGTACCAGAGGCTTCCGCTGGCCCATCTAGTGCTGCAACGGCGTCGACGACGTCAACCGCGCACGGCGAGTGCGCTGCTGCCCCGACTGCCGATTGGGCGGGCGCGTGATCACCAGCGGCCTGGAGCTGAAGCTTTCCCCAGGTTTCTGGCACCGCGTGCGGGGAAGCTGGGCTTGCTGGCTGCTGGCTAACTGGCTGGCTGGCCAGTCCAGGCGGGGGTGCCCCCGTCGCCGCCACATGCACATGCCCTGCCCGCCCAATCTTCCAAGCGAGCCCAAGGTGCTTGTCCTGCCTGCCCCAACTCTAATGCCAGCCTGCTCAGGCTGCGACTCGTGCGCCGGCGATCCCCGTTGCCTTCCTTCGCCTAATCCTTGGCCAAAGGTTACGCTGGCGCTGGCCGTCCAGTGCCCAACACCTGTTGTCGTCTGTCGTCAATCAACGTTGCAGAACGTGCCCGCTTACGTAGGTATCTCTTCGCCTCGCGTACCCAAAATGTCATGATTTCGTTCAACAACGCCATGTGCTATGCTGCTTATCGTTTCCTTCTCAGAGAGATGGCCTCACAACTCGTCTCGCTCTCTCTCATAGAACTGCTCCTGGCTGCCCTCGTCCTCCTTGTCATCGCCCTGGTCTTGCTCCTTCCGCTGGCCGCCTTTCGCCTCTCCCTCTGACTCGTCAGCGTCCTCCATGACCACCGCGCGGAGCGCCCTCGCGTCGTCCTCGCCTCCAACCTCGATCAGCTCAATCTTCCACTCCTTCTCGCCTGCAACCTTCTTCATTTCCTCGCGCAGCTTCTCAATCGTCTCCGGGTCAATGCCCAGTCGTGCCATCTCCTCGTCGGTGAGCGTTTCAAACGACTTCTCCTTGCCAGAGCCTCTGGCCACCAGCTCGAGTACCTGCTGGACAGCATCCACGTGCTGGCGAGCACCACGCGGCGGCGACAGCCGAGCAACCTCGTCGCCAAAGGTCTTTCTCCCGCCGACAACGATGCCGCCAATCGTCACAGGGCCCTTGCCGTTCCCCGAAGCGCCGCCGCCCCTGCCCTTCCCGACCAGCATGTCCTCGACCTCGACCATCTTCTTCTGACGCCATTCGTCGATCCCTTCCACGGGGATAATGTCTCTGCAAGTGATGATGTTCGCCTTGGTCTCCTTGGGCGGCAGGAATGCAACGTCGTCGCAGAGCCGCGGGGTGTGGACGACCATGAGGTACGCACACGTCGTCACCTCCTTGATCCACCCGATCCGGTCCTGCGTGCTGCCGGGGCTGCAGTGGTACTGGATCTCAATCGTCCGCTCACGGCCCGTGAGGTCACAAATGGTGCCGGCGTCCAGCCTCTGGACCATGTAGCGCTGGTCGCCCTTGACTTGTAGCTCCATATTTGTCGACTGCTGTGAGGGTGTGTTTGTTGTAGCTGCTGCCGCCGTCGCGGGCTCGCCCACTTCGCCATTTATCTGTTGCTCCTGTTGCTGTTGTTGCTGCTGCTGCTGCTGCTGTCTCGATTTCCTCCCTCCAACACGACCAAGCACATACTCCATGGTTTGCGGATCCCTGACCGGCGGGCCGATCTTCATGCTGCCAGGCAGCGCATGGAACTGGACCACGCTCTGGCCGTAACAAAAGGTATAGCTCCACCACCCGAGGACGTAGTGCAGACACGAGCCCTCGAGCCCGTTGACGAGATCCCACCCGTGCGCCGACGCCCGCGCGAGCTCTTTCGCCTCCTCGGCTTTGGCCAGCTCGGTGGCCGTCTTGTTGGGCGCGACGGGCGCCTCGATGACGGGGATTGCGCACAGGTACCGGTGCGGCGGGGCGCTCATGATCTCGTACGTCTCGGTCACACTGTCTTCGTCCGTCTCGTCGTTATCGTTGCCGTCGTCGTGGCCGCTGCCGCGGCTACCGCTCCCGGGTGCGAGGTCCGTAGCATGGGAGTCGCTGCCGCCGCTCCCTCCCCGCGTCGCTGCCCGGCGGCTACTGTGCACCTCGGCCTTGTCGAGGAGTGCTTGCGCTTCGGGTTCTAGGATGTATGCTTCGGAAATGACCACTTCGAACTAAAACCCACGTCCAATAAACATTCCAATCGTCAGCGTCTGCAGATAGACGTCTTCACCCCGGCGTATTCCCCTCTGTAGCACTCGCCTGCAGGCCAAAAAAAGAAATACGTACCTGAGGATAAGCCAGCAGATCCTGGTGTATGCTAAACCCGGGCTGCCGCTGCTGCTGCTGCTGCTGCTGCTGTTGTACTCCTGCCGCTGCTGCCACCGTGGCCGCAGCGGCAGCGAGGACAACGCCGTGCTGGATATGCCGCATTGTCGTCGTCGTCGTCTTTGTCTCGGCCCGTCTCGCGTAGTATATAGCCCCCGTCTCCCTTCCCCCTGTCGTGAACTGTCCTTCTCTTTTTGTTTCCTTATGCAAAAGGCCCGCGAAGGGGAGGGCTAGGCTCAGGAAGAGGGTGCAGTCGGATACATTGGGTGTCGTGCCGTCCAGACAGGTTTCGCTCTCGTCTGCCAATTTGTGCGTGGGTGTGTGTGTGTATGTGTGTGTCCACTAATTTTTCAGGATATTATAGTGCACTTGCTGATCGATGCTGGAGATGTCCGCTACTACTGCTGATTGTTGGCTGAATAGGTCAAGCGATGATTGATGTGGTGGTGGTGGATGTGGTGATGGATGTGGGGTGGCTGACTGCTTGCTTGCTTGGTGGATTGGGGGAGAGCGTTGGCGGGTACAATCTGGCCAAAACTCGAGCCCCCACCCCCCTGCAGCCAACGCCCATCCTCTATCCCGCACGAACGACGGAGGAACGCCGCCCGAGGCTCCAGCCAGGCAAAGGTGGCTTCATCGCTCGTAAAGCTGCGGGCCTTCTAACATAACACCACCACCACCACCCCTGCCGCAACGGATGACGGGCTTCGCCGAGCTCGAGCATCACTCACCCCGGACTTTCGAGCAAGCTCACAACATCAGAACATGATTGATATCAATTCTGTGTCCTGTTGAAAACGGATCACTTTTGTGCTGATAAATGTCCATGATGTGGAAATGCGTGGTTGAGGGAAGTGTGCAGACGTCCCTGTCGTGTTGAATGCTACCCAAGCCTAGAGATTATATATATGCGTGAACCATGCTGTATACATTGTGCACCACGTTGAAGCCATTCAGGCTTCCTTCCGCAGAATGTCCTAGAACCGTAGGGTGCTGCCTACTAAGGGCAAAGTACAAATGATAATAGTTATGGGGGATATCATGGAGAGAATGAAAAGCAACGGCCTATCTCCCACCTTGTGGGGAAGAGGTCGCAAGGAAAAATTGCAGGTTGAAATGATGAACAACCAAAAGCTTTAAAAAAAAGAACGCCTCGCTATGCAACGTCTTGGGTCTCGTGACACATGAATAGACAAGCCGCCGTCCCCCAAACCCTGATTGTCCCATCCCGTCTATGTAATGATATTATTTCCCGTCCCATTCCCGTTCCCGTTCATGCCAACTCTTGTTTGGTCTTCAAAATCACGAACGCCTTGGGCTGTTTCATCCCATGTCTTGTTTCCAGCACCAGTGATCAGGCACGTCGAGTGCGTGTTACTTTGAACGTTGTTGTTTCTTGGTGCGTCTAGCATTCCCCTGCGTGCGTGAGCACTGCAGTGATGCAGGAGTGCCATGAATGTTTTTGTGATGCAAACGTAACCCCAGTGGCGATATTGCAGTCTTGATTGTAGGCGTAATCCGCTGCATAGGTCGTGAAACTGGGTTTGAAGTGCTTGAAGAGAATGCTGAATGACTGAGTATGGCTGGGGCTAACCCACGCCGTGTTTGTCAAATATATGTTCCGAACAGAAATAAGCTGCCAGGCGTAGATGTGTTGAATATGTGCAGAAATGATGTGACTCCTTCGTAGGCGCAATGAAATGTGTTCTTTTTTTCTTTCTTTTGTGTGTGTGTGTGTGTGTGTGTGTGTGTGTGGTTTGAGTCTGTTCTTTTCTTGCGCTCGTCATGTCGTCAAGTATTGGGCCAAGTTGGAGACAAATTCCAAGGTTGCAGATTACTGAGGATAAACCATCTCGAAACCCATGTCATCAATCGCCAGGCCGTTCAACCCTGAGTGAGGCACCATGGAGATCGCAGTCGGTCCAAACGGACCATGGCTCATGAGTTCCTGGGCTCCATAGCCGTCAAAGTTGGATCCATAGTTGAAGTGCATTTGACCCGGATGGCTAGAGCCGAAGCCGTCGGTCGACATGACCATTCCCTTGGACATGCCAGTAGGAAGCACGTGCATGACGCTGGGGTTCTGAGTCGGCATCGGGTAGTTGAAGTCGACTACGGCGTGGAAAGGAGGATCCGTGAGAGATGCTGAGATGTTGTGCGAGTTGTCTTCATCCAAGTCCTCGTCGACCTCGCACGCATCGTCGTGAGCGTTGACCCAGACTTCAGTCATCCAGTTCTTGAGCTCGCTCATGGAGGGCCAGTCACCGCCACCTTTGCCACCACGGCGGTCTTCGGAGGTCGAGTTGCGCTTGTTCTTTTGCCGGGATGGCTTCTCCTTGAAGTGTGTACGGCGAAGATGCGCAGCGGCATTGTAGTAGGCGCCGTACTTCTTGTTCGCCTTGCATGCCTTACACTTCGAGAGGGGGTTCACCACCGCCACGCCAGGCGGAAGGCCGCGACTTTCCGGGTCAACGCACATCCATTTTCTAACCAGGCTTTGGTGCTTTGCATCGCGATGGCGGCGAAGTTCGTGGTCGCCTCGGAAGCCCTCCGGGTGCTCGGTACATTCCGTGCAGAACACCCGCGGCTGCCTAGGACGAACGTACTTCGCCTTGGGAATACTGGCTTTGCCATCCTTTTTGCTGGTAGGACTGCTGTCTGTCGAGTCATCGTTGGGCTTCGGTGCAAGCGCAGTCTTACCGGCTCTGGCAGTCTGTTCTCTCAGCGTCTCCTTGGCTCGAATGGTGGACGACCTGCTGCTGTCGAAGCTGACGTCCGAGATTGACCGTTCCATGCTTGCCGAGTTGAGATCACTAGGAAGTTCGGCATACTGGTTCGAAGATGGCTGGCCCATGCTCGAGCCAATGGCGTTGAGAGAGTCGTTGTGCAAGTACTGTTTCTTGCTCAGAGGGCTGAAATCCTCTCCCGACCCGGAGCTCTGCGTGAATGGGTAGGAGCTAGCACTCTGGTGTGACATCTGCGAGCCAATCTGGATCATATCGACAGCACCAGTTATGGACTGATGGTCAAACAGGCTGTTCTCCCGGGTCATGGGGACGGTGTCGTTTGTGTAGGACGGGCCAGAGGTCATGGATCCGCACGTCGACATGTTCTGCAGAGAAAAGGGCATGTTCTCATCGAAAGGCTGAGAGGTGAGAGAAGTTCCAAAGGACGCTGCAGAATCGTCTGCGCAGGGAAGACTCGCCAGGTAGATCTCGGGGTCAATGAGGGCAGAGCCTGACGTGAGACCGACTTCGGGCACTGAAGGCATGTCCTGCCTACCGGGCCACTGATGTCGGTCAAACATGTTTGAGCTGCCTTGGAGGCTGTCTTGCCGAGAGTGCATTGAATTTGACGGCCCAGCAGCGTGCGTGGGAAGATTTCGTGAACGTGGCAGTGCAGGGACGCGCGCACTTCCCGTGAAAGGGGTGCCCTCAGATATAGAGCGCGCCATAGCCATGCTGCTGGCGGCGGGCACAGTCCGGGGCCTCTTTGAAGGGTGGACGACGTCCGAGTGGCGTGTCTACATTGGCAGGTCAGTGGACTGCGCTCTCGCCAAACATGAGGCTGTGCGACGGGAGGCAAGGACGCAGGTGTCTACTTACAGGGAGCGGTGCTGGCCGCTGTTGCGCGTTGACCTGATTTGAGCGAGGCGAGGTTTTACTTCGAACCATGCAGCCGGATATCATGGCTGATTGCTGTGCAGCTCCTGAGAGTTGGTATGCATTGTGGTAGGCAGGATCCGGGTTAAGACTCGGGCTCGGAGGCTCAGCAAAGTGCTGCGGCTGGTATGCCTGCATGTGGGTGAGCTGGTGCTGCTGCTGTTCCACGAGGGCACGCAGGTGCTGGATCTCGCGCTGGCTGGCGCTTCTATGTTTATTCATGTTATACGCCAGAGACGTTGTTGGCTGGGCGGCCAGTGTGATAGTAATAGGCGGTGGTGGTGGTGGTGAGAGCTGTCTGTAGGATGATACGCTGGTGGTCGTGGACCAGGGTGGCGGGGGTTATGGATGTGTGTAAGTCGATGGTCTCAGGCACGCGGTTGAGGGTGCTGGCGGCTGAGGATGAGACGTTGTACTCGGCAGCAGCGGGAAATGGGCCGTATGTAATCAAGAGGGATCCCGGCTCGGCAGCATGCAAGCAGGCTCCTATCGTTGCGTGACGTGAGGCGTAAGACGTGGCCGTCGACACTGGAATGTCAAGCCAGGATGACGGAAGGGGCGGGGGGGTTATTATGGTCACTCAGTCACTCGCACTGGAGGTTTGGGAGCGGCATGCGTGGACAGTGGGGTGGTGCCCATGTCGTGGCTGTCGCCCAAAGGCCCGTGTGGGGGCGGGTGTGTGACTGTTACGACTGGGCGTGGGCACCAGCAGCAACAGCAGCAAAAACACACACACACACACACAACTCGGCGGCTGGGCGTTTGGACCTCCTCTCTGCCCACTGGGATATGCTGGTCAACGCTCGTCGTATCAGCGATAGCCTTTAGCAGAGCAACCCCTGTCGGGTGTGTGTGATCGAAGCCCAAGACGCACAGCCCAAGGCCTCTTTCAGCTTCCGAGGGTGGGTGGATCTGGCGTCCTGCTCTTCCAACACAGAGCTCCCTGCCACACTAACGTGCTTTGCTGCACCGCACTCTTGAGGCACCTGTTCCGACTCCCTTCGTTGCAAATTTGGTCCTGTCACTGGTAGCCAGGGAACAACAACATCATGGCTGGCTGCTGCTGCGCATCGCACATCCAGTCACAGTTGCTGCAGGCACCGAGCTTGTGGTCCGCGGCCCATACTCCACGCTTTGCCAAATGGGATACTTTGCGCGAGCACGGACATGCTTGGATTGTACAGGTCAGTTTCCTCCAAGCAACCTTGTGCCGGATGAGCACTGGGGCTTGGCAATGGCTGGTGACCACTGATGATGTGGCGCCAGCAGCCGTGGCATCTAGGCACCTTGGCTTAGACAATGGCTGTCTGTCCAGACCTCACCGAACTCCCCGTCAGCCGCCGGATGTGAGCCATGGTTCTGGCCGATCGAGCGGAGGGCAGGGGCAATCCACAACAACGTTTGAGGGTTCGCCCAGTTGACTTTGCAGAGCCGAGTCCATCTTTCTGCAAAGCTTCTAGTGCAATCAATCTGTGATTAGCAGTTCGATCGGGAAAAGGCTATGGGCGTGCGTTGTCAATCCAAATGGGGCTGCTCCACCTATTAGCTGATGTTGGCATTATTAGTAGCAGGTCTCACCGCGACATCTGCGCTGGTGGGCGGGCGGCGCAGAGGATGTGAGCACTACTGAAACAGGGAAGAGCCTTGTTTCACTTCGCGCACTTGCGAGGTAAGGCCTGTCAAGCAGCGAAGCCAGCTGAAGACGGCACGAATCACGTGGAGCCCGCTTGTGTGGCAGATTAAAGTTGGTTGTTCCTTATGCGATCAGATGAGGAACCTCGTGGCGCGACGCTTAGCTCGGACAATGCGCACCTCCTCGATCTCGCTCTGGCCGAGCATGTGCTTCGAGCGGACAAGCGCAACAATCCTATTTAATTAGCCGGGGTTGCCGAGTATCAAAAACAAAAACGTAAGCAGCGTAGCGCGGTAGCGCGTCGTGCTCCAGCGGCCTGGGCACACAACGGCCAGTAATAGTAGGCCCCCAAAGCAGGATGGGATTGTCGATTGCGTCAAAAGTGCCCGGTGGCAGGGCATAGGAATCGGAGCCGCGCGCACCATCAAGGAAGGATCTGTCAAATCTGTCAGCGGAGCGAGTGCCGATGTGCTGGAGGCCGCAGACCCACGCTGTGATTCGCTGCAAGTCCCGGGTCTCACCATGGCGCTCCCTTTTTGAGTTGGCGCCGTGGAGCGATCCACTCGGCTGATTGGAATCTGATGCTTTGCAAGAATGAGGCGGACATGAGTCCTGCAGCACCTGACTAGCAGGACTGACAGGCAGGCCCTGCCTCGAGCACCGCCAGCACGTCGATTTGGACTGGAGTGGGCCCTTCCCCGGGCACACGAGACGCTGGAGCACCCCAAGCTTGGCCGGCCAGTACACTGCTCTGCTCCACAGCATTTGGGTGACGACGTCATCGGGTCTGTGCTGCCCACATGGCGTTGTTGACGGCGGGTGTTTCCTGGAGAGCGCATTGTCTCGTGGGATGAACCGCACGGCGTCGGTGAAGGCTAGTCTCAACTAGGCGGGGTTCACCCGTCCATGGGTTTTCTGTACATGAGCCGCATCGTGATCGCGGATTACTTTAGGCATGCCGTCGGGCACGAAGGGGTGGCTGGTCGCTAGCTCGCGCGTGCTTGGTCGCCTTCCTGCACTACCGGTTGCTGCCTTGGCCGATGCCTTGTTGCAAGTTGTGCAGCCCGCACAGCCTTGTGCTCTTCGGGCCGGGACAACGGAGCCCTTCGACGGAGCGGTCAGGAGCGGTTCGCAACACGTGCCACAAGTCAGCGAAGATTGCCGCCATGTCGTGTCATTGCCGCCATCGGTGTAGGCGGGTCGGGCGCCTGCTGCATCGGCGGCAGCGGCAGGCTGCAGCTTGGTCGCGGATGACGCCTGGTCGGTTGCGCGAGAGTCCGGCCGCGCTGGGGGGAGGATTGCTTGGAATGCTGCGTTGGATCCAGCATTCGCCGGAGGAGGCAGTTGCTTGGATGGGCGTGGGTGGGTGCTGGCGGAAAATGATGCGCTGCGGGCCTGTCCATTGCCAATGCCTGGCGCTGGAGGCAGGCCCAGGCGCTGTCAGCCGAGACAGAGGCAGAACCTACAATGGAGAAGGGTCGCGAGAGTCGAAGCCACAGGTTGTGTTCAAGCTTGCGAGGCGGGCCAAGGTTGCGAGATTCACTTCTGAGCATTCGAGGGTCCAGTGAAATGGCTTGATTGACTGTTTCGGCAGTTGCAGTGGTGGCTGCTGTTTGCTCCAGCGTGTTTCGGCCAAGGGCGCCCATGGTTTGTGCCTAGGCGGGCCTGTACTGATGGTGGGTGGCACGCACCTGCCGCCATTCCGACGCACGCTCTTGCCCCGGCAACCATGTACCAATATCCGTAAAAATGCCAGACCCGGAGCATCCAGAACTCGGGAACAGCCGCCCACTGGAATGTTCAGTCGATTCGTGCTGCGTCAACGCCATCCCCATCTCGACTTCAACGTTTGGCAGGCCATCCCCACGAACAGGTGGCCACAGCAAGAGACCCTGGGGCTGTCGCCAACGAAACCCTGAATGTTTTACCGGCCAGCCGACAGTTCCTCCATCATCTTGTGTGTCCGAGACGACGCCCAGAAGCCTCTTTCCCCCTCTTTTCGCCTCTGCTAAAAGCCACCTCGGTAGACCACACCAGGCGCTGTCTCACTCGTCGTATACCATCTTCTTCGTGACGCCTCCATCGACCACAAGTTCCTGGCCATTGACGAACTTCTCCCGCGCCAGAAACTCCACTGCGGCAGCGATATCCTTCACCTTGCCTACCCGCCCAGAAAAGTGCCACTTGTGATCCGCCTCTGTCAGGCCGTCCTCCCATCGCGCACCCCTCTCGTCAGCCTCCTTGCTCTCGTTGGCAACATTGATCCAGCCTGGCAAGATAGCGTTGACCGTGATGCCGAGTGGCGCCAAGCTACTTGCCATGCTGTGTGTTAGGCCCAGCAATCCCGCCTTGGTGGCTGCGTAGGGCTCACTGTTGGGTTCAGACTGGTGTGCTCGCGTGCTCGACATGTGTATGATGCTGCCACCACTGGCTCCTGCGCTTGTATTTTGCTGGCCCCTCGCCTTGAGCATGGGCAGACACGCCTGGCTCAGAAGGAACGGTGCCGTGAGGTTCGTCTCGAGCGATGCTGTCCAGTCCTCGAGACTAAGGCTTTCAAAATCTGAGCCACCGACGGCACTTGTCACTGCGGCGTTGTTGACGAGGACGTCAAGTTTGTTGTCGAAAAACTCCGCCACCTGAGCCACGGCGCTGAGAATCTCAGATGGCTTGCGCAGATCCGTCAGCGAGTGGCTGTACCTTGTCCTGGGAATCTCCGCAAGGACCGAGGTAACCGTGTGCTGCAGCTCCTCGGCATTGCTGTCAAGCAGGAATACCCGGTGACCGCGCTGCAATAAGAGCCGAGACAGGCCGCGCCCGATGCCACGGCCGGCGCCCGTGATGAGGAAGTTTAGCGAAGTCGGTGCCGATGACATATTGGGGGTTCCGGCTCTGGTGTTTTCTTACGAGTGAAGCGATGAGACAACGCAATTGCAGCCACTTGTCTCTGTTCGGCACTTGAGAGAGCTTTGCTTGTGCAAACTTTGACAATGTCACAGCCCAGAGCCTTTTCTTCTCGGTCCCGGTCGTGCGCGCAACGACGGAAAGAGACAGAGCAAGGTTTCATGACGTAATCCCAGAGTGTGCCCAGGCCCGCCCAAAAACCGTTTCCGGCCTCGGCCTCCCTCTGGAATGCTGGCTGCGGACATAACTTCGACTAGACAAGGCCATTGATGTTATCATGTCTTATTGTGTGTACAAAAGATTGCACCAGTCCGACAGCAGCAACCCCAGTCGTCCAAGGAGGCAATAAGCATTTCAGAATGTCATGCTGCACGAATCGGTGATTCTTTGGTCCAATCGATGATGCATATCAGGGTTCACACAGCACCAGGGATCTCCGGAAAAGAAGCAAGTTACTGGTTTTTGAGTTGATGGTAATGTTGGCCGTGCATTTAGTGATTAGGGTTGTTCCGGTCAAAGGTCCCCTTTCCTTCTTTCCTTCCATCCTTCCCTTGAACCCCTCCTCCTCAGCTTTGCACCTCATCGTGATCTCGTGTCTGCGCCGTTGTTTCTGAAGTTTGTCTTGCCGAGCAAAATGCCCTGCTGCAGTCTTTTCGTGGCGCAATTATTATGTTTCGCACTTGACGCCGTTTTGTCTAGGATTGGAGTGACTGCCGTGTCGTAGAATTGTTTCGGATGATAGGAGGGAGACGGGAGGGTTTCGCGTTGTGGCGGCGAATGGGAGGTCGAGCGTTGTTTCATTTCCCGGCCAGCTGACGTCGGCCCTCCTGCTGGTGCACACACGGGGGTTGGAACACTGCAGGTGCTGGAGCGCATGGGGGGTTGGAATGCTCGCTGTGTGTATTTTCTGCAGCGATAAGACTGTCAACGACATTGTATGCATGAACCGGGCAAGAGTTGGAGATCATCTAGTCTCTTAAGATGCACCAACAAGCCGATTTCAGTTTCCGGCTAGTTCATATCAGTTATCGTGACTTCAAAATATCTCTTTCACAAAAATACCCGTAAATGGCCCGAGTCCACCGGGTCTACCTGCACGTGTTCTCCAATAGCTTGACGATCTCACCAGTCGCAATATTGCTGACCGGCGTTTCCAGCCACGATAAAGCAATAGCTCTGCCTCACTCTCCTAGAGAATCTGTGAATCCGTGGCGGTCGTTGAGCTGCATGGGCCAGCTCACTCGCTACGGAGTGATCATGAAACAACCGGACTAGGAGAATCAGAAACCCGCCGGCCTCCATCTATCACAGTGCTGCTAGATCCCGAGGAAATACGGACGAAAGGCGACTCGTGCCCACTATCCGCTTGACTGGTGCCATTCTTGGGCAACTCGACTCCAACGACGACTCGCACCGCCGCAGGCGTCCCGGCACGAAACTGGCCGGTGAAGTCACTGCCGACCAAGGTCGACGCGCTTGTCGAGTCCCGTATATTGGTCGCATATGATACGGAGCGTCGCGCTGAATCCGCAGGCGGGGATGGTATGTTCATTGGACTAAATTCGTAGGGTTCCCGAAGCGAGTAGGAGCTCGTTTGCGGCGTGACTGGCGGGTGGCTCGGCCACTTTGATGTCGTGCTCCCCCCGTCAGGCGTGACAGCCATGAGTGGGAAGTAGCCTCCGTCTCTCGATTTGGCCGCCGGGCTGCTGGCGTCGATGGAGTTGGAATAGAAATCCGCCGGGATGAGCTTTCCTGATGAGAGTCCATATTGGCTGATGTAATCGGCGCTGCTGTAACGCCTTTGCAGCTTCCTCCTCTCGTCAATGCCCACCTTTCTCTCTGTGCGCAGTGGAAAAAAAATCATGTCAGCAGCTTCTTCAAGGTCAATGTGACGCGCGGTTCTTTTGGAAGTTGACCTACCGCTGATGACCTGCGCCAGGCCGAAAAGAATGTATGCACAGGAGAGTGCTGGGACAAGCTGACCAAATGTGGTGGTCTCGTTCTCTGGGTTGGGAGTTTGCATCCACCCTGAATTGTGTGCCCACGTTCGAAGTTCATAGAAATAGCGTACCGTCGTTGCTGTGGTGTATACTGCGATGGCAAAGCCAAGCGCGAGGAAGACACAGTAATAGTAGTGTCGGATGACCCGGATTGCCATGCCCGTGCCGCCCGGGCGGTCGGCCAAGGAGTCTGTTTTTTGACGCATTGCTCGACCTGTGCCAGTGCAACATCTGGCGCAGCAGTAAATGATGAGCCTCCCGAACACTGTAATCAACGCAAGCCCATAGTAGAGCATAATGCACACGAAGGCTGTCCACCCTTGGATTCTGTTCCAGCCAGGTGTAGAGTCCTTGAGCGTCGTGAAGAACGCGTTCACACTCGCAGTACTAGCCTGGAGCGTCCCGAGAACAGCGCTATCTGTACTCTGGAAACATGCTGCTGGGAGAAACAATAGGCTATCTTGCCCATCGATATGCGACAACGTGGTGGGGAATTTGAGGGCACCGCGTGCGTTCTGGTTCATCATGAACATGGTGGTCATGAGGATGAACAGGCCAACGCAAGCAACTCGGACGAATGATAGCACCGTATGTCTCCAGTACTGGCGAACGGCCCCGACGGCAAGGATATGAGTGGCACACGAGATCAGCAGCATTGCCGAGATCATGTTGTAGTGATATGCGGAGACCACGCAGCGTCGATAGTATCGCATTGTTATACCGTACGCCGCGCCGGTGAAGATCTGCTGATCACTGCAGCATAGTACGAAGGTCTCGAATACCTCAGACCAGCTGATTGTGGGCCCTCCTGCTTCCTTCTGCCTGGTAAACGAGGTCAGAGCAGTGAGGAAACGAGGTGTGCCGAGCGGGAAGATTCTGGGACATACTCTTTTGTTCGCGCTTTGTCTTTGGACCAGACCTTTGCGAAGCCCATTGCAAGCAACGCCAAGCTGAAAAATATTGCGGCTGATGTTACACTTATGAACGTGATCAAAATCTGGATGTCGCGTCAGCGGGATATTCACGATGATAGTGGGAAGAGATCAGCCTACCAGCTGGCCTGCAACATCAGCATCGCCAGGCACATTGCCTCGCTCGATGCCTCCAATCGATGTGTAAGGTGGCAGCATTGTCCATTCCTCTGTGGTCTCGTTGAATGGGCCGAGCAACGTGCAGTTGACACTGATGTTGAAGTCCGTCCTGCACTCCTCGACAGAAACGTTGGCACCCATGATGAATTGTAAGACAATGAAATGCAGTATATGATGGTGCTGTGTATGGCTATTGGCGGCTTCGAGGAAGGAGGGTGCGACGAAGGACCTCTTAATGAAGCTTCAGCTGTCCACAGTTTGCAGGCACAGCCCAGGTGCTCAGTCTCCGCATCTCGGTCTGATGGTAAAGACTGCAGGTCTGTAGGTGTGACCAACAGTTACGGGTCTGAGGCAGAAGTAGTGGCAGCATCACACCCTGAAAGGGCTGGTTTGCGCCCCTCTGCTGCTCCGCCTGTGCCTGCGCCTCGTGCTCCAAGATAAAAAGCTACAAAAATAGTGCCTTCATGGAGACCACTACAACTAGTGCGGCATTGTGCATGCCTCGTGCAGGTGACATGGCTGGGAATGTGCAGCCAACAATGCAGGTGGTCGGCGCATGTTGGCTGTGATCCATGTTGGTACACCATCCTCGCTTAAGTAGACTTTCGTAGAAAAGGCGGCTTGGACGCTGTTGCAGGTATACCAGGTGACGGAAATCTGAATGCTGTATCAAGCACTTGGAATGTCACAGCCTCAATCTCCACAGATATTACTAATGATGAAGACCTCTGCTGGAGAAAACAGTAGGCTGAGATGTTACTCATGCTGCATAACAGCCCCTGTTCATGTATGCGGGAACCCGAGATGTTGGTCCGCTCTTGTTTCGAGGCTGTTCCTGCGGGCCTAGCCCATCGGCGCACTGGAAACCGACTCGACTTCTTCGAGCCGTTGCATTTTTGCGTCACACATGGCTGCCATGTGCCTATCTGCTGCTGCGCTGTGGCACCTCTTCGGAATCTTCTTACCAGGGGAGGGACGCCTCGTCAAATGTTCTCGTGGTGCAGCGGAGTTCCAGACTCTACGACCAGCCTGTTATGCGACCAGCCTGTTATGTGACCAGCATCGCCTCAAAAGGACCATTTCCCAAAGCGTACGCTATCCAAACAGAATTGACCCACAGTGGACCGTCAGTGGCCAGACCTGGGCATGAATGCGTCTTGTCGGGTGCTCGAATGTCAGCCAGTTCTGATTAGCCATTGTCGCACACCGCCGGGCCTCTGGATCTCTAGACCTCTGGATCTCTAGACCTCTGAACCTCTGAACCTCTGAACCTCTGAACCTCTGAACCTCTCACACGAAGAGCACCGCACCCTTGTTACGGTGAGCGAAGGTTCTGCTATTGCTACAAACTGTAGCAGACCGTCACATGGGGTGTGATGAATAGTGATAAGAATAGAGAAATGAGGAGTCTCTACTGAGTAACGTAACTTTGAACGTCCCCGGGAACTTCAGCAAGGCTGGCGATACGAATATAAAGAAACCTGATCACTTGTATAGCCTAGATAACTTGGTCCCAGCGAGATTCGATCACTTTCTTCCCCCTTCAGAATCTCCAGTCGCTAGCCGATATCGCTACCATGTGAACCACGACTTGTCACGCTCCAATCACCACCATCTCACTCGTCCCTATCGTGCTACAAGCTCGAGCGTGCTAGTAAGGCCAACGCGGAATCCTTTGTTCAGCTCATCGATCGGCCCCAACGCCGAGCTTTTCCAGAGGGAAAATCAGGGCATCGCCTCTAGCAAGTCCCTCAGGGGCCGTCTCCAGTTTTAGCACAGATGTCCTGCTGTATGACTGCTTAGTCACCTCAGACTAGGCCGGCGAAATGTCCCACTGAGCTTTGAGGGTTCTATATCTAGCTTCATGCTTCAGGTTGAGTCCTTTTGAGAAGACCGCCCACTTGTAAGCATCTGCAGACCGACAAGTGCCGAGATTGTAGTAAGTGGTTACCGTCACCGTCCAGAGCGGTTCCGTTTCATTCGGAAAGCGGCCCTCGACTGCGACATTACCTGTGGCCGGGCCGATGCGGATGTCACACTCAGTCCCGCACTTGGCGCAGATCCTGTGTGAATAGTACTTGCGGCTTCCAATGTCGTAGCGACGACATCCGAGATGGTCTTTGCGGTAGTCCGTCTTTATATGGAGACACACGGCGATCAGATGCAAATCCCGGCCCATTGTGATAGACAGAGCACCTTTTCTGCTGCACCATGTCCGAGTACAGCGCAGCATCAGCTCGCCGACCCAGGTCACTCTCGCGTCCCAGGCCTGGTGAAAGTGGGTATAATAGCCAATGCCAGTTCCATGGGCATGCGATATTGCTGACACTGGGAGGCCGTGTGAGGGACCATGGAAATGGCGGTTGGTGATGAGTCGGGCCGTGCACCACGGCAGCTTGAAGCAGTCGCTGGCTGCAAATATTGCAGGTGGGATTTCAGTGCGGCCTGCTTGCGGGGCGCAGTCGTGGTAAGCGAGCATTCGATCAGTGAGGCTTCGGGCAGAGAAGGCGATCAGCTTTCCCTGGTTTCTGCAATAGCTGTATCCAGGCGCAAGGGGCTCTAGCAGCTGGCATAGCGCTTCAGATGCTTCGATATTGAGGCCACGCGGCAGGCCGAAGTGCGACGCGACGGCGTGAATGTAGCGTGAAGTCAAGCCTAGACAGGCTACTTCTACATCGCCACAGAAGTACAAGATCAGACCGATGATCTCTGTCGGCAGCTCCTCCAACGTAGTAGGCTCGAGGACACGTTCAGGCAACCTCGTAGACATCGTAGGCTTGCTGCTGGTTGGTGTCGTCATAGCTGATGCCGGAGTAGTCAGCCGGTGGTAGAGCGCAGTCATCGCTGCCAGGACGTTTCGAGTCATCTTGCGTCTGTTGGGAAGTGCTGGAATGACTGTGTGAGATGAGGCAGCGAATTGATGGCTGTGTGTCAGGGTAGACAGGGATGACGGTGTCAGGAAGTTGGTGGGCGGAGAAGAAAGCGGTTTGGAAGACGAACAAACCATGCGATGTAATATATGAACTTCGAATGCTATGACAGCAGGGGAGTTGTTAACGTGCCAGCAGTGACGATTATGGAATTTGAATTGTGAAAACTTTTCCAGTCAGCCCATTTATATCACATTTGGGAAGATATTTCCAGGCTGGCAAGGACTTTGGATCAAAATAAGGTTTGGTATTCTCCTCGGTGGAAGGTGCGCAGCTAGCACAACAGCATGAGGTCCTGCCGCCTGCATGCGCTTGGGGCCACCACAACAGAACTGGAAAAAGCAGCGTTTCTCACTACTATTTCTAAGTTGACCGTGGCTGCTATAACGATCTTGACAACGAAGAACACAGACTTAATTTTCACGGTCCTTGACGCATCCGATACGTCCTTGGGCAACTTATAGGTACGCATCAGCTCAAGAGGATACCACACCATCACCCACGAAGCTGCTAAAGTTGGCGTTTTAGCGAAGAGCAGTATCTTCCGAAGGTCCTTCTGCACTTTGGCAATGACCGGTCATCAAGCAGAGAAAAGTGTGGAGATCAAGAGCTAGGAGTTGGAAGGGACAGACCGCCCGACCCAAAAATCCAGCATCAAAGACAAAAGTTCAGATACATTACCATGTGGCAGCTGCAATCAGCCAAGTCGCCCTCTGCAGGGGTGCAGAGTCAGTCCTTGAGCGTGTACCGGAAGAGGAGGCCCGGAGCCGACCTGATAGGATCTGCATGAGCCATGAGCCATGAATATATGAAAATCCCGTTGCACGTCGACAAGATTATTAACGTCTCGTTGAGCTGCCAGGCCAGAGCCCGCGTACATCACCTTTTGGCATGACGTATCATGATTTGATTGATTGCAATTCGGCGCGGCACTGTCTATCGGCCAATGACATCGCATGAACGAGGAAGTCATAGTCTTACACGTCATCTCTGTGAAGGCAGGTACAACGACATACTTGGGAAACGGGGTTTACTGGTCAGATTAGTGGTATCCGGAGAAGCCGAAAGTATGAAAAAACTATAACATGCTAAGAAGACAAACTAAACATCGAAAGTAGCTGATCAACCACGTAAGCGGCTCATGGAGGGATCGTACAGCGGCTCTTGCGTCACGGTAGCCTTGATCCGCTCTCCAAAGTACTCAATCTCGACCGGGTCCCCCTCCTGCACGGCCGCGGGCAGATACGCGTACGCGACGGGCTTGCGGATGGTGAAGCCAAACGCGGCGCTGGTGACATAGCCCTGGGCCTCGCCGCCGACGAACACGGGCTCCTTGCCCATCACCACGGACCGCCCGTCGTCGACGGTCAGGCACCGCAGCCTGCGCGAGACGGTATCCTTGCTGCGGCCCTGGAGCGCGGCCTTGCCGACAAAGTCGGCCGCCTTGTCCATTTTGACGGCGAAGTCGAGCCCGGACTCGAACGGGTCGTGCTCGGTGGTCATGTCGGTGCCCCAGGAGCGGAAGCCCTTCTCGAGGCGCAGCGAGTTGAACGCCTGCCGCCCGCCGGCGATGATGCCGTGCGGCTGGCCGGCCTTCCACAGCGCGTCCCACAGCCGCAGGCCGTTCTCGGCCGACGCGTACAGCTCCCAGCCGAGCTCGCCGACATACGAGAGCCGCATGGCGGTCACGGGCACGCCGGCGATGAACGTCTTCTTGCACCGGAAGTACGTCAGGCCCTTGTTGGAGAAGTCGTCCGGGGTCACGGCGCTGATGACCTGGCGGGCCAGCGGGCCCCAGAGGCCAATGCAGCACGTGGCGCCCGTGATGTCGCGGACATACACGGAGCGCTCGGGCTTGGCCCGGGTCTGGATGGCCGCCTCGCGCGTGAAATAGGCCGTGTCGACGGGCCCGTTGACCCCGACCTGGTACAGCTCCTGCTCGACCCTGGCGACGGTGATGTCGCTCCTCACGCCGCCCTGGGCATCGAGGAGCAGCGTGTACGTGACGGCGCCGGGCTTGCGCGAGACGTTGCCTGTGGTCAGCCGGGTGAGCAGCTCGGCGGCGCCCGGGCCTGAGATCTCGAGGCGCCTCAGGGGGGTCATGTCGTACAGGGCCACGGCGGTGCGCGTCTTCCACGCCTCGGCCGCCGCGATGGGCGAGTAGTACCGCGCGGACCAGGCGTCGCGGTCCACGGGCCGCCACTCCTCGGGCAGCTCCTTCAGCAGCCTCGCGTTCTCCTCGAACCAGTACGCCCGCTCCCACCCGCCGCCCTCGAGGAAGTACGCGCCGAGCTGCGCGTGGCGCGCGTAGAAGGGGGACACGCGCAGGTTGCGCGGCGACTCGCGCGGCTGCAGGGGGTGCAGGATGTCGTAGACCTCGACAAAGTTCTGGGACGACGTCTCCTGGACGTAGGCCGGGCTGAGCTGGACCTGCTCGAAGCGCGAAATGTCGCACGCGGCGAGGTCGATCTTGGACTTGCCGTCCACGAGCAGCTCCGCCAGGGCGCGGGCGACTCCGGCCGAGTGGGTGACCCAGACGGCCTCGGCGACGTAGAAGCCGTCGAGGGTGGGCGACGGGCCGACCAGCGGGCCACCGTCAGGGGTGAAGGAGAAGAGGCCGTTGAAGCCGTCCGCGATCTCTGTGTCCCGGAGAGCAGGCAGGAGCTCCTGGGACAGCTTCCAGGCCGGCGCAAAGTCTTCCTCGGTGAAGTCGAGGCGAGACGGCATCTTCTTGTCGTCAACGTCCTCGGGAGTGCTGCCCAGGGTAGCGGCCACGACGGGCATGGGCTTGTGGCCGTAGTAGCCGATGCCGTACTGGTCGCCGTGCTCGCGGTAGTAGAGGTCCTGGTCCTGGTAGCGGAGAATGGGGAGGGTAGCCGAGCTGGAGTGAGGGTTGGTGCCGTTGACATGGGTGCCGTTGACTCCATTCACGCCGTTGACGTGGTGAGTGCCGTTCACTCCGTTGACGCCATTTGTCGTTGGCTTGGGCACAGGAGTCGTCTTGACGTACTGGTGTGCCATGGGCAGCAGTGGCACCGGCAGTCCGACCATGGCACCGACCTCGACACCCCAGAATCCCGCGCAGGAGATGACAATATCGGCCGGGATCGTGGTCTCCCCCGTGATGACGCCAGTCACCTTGCCATCCGCCCGCTCGATGCCCGTCACCTCCGTCATGCCGTGATACTGGACACCGGCGGCCTGGGTGCGCTCGATGAGCAGCTGCACGGCACGGGCAGCCAGGGCCAGCCCGTCAGAAGGGACATGCAGAGCAGACAGCACCAGGTCAGGGTTCAAGCCCGGGTACAGCTTGCAGCATTCCTCCTTGCTGATGATGCGCGCGTCAACGCCCCACGAATGCGCGTAGCCGAGCTTCCGCTTGAGATCCTGCGCTCTCTCGGGCGTGGTGGCGATCTCGAGGCCGCCGACCTGGTTGAAGCAGCTCTGGCCGTCTTTGGACAGGGCCGACAGCTTCTCGACTGTGTAGCGGGCAAATTGTGTCATTGTCCTGCAGACATTGGTCTGGAAGACGAGGCCGGGAGCATGTGATGTTGAGCCGCCAGGCATGCGCAGGGGGCCCTTGTCCAGGACTGTCATGTTGGTCCAGCCGCGCGAGACCAGCTCGTCGGCGACGTTGACACCGACAATGCCGGCGCCGATAATGACGACGCGAGGTGAAGAGGGCGTCGCCATGGTGGATTTCAAAGGCGAATGGATTTGCCTCTGTATGTGACAAGCTGCACCTCCGTGCACTCAACTTAAAAAACGTGAAAGCAGGGTTTGAGATGAGTGCCTGCGAGTGATGCAAGTGCGGTGGCTGACGATCTTGTTCCTCAAGACCAAGTGTATTGAGAAGGCGACGTATATTTGAAGTGATGGGAGTGTATAGCGTGGCAAATCTGAATGCCCAGAATGGCTGCTCCTCGGATCAACAAGTCCATTTGCGCACCGCACACGTTATATGCGACCACTCTCGGCACCTATGCTACTACCCGCCTATCACAGACCCCCTCACCAGGATAGAGTCCCGACAGTGCAAGCAGTGCTAGGTGGTGGGTGGTGTGATGTTGCCAAGGTCACGTGAGCGGTTTCTTGCTCCGTCCGATGCCGTGTCTCGCTATTACCGTAGCCACGCGGCAAAGCTGTGCGAGCCGCAACCACTACACACCACCACCGTTATCTGTTTGTCTACTCCCGCCCCGTCACCGAGCACGGTTCTTGCTGGATCTGGAATATCTCACGATAAGCCACGTTGTATCCCATCACGCTTCTCCGCTCTGGGAAGGACGCGGAGACCTGCTGTCAGTTGTCGATGGTCATCGGGTGTCAATCTGTCCCGACATCGCAACATCAGGGTTGTGGCATCGTCATTGAGAGGGTGATCACAGCATTCTCCATGCCAGCGGCTCCTGGGATCTTCCGAGCCTCGAATTGATGTGGGCGAGCACACCCCGGGGTGTCTCTATGGTCCCAGCCCCACGTCCCACGATACGGGATCTCCGTAACCTAACCAAGACACGGACGATAGCATCAGCTCTTGTTTCTGCCAAACAATGTCACAGATCAGACAACTGCCGGCGTTGAGGACGGGATGGATCAGCAGTTAGAGAGAGATAGACTGTAATCAGCCGTCGTCCATTGGTACCAACTCGTGGCAGCTGTGCAGCATGCGGAGGCGGGGCGGAATTCAGGTTCCGCAGCGATTTCGGTGATACTGATAGGGCCTGCCCGTGGGGGAGGACGCGCCAGCCCAAGCTGTCAGTGGACGCGGGGCTATTAGCACACACACACCCGTCGAGGGGACGGCGCTGGCGCATCGGAAAATACTTCCCTCGAGCTGGCTGGGCCCGTTCGTCATGGGGTTGCATGCAGAGACGCGCCTCTGGTACGTGCATGCCCGGCTTTGCTTGCAAAACCCCCCCTCCTGCTCGTGGCCAGACCGGCCATCGTTGAGTGTTGTGCGACGACGTAGACTGGGGGAACACGACTACATCATGCTGATGATAACGCTGCAGAAAAGAGGGCCCCACGAGTCGAGGCAGCAAGGAAAGCCCTGGCCGATCAGAGAGCACTGGGGGCCAATGATTTCAGACCAAAATGCCTGATCTTTCCTCTCACACACAGAGGTCGAGATAAGCAGCTGGTTGCAGCGTCGCGCTAGCCAGGTTTCCCCGTGTTGTGGGCCCCTCTGCTTGTCTGCCAGGGCAGGGGGTCTGGAAGGATGTGTGGCCTGGGCCACGGTCTGGGGAAAATCCTATGGCTGTCTTGGCAGATAAGGGGACCCCTTTCCCATTGTGGTCATGCCAGCCGTGGTCTCATTGGCTGTCCCGGCGGTGCCGCCTCATGTATACCTGGCGAGGTGACAAGTGCCGAGAACGGGCTGCTTGCTCATCAATCCCTGGTGTATTATGCTGGAAGGGCAACACGCATGTGATATCCAAGCGAGGCGGAGACCGGCCTGTTGTCTGCTCTATGCAGAGTGCTTGACTCGCCAACATCCTAGGCCCGCTTGTTCCCGTGATCTGCTCACGTGTGTTCCGCGCCGGATTCAGCCCGAAACCCGCGTAATAACATTGCCTGTGACTGGACGCCATGCGACAGCTTGGTGCTCCCGCACTTTGTTACCAACAACGCAATACACCAACATGCAGCTATTTTCCGCCACCTTGCATTCCCCGCACACTAGAACTCGGTCTGCCCCTGGCTTGCGCGTCAAAGCGACTGGCCACATGTTCTGCACGGAAAGGCGCCGTTGGTGCCCGAATGACACATCATGACTCTTGTCCTGGTCATCATTCAGGCTGAAACTGTGGATTGAATCTACCGGAACATGGCGTTGTTGAACGTCCCCTCCTCCCACCAAGGCGCAGCGCCGCCCCTGCTTTGTCCGACATTGTTCTGCGACGAAGAAGGGTCATTCCATTGCGCCATGTCCCCTAGACTGAGCACCTGCGATGGGTCTGCATAGAGCCACGGGGTAGTGTTGAATGTCAGGTTGTCAGTCGGCTGCTGCTGCTGTTGCTGCTGTGGTTGTGTATGTGGCGGCACGAATGTTGTCGTTGTGTTAGTGACGCCCATCATCATGCTACTAGTACTGCCACTCGTGTTGTTGCGTGATGCTGTCCTGGGCGTAGCCATTGGCGATATCCGAGGTGGGGCTTTCCATGAAAATGAAGGCGCATCTTGCCCTCCGTCCCGAGTGTCGACCGTGATCTCTGGTGATGAGGCGACCAGGATCTCCAATATGGAATCTTCCTCGCTGAGCTCTGGGCGGCCGGATAACTTGTGCGGTGGTGGCGCGAGCGATGGGTCTAGTAGATCACCCATGGCACCCATTGACGGATCTTGCGACTCGGAAGAGCAGTTGAATTGCAAGACGTCCCACATTAGTGGGATGCTGAGGTAGATCCTGGACGGTACCCATTCGTGGACATCCATTTCCTCTGATCCCGAAGCTGCTATTCGCGTCATCCTGTCCAGATTGCGATCCTAGAGTTCCACAATCGAGTCAGCCATATATCCAGGATCGCCAAGCGTGCGCGGCGTGCCTTCCCACTTACCAAAGCGACACAGGCTGGGGAGAAAGGAAGAAAGCCCTGCAGAAACTTTCTACATTTCGCAAAGTCCGTATGCGATTTCTCCTTCAGTCTTGCTGCAGCCGCACAGCAGTAGTATAAATGGACCGTGGCCGCAATGGCCGCCACGTGCCCAAAGAACGGGTCTGTGAGGGGCACCTGCTTTTCCACAATCATGTCGATGATGCGGACGATCCAGGTAGCGTGGATCAGCGCCAGCTCCGAGGATCTCTTCCAAAACGTGTTGGGAATCGCCAGATTGGGATTGTGCTGAGCGGCCACGATGTACAGAAAAGGGTGGTTGAGCACAGTCGGCACTATGTGGTATGTCATCTGCTCCTTGAGCCACGGCGCCCAGTAGTCGTGGTTCCGCTTCACCTCGCCCACGTCTCTTTCGTAGAACTTGATCGAGTCGTATCGGTGGCACATCGGGATCCTGTTTTCCGTCTCCATGAAATCGGACGACACCCTTGCGTACATGGAGTCGTGTCTCCAGGGTTCTTTGAGTATGTTTTGAGTACAGTCGGCTACATACTTTCGTACGCGACTCCAGATCCATCCAAGGTAGGCCCCCGTGTTCCAGATTCCGGGCTCGTCCGGTCCCATCCCGAAGCCCAAGTCGTCTTTGGGTAATGAAGGGGGCCTGGGACTCTGTGGTCCGTCCGCTCCGGGAGTTTCGCTTGACGACGGGTCCGTTGGTCGACCGATCTCTCGCATGTTGCATAGTCGGCCTGTCTCCTTTCCGTAAAAGTGCTCCAGAAGCTGCAGGCTCCAGAAGAGCCTCTTCTTGCGCTCATTCTGAGGATCGCGTGCCGTATACAATGATACATTGTCCAGCATGGCAGACTGGCAGAGTTGCCCGGCGAGACCAAGGTAGAACTGGCCCAGAGAAATATTGGCATCTACACGTGGTGTCAGCTTGTATTGGCAGATCTCTAGTACGACAGCACATACCCGTGAACGACGAATAGGCCAACAAGCAAAGGCTTTCTATCGTGGGAAGGGCAACGGATCCGTTTGCGAGCCGAAGCATGATGAGCCTCCTGGCATCATTGCCATAACGCTGAAATTGAGTACGCCTGAGGGAGAAGAAGCGTGATGTTAAAGCGAGAATGCTGTAGATGAGCTCGTCGGGCAAGGATGCTTGGTCGCGCACGTCTTCACGCTCGAAGCACCAGATTGGCTGTCGATGACAGCGCTGAAAGTAAATCTGGATCGCTCGAGTGATGTCTGGGTTAGCAGGCCGGCCGTAAGACGCCGTTCCTTCGCTGACCACTGGCGACGTATGGCTGATGGAGCTGCTGCGTTCGCGCTGGGGAGACATTGAGAAAGACCGGTCCGAGTCACCGCCAGCAGCAACCTCTTTCCCTGGCCTCGGCCGAGGTGTATTATCATTACCACTGTGCCACGGTGTGATTAGCGGGCCCGCCTCGACTCTTCGTACAGGAGGGAGGGCTCTTACACTTCTCTGTTGAGGATGCGGTCAAGCTTCTCCTCCAGTTTGGCCAGCCTCTCATCCTGTTACCGACTTGTCAGAGACCATCGCCCAGTGATAAGCATCCGGTCATTACATACCGAATGGCCACTCCGCGATGGGGCGGGCATCGCAAGTGCGTAAGAGCATGGCTGATTCAGCCGGGTGCAGCTCGAACAAGCGGGCTTCTCACCAGGACAGCGACTCTTCTTCCTCCTGTTGCACGTAGTCGTTAGTATGACGGGCCCAAAAGGACGCCAGCTGGGACGGGACGAACCTGCAGGGCAAGCATGCATTGTGGGACTTTCGACGCCCACGAGAGCCTGTGCCCTCCAGCGGCGGCGTCATGATGTCTCGGGCCCCATTGAGATGGCTTGTGATGAGATGAAACGCGATCCGGCGTGGTGACGAGGGATGCAAGGCGAGGCGGTCGGAGTGGTGGACGGGGAGACTACTAGAGGCCGATAACCAGGAGGGGGGGGCGGCAGTCGGGCCATGACTAAGCCAGCAGCACCAAGGCGTTCGCACTTATCAGTACCCCTCACCCGCCGCCTATCGACACAGTCGTCATCAAAACCCACGGAACCGGGCACAGAGGCTAAACTATAGGGCGTAGCAGTCTGGTTCATTATTAATGGACTATATACAAGCTCTCTGATCTCAAAATGCCACTGAAAACGATGAAACAAACTGAAACAAACATGTCACTCGCTTGCCAATTTACCACACATACAGCGTAAAACAACCATGCAGATGCTCCAAACTCCTCCCCCCAACCCCTTTTCCCACAACATCAGACCATCTCACCATTCCAAGTCTTTCCGGCCAGCTGCACAACTAGCCCCAATAGACGAGCACACATCCATGTCCTTCTCACTGACCTGGCCACCTTTGTTGCCCGGCATGACCTGGCGTGCCGGCCAGATCTCCTTGCCGGCCTTCTGCTCAGACTTGTGGTGCGCAACGACGCTCTGCCTGACCACGTTCTGGAAGAAGAGCGGGCCCTGCTCGAGGCGCGGGTGCAGCTCCCCGTTGACAAAGATGCCGGCGTTGATGTTGGCCTGCGCGGCCGCGCAGAGGTGCTTGTCCTCCGACATGATGCGCTTGTAGATCTGGTTGATCTTGTCAAAGTCCTCGTCGCTCGAGTTCTTGTTGCGGTACACCTCGTAGGCCATGACCGACTTGTTGGGACCCTTGGGGACGAATCGCTGCATGAAGAAGAAGTGGGGTCTGTTGCGGACAAGGAATGTCGTGTTAGTGGTATCACAACCGTGAAAATGGGTTTGATTGTGCAATGCCCAACACCCGTGGTCTGGGGAGGTTGGAAGACTTACGAGACGTTCATGGAAGCGTTCGGGAAGTAGTAAGTGGCAGCGACGTTGAATCCGTCGGCAATCTGCTCCGGAGTCGGGTTGCCGAGATGCTGGATGAAGGCCTTGTCCGTGTTCACAGCATAGGCGTCGAGATCGGCCACGTTGACAATGTCCGGGTGGGTGGTCGGGCAGTGGTAGCACTCGTTGTAGTTATCAGCCAGAATCTTCCAGTTGTAGTCGCCAGCCATCTCCCAGGTATGGTCAAAGACATAGTCCTCAAAGTTGTAGGCCTTGAAGCGCTCCTGCTCGTCGATGCGCTCGTAGTCGTCGTTCCACGCAATGGTGGGCTTCTCCTTTGCCTCGAGGTTGACCCAGACAAAGCCATTGCGGTCGATGTGCACGTGGATCGGGAAGAGACCGTTCTTGGACTTGTCGAAACCCTCGAGCTCTTGGTACTCGGGCGCCTTGGTCAGCTTGCCGCTCAGAGTGTACGACCAGTTGTGGTATTTGCAAGCCAAGATCGAGTTGTTGCCCTGGTCCGCAGTCACGACAGGGTATGCACGGTGTCGGCAGATGTTGTGGAAAGCGTTGATGGCGCCAGTCCGGTCCTTGGCAATGACAAAGGAGTATCCAGCAACCTCGTATCGCAGCCAGTCGCCATTCTTTGCGAGGCGCGCCTTGTGTGTGGTGAGTAGCCACCGTTTCGAAAAGATGGCGCGCCGCTCTAGCTGGTACATTTCTTCAGAGATGTACCAGCTGCCCGGCAGGGCTCTGACTGCATCCTTGGGGGCATTCTTGGATGCTTTTGTTGTTGTGAAGAAGCTGGTGAAGCTGGAGAAGTAAGATAGTATCATGCCAATGACTGAGGCCGAGACAGTAAAGGCCACCAGGCGGGGCCAGTTGGTGGTGAGCAAGTCGAGCATGTTGTTGGTGATGATTATGACGCTGATGATGTTGCTGTTATTGTTGACAACTGACAGTCTTCAAGATGTTTGACCGTATTGGTCTGAGCTTGTTTTTAGAGAGCAAGCTAGATGACTCCATGAAAAGCCATGCGGCTGATGTTAAGTATTCATGAATGGGTGATTGAGTCTATCTCGATGAGCTCCCCCTCCATGATAACACCATGATGGCCGCCCAGCTGCCATTTGGCCCCCCCAGTCTAGCTTACGTCTCATCTGGCGCTTCTCCTGGCCAAGGCCCAACCTCCGTTACACACCGAGATGGTCGTCGACTTCCGATCATGTGACCGGGAGGGCTGGGAGGGACGTATGTTCCGTGGGAGCGTGCCAGATACGCTCACGTGAGCGGCGTCCGTCAGTGGTGTCGCCGCCCGCAATCAGGCTTCAGGCCATCTTGTGATCGAATCATTGAAACAGCGAAAACAATGGCGCCGTGAAGCCTGTTGTGCGAGATACCAGATTGGCATGGGGTGCAGCGAGGAATTCAATCTCCGCCGCTTGCTATCTCCGCTACCGGACGTCCATGCATAGCGTGACGGGGTAGGGGTCCTGTGCATTGCCGCCTGAACGGTCGCCTGGTAGCTCCACGATCTGCAGGCCACACCATGGGGTGACGTGACCCTACTGCGTTTAGAGTTTTGGGCCACGAAGGAGTTGACACGTCACGTGAGCGGGATACACGGCGGAGCGATGCCGGCCCTCGATACCGCACCGTGTCCATTCTGTGCACGCCCACACTGTACGGCGGTGTGAGCTGTTGCAGGCCGCAGCTATCACTCCGGCAGACTCATAACCTGAACGGAATGGGATCAAGCGCTTCACCTCTCTCTCGCCTCTCATCTTTGCTTTTGATTTCGGGTACCAAGTCACCTTCCATCGTTGCAAACAGACAATATGGCTTCGTCAGAACGGTCATACATCATCGTCGGCGCCGGGGTATTCGGCGTGTCCACCGCTTACCACCTCATCAAGAAATACCCAGACGCCTCGGTGACACTGGTCGATAGAGATGCATACGACGCGGAAAGCCGCGTAGCAGCATCCTGGGACTGGAACAAGGTCGTCCGGGCCGACTACGATGACATTGTGTACTGCCAGCTGGCGCTCGAGGCCCAGGACATCTTCAAGTCCGACCCGCTGTGGCAGCCATACTTCCACGAGACCGGCATCTACTGGATCTGCCGCACAGAATACGCGCAGGATGTCATAGACAACTACAAGCGGCTGGGCCGCCAGGCAGATCTGGCCGCTGTTCCTGTCGAGGAGGCCCGCAAGCTGTACGGCGGCGTGTTCTCGGACGCCGACTATGAGGGGGCCAAGGCGGTCTTGGTGAACAAGACGAGCGGATGGGCCGCGGCTGGAGACGCCCTGAGGGCGGTCACAAAGCGGTGCATCGAGCTTGGTGTCAAGTACAAGGTCGCAGAGGTCCAGACAGTGCAGCTTGACACCAACGGGGACTGCACAGGTGTCCGGCTCGCGAATGGCGAGATCCTGCACGCCAACCAGACGGTTCTCTGCTCTGGCGCCTATACGCCCACATTGCTCGAATACAGCGCCGAGAGCAGCGGGCGGCCCAACATCAGCGCTGGATCGAGGATCGTGGCCGGTGGTATCACGACCGGCATGACAAAGCTTGATGATGAGACGTACAAGACTTATGCCAACATGCCTGTCGGCGTTCAGGGCTACACCACAGCGCAAGGTCGGTTGCTCTGCTACTGATGCTTCTGACAACTGCTAACCTTCGAGACAGGCCCGTTCATCGGCAGTCTGCCGCCAACGAAGGACAAGGAACTGAAGTGGTGGGGGCAAAAGATTTTTACTAATGTGCGCGAAGTCCTGCCCGGCCGATGGCTTTCTGCTCCTCCGGCAGCAAAGGATTATGCTCAGTGGGAGGCGTCCAAGAAGCTCAAAGCGGACATTGACCACGCCAACTCTGTGTTTTACGGAAAGAAGACTGCCAACTGGAAGATGGAGAAGCACCGGATTTGCTGGTAAGCTGCATTTTCAGCCTCGTGTCAGCCCGCCGATAACTGACACAGAACTGCAGGGACGCTTTCACGACGAGCTCAGACTTCATCATTTCCCCGCACTCTGCAGCCAGGGGTCTTTACGTCGCAACCTGCGGCTCATTCCACGGCTACAAGTTCTTCCCGGTTCTCGGCAAGTACATTGTGCAGATGCTCGAGGGTGGCCTATCGCCCCAGCTTGCTGACAAATGGGGCTGGGATCGCCAGCGTCCCGATCCCGTTCTCAACCCCGACTGGCCGAGGGAGGAGATGAAGGCTCTGACGGAGCCTGTGAGGACATCGAAGCTATAGGATGAACAGGGCACAATTTTCTGCGCACGACTTTGTTTGATAGACTCATGCACTTGAGACACGATGCATATGAGAGTAATGTTGGAACGCCTTGTTTCTTAGCCTTGTTGGTTCTCATCGAAGTATTGATAAGTGTTCAGAGGTATTCTAATAGAAAGCTCTGGCTAAACTTCTTAGTTGAACTCTGACTGTTACCCAACTTTATGTGAAGAAAGTGATTGGAAAATGGGATCAATGATGCCGGGATATAAAAGGTCTGTTAGTTGAGCTCTATATCTAGATACGTAGATGAAATAAGAATAAGAAGGAGTGCCAATTGATTGCTCACTTTCCGGATGCTGGAGGAATCAATATATGAGCTCGTTCCACCTCATGGGCACGTCCTTTCAGCCGTGTCGACGTGACAGCTGAATTCAAGCCAGGTTATGTCCGCCTTGTCCCCGCAACCCACTATTATCTCCAGCCTGAACTGCGTGATCAACACTAATAATGCCCAAAGCCTCGGCCGACTCGCCGCCCACACACGACATGACAAAATCGTCGTCTCTGACAAAAATCACAGAATCGAGCGGCGAAAACATGGAGTTCCTCTCCTGCTGCCTCGGGGACCTGGGGTGATCCAACTGTGCTGACGAGGCCTTCTCTGCTCGGCGCTGGCGGTTCCTCTCAACCACCGTCGACTGCGCCATGACTTCGTTGCGCCGGTGTTCAGCATGATCAACTCCGAGCCCAAGCATAGGTGAGCCGAGCGGAAATGACTTGCGCGGCTGTCACGCAGCCTGCTGAGCTCCGCAGTCAGGCGCCGGACTCTCAACTTGCGGCACTGCAGGCTGAAGCATGCCGGCAGGAACTTTGTGAAGAACTGCGTGACGAGCGGCATGGAGGCGCACATGATGCTCAACCCCAGCTCGATGGCAGCGAGCGTGAGCGAGCGTTGGAGTTTTTGGTGGACCGGCTCGTCATCTATCCCGCCGACAATAGTGCTGGCTCTCCAGCCTGCTATCGCGCAGACACTTAGTAGGGAGTAAACAAGTAGAGTCAGCGTGTATTCTGCGAATCAGTCACAGCATAAGGGTGAAGGGAGGAGGTTGGGATGTCGTGTGGCTCATGAGTGAGCGCGGAACAGCCATCTCCTTGTAATCAAAGTAATAGAGTGCTTGCGAGAGAGTAGATGAATAGACTAGATCAGGCACTTACCTCGTCGCGGCCACGAACAGGAGCAACAGCGAGATCTTTTCGCGCAGACTGATCCGCAACGGTGCAATCACCGCAACGGTGCAATCACCGCCACGGGCATGAGCAAGATCACAACTTCCGTCGAGAAGTTGAGCCACGCATATGTGAGTGGCAACGGCATGCTGAGCTTCTCTTCAAGAGCGGCGATTTCCCTGACGTGACGGGCGGCCATGAACAAGGCCGACAGGAATGAGATCATGAACGTGTAAATGCATACGATGCCGATGAGGATCCTGTTGAGCCACCGAAACCATTGAACTGGTGACAGGTCGAGGTAGAATAGGAATACCGAGACCTTGGAGAGGCAGAGGCCGAAGCACAAGGCGTTCCCCGCAACGGCATTTGCCTGTTTCATTCACGCTTCGCGTGTCAGCATGGCAGCAGACGACGTGGTGCTAGGATGTGGACGGAAACGTACGACCACGGATTGCTTGACAAGCGCTGCTTCTTCTGCGGAAGCAGCTGGGTTTTCCAGCCAGGCCATGTATGCATTATAGACTAAAAAGGGAGTATTAGTCTGTGTGTTTCTTGGCTGGCTATGCCCAACTTGTTCTCCTCACATGGTTCAATTGCGCCGAAGTGCGTCCATAGGCAGATTGTGGCACTGAGGATCGTGTCTGGCACAGATCATCAGCCCAGAGACACAATGAACATAGCAGTATGGAAATTCCAAACTCACAATCGGACCCGTTCAGCTTGAGGCCTCGTACAATCATGCGGTTGAAGAAGCGAAGTCCAACAATCACCGTCGATAGCACCGCCATAAGTAAGTTGACACTGGCTGAGACGATCATTTTCAGGGTGGTGCAACGGGATTATTGCTTGTCGGGCAGAAAACGAGAAATGAACACAAATCAATTGGGTCGCAGCCGCTAGTGTCCTTGTTCGCAAGTTTGTTGAGACTGACGTTTCAAATTGGCCAACATATCAGAAATCTGGGCTGCGACGAGTTTTGACAATTGAAGAACGAGGACAGACCTTCTGCTATCGAACTAATTCTGTCATGATGTATCTATTGGTGGAGAAAGGGACGGTGCTGCAGCGAGGGATGGTAGTATGATGACCGGTGTTTGCCATTAGCAAGCAAATCCGCATAAGCAAGGGGCGGGTTCAGCGTAACCAAGATGCACTACTATGGCAAGACAGCAAGGATATCGTCTAGCGTACATCAGTCGGTCATGGGTGATTGGCACCCCGGCGGAATCGGTGCTTGCTGATGTGCAGGTAGGCGCCGCACCTGACGTCGTCGACCTTTGGGCACACATGGCGATCACTCATGCATAAATTTCCACCGACAAGGCCACCCGCATTCAAGATCAAGCCCTCGTCTATTTCTGGCTGCCCTTTTGACATAGATAACATATTGATCGATTTCATGCGTTGAATGCCCTCAGCCAGCACTACTTGCTGCTGCCCGGATCTACGAGATACCGTGCCAAATCTCCTTGAGTTACCCTTGTAGGAGTGGAGGGGACTAAGACCTTTGCACGGGCGTGACCTTGACCATAAGGTTTGGCTTTTCCCACAGGATGAAGACGCGCTGCTGATTCCAGTTGCGGCTCTCGGGTAAGAGCTCAAGGTCGAAGCGCCACAACAACCGTGTCAGGATCAGGCGCATCTCGGCATAAGCCAGGCTTAAAATACACATCCATTAGCTTCACGAATGTCCTTGCATATGACTGGGCTTCGAACCAAGCTGAAACTCTTCAAGCGATTGAGGCTGTCGCAACGGGGTTGTGGTGAATCAATACGTACTTCTTTCCAATGCAGTTCCGAGGCCCCACCGAGAAAGGCTGGAGAACATCCCGCTGGTCGTTGGCGTATCTTGGTTCGGTGCCGAGCCAGCGCTCAGGTACGAAGCGCTCAGGATCGGTCCAGTTCTGTTCACAATGGTATGCGGACCATTGAGGCACTGAAACGCTGGTCTAGAGGTTGAGAAACTGTCAGCAACTAACCAGTCCTTTGTCTCTGGTCCCTACCACCTGATGTGCCGCCAAGGAGGAGATCTCGTGTTGTAGAGAGGGGCTCAGGGCCGGAGGGCTCACATTTTGGGGTAGGTAGAAGCCATCAACGGTCTCACCGCCAGCGGGTGCAAGTCGAGGCAGTCCGATGGGCACGGGTGGATCTGTATCGACATCCTTGTCAGTACCGTCAACTTGTGTGCACATCGGTGGCCCAACTTACACATCCTGAAACTTTCATTGAAAACCGCCAACAGATACGGAAGATCGTTGACACTGTTCATGTTGATCTCGTCCTCGGAAGAGAACCTCTGGCGGATCTCGCCTACGAGCTTGTCGTACTTGTCTCTGTTGGTCAGAAGGTAATACGTCGTCCCGCTCAGCTGCGTCGCCGTCGTTTCGCTACCAGCAATGATCAAGACAAGTGCGTTGGCGGCGATCTCTTCCTTGGAGAGTCCCTTCTCATCATTGTGCCGGAGGATATAGTCCATGAAGTCCTGGCGCCCGATACTGCCACGATCCATGCGCTCAAAGGCCGTCCTCTGGCTGAGTTGTCTGTTCTCAGCGAAACTCCGGGCCAACTTGGCTGGGACAAGCCCGTGCTGGATCTTGCGCAGAAAAGGATATCTACGCACAACCTGTCCTATGGCGCCGAATCTGACAGCCTCGAAAATCATGGACACCCATGGGTTGTAACCACCGGTTTCCAGACAGCCGAAGGGCTTCCCGAAGGCAAGATCGCCGATGAGGTCAAACGTGATGTAGTTGTACCAGTGCATAATGTCGACATTCTCTCCAGCCGCGGCCATGTCGGTAATCTTGGAGATGAAGAGGTTAGTATAGTTATTGAGGAGCTCCTCCTGGCCCCGTAGGGCCTTCTCGGAGAAGGCGTGTGCGAGCACGCGGCGCGTTCGCCTGTGACCGTCTTTGTCCGCCCTGATGATATTGTCAACGCCATTTATCGACTCGATATAAAACGTAAGGTCCTTTTCAAAAGTCTTGTCCGGTTGTGTTTTGTGGCCGTACACGGTCTTCCATGTCTCCGGGGCGATGGAGGATACGTCGTTGGGCCCGAAGCGAAGCGTGGGGCCGTATATGTCGTGAAGCGTCTTGAGCTTCGCAGGCCATTCGCCCAGCACCGTGTAGTACAAAGAGATGAAGTCGGTAAGAGCGTAGAGCTTTGGCCCTGGGATCTTGGCGAGAGGGTGGAAGATGAGGAGATACACGGCTCGCGCTGCCAGTAAGAAGCCGGCCTGGTCGCATGGGTCAAGTCAGCTACCTGGGCAACAAGAGCTATACACCTACACGATTTGGTATTGGATCTGGACGTACCGCGACAGATGCGGCTACCGCTATGTGGAGAAACGTCATCTCTGGTCAAATCTGTGGGGTTGGCTAGTCATCCAGTTCCTTGTTGACGGGAAGAACGCTGCGAGAGTGTGGCTGTCGTGGCTGTCACCTACAATCATCGACTCAAACTTAGAAGCAGACGAGTCGAGGCTATCATATTTGTATGAAGGGCATTGGCTTCAGGCACAGCAGACATGTTCTCAATACGCGCTAGGGCGCCGCAACCTAGTGCGGATAGGATATGCATAAGGGGCGGGTTGTAGCTGACCCGGTGAAAGTTGTGCTCTATGCAACTGTTTAGTCGCCGATAGCCTATTCACGCATGGAGGTGATAATGCTCCGAGCCGTTTCTGTTAACGGGATTCGCTCCAAAGCTGACCCGATAAAGCCGTGAGGACAAGGGGGACCACAAGTGCTGGTGCTAGTTCATGCGGTTGGGTAAGCGTCTGGCCCAGGAGGTGTTTTCTCCCCATTCCTCGACCAATCGTCGTCCAGGCTTGAGGGTGCTTAAGCGAAGGGGACGATGTCAGAATTCCCAGAACGACGGCCTCCTAGAAGCAAAGCAGACGTAAATCATGTCAATCTGACGGCTTACCCACCCAACACACCTTTTGCCCAGGCGGCAGCGCAGCAAGCGCAGCAAACAAGACATCGGTAGGGGTCGCTCGTAAGAGGGTTCGGGATTGGGCCGGATGACCGATCTCCGCTCCCTGGCTCCGGGATTCCGTGGGACCCCCCGCATCCCATCGCTGCAATACTTAGTCCGGGGTAGACTTGGGATCTCCTTTCGCGGAGGCTGTGGAGGCCGAGTACAAGAGCGGTCGGGCTGTACATGTACCGTATGCATCGTTATGTACGGCTGCACGGCCTAATCATCATCAACGTTGTCGGGGTATTCTCATCCCGACCTCCGGGTGCAGAGCTGCGCATGATTGCCGAGAGATCAAGTCTGCTCGATACTTTTTTCGATGTAAGTGTCTGCAATCGGTCTAGATAAAGCACCGGACAGCCTGCCCATATCTAAAGCATGGGGGCACGCTGGTCCCAGACTACGGTTCAACTGTAGCCCGACTGCCAACTGTTATATGCTGAACTATATCATCACCCGGCGAGAGCTGGTGACAAGGACGGAAAAGGACTTCTTATGAATACTCACAGGCTCTTTCATGTCTTTCATTGCGACGATGGTTGACTTAGGTTTTCTTCCCGTCGTCCATGTGCTCAGAGCTGAGAGCGAGGCTCCGGTATGTACATCGTGTAGAAGTAGAACTGTCAGGAATCAGAGCGGACAATACAAGACCTTTGATAGACGTACATTGGAACTCCATCAGGAGCCCACTATCGCCAAAGTACTAGAGATCAGTAGAGATACTTGCCATCGCGCTTGCGGTTCGAGGAGAGAATCCACTCGTACCCATTCAAGAACTTCGATAAGCGCGCATGGGTTACGTAGGACTAAGTACTGGAGCCTTCTCAACTTTCCAGCACATACCATCCATCCCTCGACTGCACAGCATTTTCTCCACATCTCCACAATATCATGCTGTCGAAGTTTGCATCCCGGGTGGTACAAAGCCAGGTTTTGAGCATACTTGCTTAGTAATTTATGGTAATATATATGTGCTCTTTAGAAGGTACCATGCCACTCCTCGATTAAAAATATAAGGGAGAGTATTTACTCCCGTGGCAATCTAATAGTCCTTCAGCAAAACCGCAGCCGAGAAATTAAAAACCGTAATTGCTTGGTATTCCTTGAAGGTCGCTTTCCTGGATACAATTGCTACACGGTGTTGTACACATATACACAAATATACCGGCGTGGGAAGGTGGGGAGGGGATACACTTTCAACCCCCAAACGCGCCACGTTCGCTCTTCCTTCTTCAAGACTGCATGTGGAAGTTTCTAAACTTGCGCAGCAGTAGCGCCAGCACTAGCATTCGCCGCGGCAGCACTGCTCGCGCCCGCGCCGACGGCGAGACCCTCTGCGGTGACTCCCTCCTCGCTGCTGTCGCCGGAGCTGCTGCCGGGGGCCTTGCTGCCGTCCCACTTGGACGAGGTGATGGGGTTGACGCCCAGGACGTACATGGTGTCGATCTCCTCGAGACTGCGGTCCTTGGTCTCGATGACGAAGAAGTAGACGATGACGACGAGGGCAGCGCAGCACCCGGCAAAGACGAGGCCGTACCAGTAGCCGATGGCGTCAGTGATGAAGCGCGTGCTGTTTTGGGAAAGATGTGAGTTAGAGTGAGGCTCTTTGAGTGTGTGTGTGGTAGATACTGCGGGTTGGTGGGGGAGTTGCTTACAAGAAGCTGATCAGGAAATTCCAGAACCAGTTGCTGGCGGTGGCCAGAGCCATGCAGTGCGCGCGGTAGCGGGCCGGGTACAGCTCGGCGACGACGGCCCAGACGAGCGGGCCCCAGGTGGCGGCGAACGAGGCGATGGCGAGGCAGGAGAAGACGATGAGCACGGAGCCGGCCTTCGGGGTGTTCATGGGGTTCTTCGAGTCGAGGGCGTACTCGCCGACAAAGGCGTAGACACTGTGCGAAGGGAGAAGGTTCTCTGGTCAGCGGTGGCCGCTCGAGGAGACTTGGAATGCGGATTATGTTTTGCGGATAAAAACAAGGAGGACCGTCAGAAACTTACAAGAAGCACATCACGATCCAGGCAGCACCGGCAATCAGAGCGGGACGGCGACCGAACTTCTGCACGACGTACAGACCGCCGAAAGTGCAGACGACGTTGACGGAGCCGAGGATGATCTGGGTGACGTACGAGTCATCGAGACCAGTCGACTTGAAAACGGTGGTGCCAAAGTAGAAGAAGAAGTTGGCGCCAGTGAGCTGCTGGCCGGCCTGGAGCACAACACCGATCACGGTGCGGTACAGCATGCGGGGGCCGGTGAAAATCTCGAACCACGAGGCCTTCTCCATGTTCTTCTCCTCGTCGAGCTTGACGCGAATCTGCGTGAGCTGATCCTGGACCGAGCGGTCGTGTGGTTCGACGCCGGCGAGCTTGGCAATCGTCTTGCGCGCCTCCTCCTCGCGGCCCTGGCGGTACGCGAAACGGGGGGACTCCGGGAGGAACAGAATGCCAACACCCAGGATCAAGGACCACATGAAGCCCAGGCCGTTGGGGATGCGCCAAGAGGCGGAGTTCTCCATCTTGTTGGTGCCAAACTCAACCATATAACTGGTCCAGATACCGAAGGTGATGAAGAGCTGGTACAGCGAGACGAGAACACCACGGATGATGGCCGGGCTGCTCTCAGACTGGTACATGGGCACGACGACGGAGAGGGAGCCAATCGAGATGCCGGTGACAAAGCGGCCGATCGCGAACTGGTACCACGCGTTCTGGCTGGATATCTCGATGACGATGCCCACGCAAGACCAGATGGCGGACAAGCTGATGGCGAGGCGGCGGCCGAGGACGTCACTGAGGCGGCCGGCGATGAGGGCACCGAACAGGCAGCCCACGGGGAGGAGGCCGACCATTGTACCCTGGCGTGCGGCGCTGAAGTAGTATTCGTCGTTGCCTAGGGGCTCGCCGAAGCGGCGGCCGAAGTCCTTCATGTTGAAGAAGCCGGAAATCTGACCACTGTCCCGTTGAAAATCCTTGTGTTAGTACAAATACATTGTAAGCAGCGACAGCGGCAGCGCTCAAGACTGACCTGACATAACCAAACATGAAACCACCGATACTGGCGACGAGACCGAGGAAGCAGGCCATAAAGGTGACTCTCTGCTTGCCGGCCGCGGCAGAAGGACCGGTGGCACCGTCCTGATGCGATGCATCGGGGCCGGTAGACGACTCCACCTGGTCGGTGTTCTTCTTGAGGAAGCCCATCTTGTCGTTATCTTTCGTTGTTCTTTCCTGGTGGTTGGGCAACTTTGGTTGGAGAACAGTCGTTTAGGGGGCGACCATCCAAGATTTATTGCTCCCGAGGTGGTAAACAATAGACAAGCTCACTAATGGTGGAATAGGAAAGGGGGGGAGAACGTGGGATGAGGAAAGCTAAAAAGGAAAGACCACTGGGGAAATTGAGCAGGTGAGAACGGGGAGAGAACTGGGGAAGGGGAGCCTCTGAACATTTATTGCATGCACGGTGTGGTGACGATGATGGCGATCCCCACGGGCAAGACACGAGACCAGCAGGATCTGAGACGCGCTCGAGCTGACCCCCGGGGCACGTATGTGTGTAAGTGTGTGTGAATGTGTATGTAAGCCGTGACGTGCAATGACCGAGCATCACCGGCCAGGCCGTTCGTCGTCATGTAAGTGGGTAAGATGCCATTGCCAAGATTCGAGCTACGTACTTTGCAAGGAGGCAACACCGAGGCGGCGTCCTTGTCAGGGTCCTGTGGCCAGCCGAAGAGCGAAGCATCGGGCCCCGGGACATTGGCCACAGACCGGAACCCATGTTGGGAAGCGAGCCATGGGCGGCGACGACGACGAGGGTCGTACCGGAGCTAGCGAGTCAAATCCTGGGTGTCCCGTGACGTTCAGAGCTCAGAGGCAAAGGAAAATCTCGGACATGAGTGCTCCATACTGGACCTGAGAAGTCTGACTTTGGAACGATGGAAGGACACCAGAAGAGCTTTACAGTGGAGACAGGGATAGCCAGCCTGAACAGCAGAGGCTGACAAAGGAAGGACCCTGTCTCGCCTGCATCGAGGTTCGGCGTAATTAGCATGGGACAGCGACCTGTCGTCATCGAAAAGCTCAAGGCCGGACCGAAGAAAAAAAAAACAGAGGCTCTTTAGGCCGGGCCCTGCTGGCACCCGCCCCTGCTAGGGCACGTCAATCAATGGCAAGTGGGCAACTGCCGAGACGATGGTGAGCTAGCTGTCTGGCATTAAAGTCAGGCCGGGCCCATAAAAGACAAAAGAAGACCAGTGTAGAGGACCCAAGAAGAGCCGCATAAGAAAGAAGCATGTCGTTGGCTGCCGCGATCCGACGGACCCGCCCTGTGGTTGCAAGTATCCCCTGCGAGATGGAACGCCCTTCCCGCACCGGCACGGGCGGCGGCACCCCCCCATGACGATGCCCACCGGCTCACTACCACGTCATTCTGCCCGTCTGGTGGCTGCTGCTGAATCGTCAAAACACCATCCTCCTCCTCCCACGTGGACAAAATCCGCCAAGGCCAACAGTCCGACCAAGTTCTGAGCATACTTGTCAAGACAGCCGTCTCCCTGAAGCCTCCTTGTCCATCTTCATTACAGCTACCAGAGACAAGAGACGAGAGAGTGCGCGCGCGGGCTGTATCCACCAGGACATTGAGCGCGATGGAACCGGCCCCGGTTAGGCCGACCGAGCAAGTCCCCGAGCATCGGCCCTGTTATGGAGTGTGAACCACCCGCGCTCGTGCATCCCACGACACGTTCTGCTACAGCAGCAGACAGGCTGTCTTCTGGTTGTTGCTGTCTTTCGCCATGGCATCTCGCAGCACATTGAGAGCCCTGCCGTGCCGGCTTCTTTTCGTGCACAGCGGCACCCACAGGGCCCCAGAGCTGCTTGCCTACCAAGAAAGGACCGGAGACGGCCCTTTTCCTCCCACGCAGGCGCATTGAGCGGCACGCTGCTCAATCTCGGCGCATCTCTGTAGACGGGACTGGAGTGGATTGGGCTGTCCGCCTTGGTGGGCGATCGTGTGACGGAACCAGCCAGCCAGCCAGCCATTCTCGGGTACAATTGTCTGATCCGGTGCGCTTCGATTCAGTACTGCTGCTACTACTGGGGCTCTTTGCCACCAGTGCACCACGCAGCTCTCTTCTCTCACCCAGATCCAATCGTGCATTGCCTGATGGGTTGTCCAGGCAGGGCCCATGATGTCACTGTTACCACGGAGCTTTCTTATCTACAACTTCTGAACCTTCTTTTTTTCTCTGGCTCAGCGTCTTGCCATAAAGAGGGTCCTGTTCGGTGGGTTCGGCAACGCGATCTACAAGAGAGGGACAAGCCACGACTCATGGCGGGTCCTCGTGCAAAAGCTTGCCGCGCCGATACAAAGTCTTGGATGCGCCGACTGCTGGGGCCCCTTGCCACATTGCCGCACCACGGCGGACCTGCGACGACCGGGCAGTTGGCTGCGGGTTCCCTCCCACTACACACGCGGATGGACCACTTGCACTATTACCTGGCGAGGTTGTGGACAGAATAAACCGGGACAGGTGCTTTACGGCTTGGATCTAAATTGCCCGGTTTATTCTGTCCACGGCCTGACCTGGTGTGCATGGAAAATGAGCCCTTCGAGGTCCACAAAAGACATCACCGAGCGCGGGCCGTTTCCGTGCTGCTGCTGCTTCTGCTGGAATGAATGGCGACCAAAAAGATGCGATTGGCATGCATGGTTTCCGCCAATGGGTATCATAAACAAACACTGGGTCGCTCATCTCTCTAGGCATATTATCTGTAGAGCCTACGCCCGGCCCAAGAACACGGCACTTTGCCCCCGGAGGTGGCCAGGACGCTCAGGTTCCTCCCCACCTGCGCCGCTAGCTACCTCCGTCTTCCTATCTCTAATCATCATGAAGCCCATGTCCAGGTCCCCTCGACCCTCCCCTCGCTCTCCTCCGCGAGCTGCGTAAAGACGCTCAGGCTGAGATCCAGGTCCGCGGCCTGGCACCCTTCGCAGCGATCCACGACCGTGACTTCCACGGATGCCCTCTTCTCCATCGTCACGGAGTCTTTCCTTCTTCCTGCTCCCCTCATAGTGGTGGTGCTGCTCCTCCCAATCATCCTCGCCGCCGCTCTGCTGCTCTTGTCCCGCGTGATCCGGATCTTGCGCCCGCAGAGCGGGTTCGCGTTGGGGTTCCCCGACGTGCTGGCCGCGTCGAACAGGATGTGCGAGACGGACACGATCGCGTCGTTGGGCCCGGAGACGATGCCGCAGGCCCCGAGCCCGGGGGCGTAATAGGTCAGCTCGCCCTGGTACGTCTTGCCCGGGTCTGTGCCGCCACCACCGCCGCCGTTATTACCGTTGCCCCCGAGTCCGGGAGGGAGCGGAATGTTGTCGTTGGCGTGCTGTTTGTTGGACAGCCCGACTCCGAGTCCGATGGCGAGAGGGAGGACGAAGAGGACGAGGGTGAGCAGCGGGAGGATGACGAAGAGAAGCAGCGAGCGCCGCGAGAGGCGGTCGTTCAGGTAGGTCCGGTGTGGCGGGAGGATGGCGTCGAGGCGGGCCTTGAGACCTGTCGTGGCTCCGCGGGCTGGTGGCGAGGTCGTTGTCCCTGCTGTCCCTGCTGCTGCTGCTGCTGCTGCTGCTGCTGCTGTTGTTGCGTCTGGTGCAGTCTTGCTCTCCGCGGGTGATGTTGTTGACGTTGATGTGTTGTTTCTCGTGGCGACGGCGGCAGGCGCTGCTGCTGCTGTCGCCGCTGGAGTCGCCTGATGCTGCTGGTTCTTCGGTGTCGATGCTGCCGTCGCTGTAAGGCGGCTTAGGAAAGACTGGCGCTTCGGGCGAGGTGTCTCCCACTGCAGCGCCTCGCCCAGCGGCGGCGGTGGCGCATCTTGCTGGTGATGCTTCTCGGATGGTTCTGCCATTGTATACTGGTTGCTCTTGGTTCCTCAGCTCGCGGTCGCGTGATCAAGGCTCGGTAGCCACAGTTGCGAAGTCTAGAGAAGGATGGTTGTCCTCCTTCTCCTTGGGGGCAATTGGGACGGGGCCATCAATGGCTGGCTGCCACCGTCGATGCCGGCTTGGATGTCATTTCCCGCAAGTTGGCAGCAGCACGTGTATGCCCCTGTCGTGCCGTGTGCGTGTGCCGTCCTGCAATTCTTGGAAGTGCGCCAATCACGCAGGCTGCTCTGGGCTGCTGCTGCAGGGGTTTCGTGGCGCGTTAAGGTTCCAGGACAGTCAGGGGTTGTTTTGTTTGGCTGCCAGAGGAACGGGGCGTGACGTCACCGATCCTGGACCCTGAATGATCTCTGATTGACTGCACTGGGCATCGTGGCGTCTCTGGTCAGCTTCGAGTCAGTGGATGGGGCGTGCTCTGAAATCCAATGTGCTGCTGCCCGTCGTCTCTGAATCAGATCAGTTGTAAGTGCGGCCCAGCACATGATTGCCTTTCTCCATGGCTCAACGGAATTGCAACGGGGATTTTCGGAGACGATGGATTAATCAGGGTCAAACAAGTTATCACTCCAACTCGTTTCCAACCCGTGGTGTACAAATGGTTGAACAACTCAGAGAAGGGGGCCAACCCTGAGTATGAGGAGACGGCTGGAACAGCGCTCGAGTTCTCCGTCCGTTCAGAACATGGCTGTGATGATACATTGTTCGACCAAACTTACAGCGCTTCTCAACAATTACGAAGGCTCTTTAAGTCCTAAGCTAACAGCAATCCCCGTGCGGAATATTTACTTTCCTCCATATATTGGTACAACAGAGCATTGGGGCGACTGATCATAAGTCTTACTTGCTCGCGGTACAGCCCCAACGCCCTCCTCCACCATATCGTACATTTGCGGGCGAGGTCACAGCATCGCCACCATTGTAGTAGTCTTACAATAACTTACACTCTGCCCCCAACCTCAGCGCAACCCTCCCGGGCGCGACTCTACCGGTGTACCACGAAGGGGACTCCGTCATTTCACTTTCATAGCAACAGCCCGCTCCTCCAAGTGTCGCAAGACTACGGCAACACTCTCCCGGAACAACAAGTCCGCATATACGCGGTGGAAGCGGAACATGAACCACTCGAGCGCATTCTCCGGCCTGTCGACGCGCGGGTTGCACGTCATTCCGTGGAAGCTTATTTTCAGCACATCGTGTGCTTCGGCCTCGTCGTGGTCGTGGTCGTCGATTTCGTCGCCTTTCCGGGCCCCGTCGGCCGGCCTCCCGCCACTGGCACGTGCATCTCCAGAGGTAGAAGCAGCACCACCCGAATATCGCGAGACGGTGAACCGGTGCGTCCCCGCGAACCAGGACCCATCACTGCCAAAGCCGATGTCGACGTAGGACTCTGCTGCACCTGGCTGCTGCGTCCTCTCCTCCTTTTCCCCACGGTTATTCGTGCTCCCCGCCGTGTCCGCCTGCTCCCGCCGGGTTGTCACCATGTCGGAGATGCCAGCTCTCTGGCTCTGGTGGTGCTCGTCAGCGATGTAGGCGTCCAGCACCTGGAACGCGCCGAACAAGATTGACGACACGGGCGGGAGATGTGTAAGTGAGAGGTCGTGCTTGCTCCAGATCTCCAGCGCAGCCGAGGAGGTTGGTACTTCTTCAACGGATGTTAGCACGTTTCTTTTCACGGTGGTGAAACAGCGGAAAACCGGGATAACTCGCATCGGAGCTCTTTCAAATGCACGCGGCCCGGGGCTAGACATATAGATACCAGGAGCAGCGCCATCTGGTCAAAAGCGACCAAGACAAAAAAGGGCAAAGAAACTTACTGCTAAACCAGGCCATCCGCCGCCCGAGAGCCCGCAACACCACCCCCTCCGGCGCGAACACCACGCCCCCGAAAAACGCCCTCACGAACCTCGCCAGAATCTCCTCATCGCTGAGAGCGCTCTTGCTGCTGCTGCTGCTGCTGTTGCTGATGCTCAGACAACCACCCTTTGGCGCACGCACCTCCACTGTCCGCGAGTCCTGCGTGATTCGGTGGCCCGCGTGGTTGATGATGTCGGTCACCGTGCGGGAGCGGGTGAATGATGCCGGCGCGGTCGCCGATGCTGGATAGCTTGTTACCGTGAAAGGTGCGGAAGGCGATGATGACGACGACGACGACGACGGTGGTGGTGACGGAGAAGAAGAGCCGGGGATCTGAAAATGCTTGCTGACCGCCGAGTACGTGACTAACCCGGCGGCCGACGCTGCCGTCGCCACGAGCGCCGTGATCCCCGATGCTGCCAGGACCGCCCGAGAAGCTGTGACCCTTGGGAGACTTGCCATTTTGACTTTTCCAAATAGAAAAAGGATTGGGCTCTACCTGCAAATGTAGAGCAGGAGCTACTGATGACTGAAGGATATGCGCCTTTTTTTTCGTGGATGTTGCAGAACCAGACTGACGGTGTCTTGAATAGAATTTGTGATATGGCTTTCACGCGCAGAATGCTTCTACTCCATCGGTTGCGTGTGTGTGTGTTACGAAGGCGCGAGGGACTGAGTGCTCAACAATGATTATTTACCACCTCGAGGTAACCGTTCTGCGATGCGTGCAAACTAAGAGAACCCGTCCAAGACTGAGCATGTTGTGTGTAATCGACGAGGTTCCTTTAAATGCCATGCAGCAACAGAAGATCCAGGTGTGTGTACAATGCTTCAAAGGAACGCTTACTTTGAAGGCCAACCCTATCCTGCCCGAGCGTGACTCACCTTGTCCCAACTCTCCCACTTTCCCAGTATCTCCTTTTGCGGACATTGAGGGAGAATAAGAGCACCCCAATGCGTCATTCCAGGATGGGAATTGTAGTTCCCCTGTTTCCGCACGTCCGGGCTGGGGGCCGAGCAGCTCACGTTACTGTTCAACTTTCCATGCAACAGCTTTGAACATCCGACACCCCACTCGTAGGATGCGGGAAGTGGGGATCCTGAGGTCCCTACAGTAGTGCGTAGGCGTCGGTTGGTGGGACACAAGCGCCTAGCTCTAGGGCTGAAAGCAGGACCCCGTTGTGGCAGCTCAGCTGACCTGCCATGCCCTGTCCCGTCCTGCCCGGACTTAACGCTTATGCAGCGTAAGGTGAGGTGCGGACACCCTACCTGGACTACACCGGGACCCGAACAGCGAGCGACGCGAGGATCAACGGGAACGAGGATTCATCGGGTGCGGGGGCCCAGCCTGCCTAGTCCAGTCCAGGCAGACCTCTACGAGGGTGGGCGGGAACATTCCCAGGTGGGCGGGAACATTCCCAGCTTCCATTCAAAAAAGGTAGGAGTGTCAGCACGCGCGCTGTCTGGCTCACCACGCCGGACAGCTCGCGACGTGGGGGCATCCGAGCTGTGCCGCGTCCACCTGTGCATTCATTTTTTCCTTGCTGGAAGTGTACGCGCATCAAAAGAACGCATTCCCAGTAATTTGATCATTGGTGTATCATCAACAACCAAGTACAGTATAGAACGCAATCTATCCAAGGCCGTCTACATGCTCCAGCTCTAGCTCTAGCTCTATCCTTCTCCATCTCAGTCTAACCTTGTCATTGTCACCGTGCTCCCCTTTCTCCCGAGGAGGCGAAGAGTCACTTCACTGCTTCAGCACAAGCCGGTAAGTCGCAACCTCAAACGAGCCCAACTCGACCTCGAACTGAGAGCCGCCACCACTCTGCGCAACCTCAATCTCCTCGCCATCGTCCTCGAGGATATTCGTCTTGAACACCTTGTCCAGCGGGAACTCGGACTCGATCACGCCCCGGCCAAACCCGCCCAGCGCATCATACACACGCACGACAATCGACTTGCCCGCCGCGGCGTCGCGCGCTCCCAGGTTCTCGTTGCCGTCATGGCACACGTCCGCGTCGTCCTCGGCGCGCTTGATCCAGTCGAGCACCAGATTGTCGTCGCCGCTCAGGCTGATGGGCGCCTTGCCGCCTCTGCGCTGATTCGTGCCGGCGCGGATGCCAGACGCCGTCCGTTGGACAATCTTCATCGGGTTGTTGAAGTTTGCTGCCGCGCGGACGGTCGCGGCACCCAGGGGCCCCTTGTGCGGCATGATGGCCCAGCGCATAATGTGCTTGCCCATGTCGGCGTTGCCGTCGGGCGCTTTTGGTGAGCGCAGAAGCGACAGGCGCATGACGTTGCCGACCGTCGCGAAGCCGTACTTGGAGTCGTTGAGGATCGACACGCCGTACGCGTGCTCCGATAGGTCGGCGAACTTGTGGCAGCAGACTTCAAACTTGGCCATGTCCCAGCTGTAGAAGACACCGAGTTAGCTGTATTCACTTTGGGCGTGGCTGAGCGTGCCAAAAAAAAGCGACGCAACAAGTGGCAAGGTCGAGGCAAGAACTCACGATGTGTTGTAATGCGTAGGTCGCCGGATAACGCCATACTGCGTCTCGTACGAGGCCTCCATGTTGCTCACACTGACGGGGAACTCAACCTTGAGGAACTTCATCGTCTCGTGCCAGTCGACCTCGGCCGTGCACTCGACTTGAGATGGCTGAGTATTATCGAGCACCGCGCTGAGGGAGATGGTCGTCTTGATCGAGCTCTCATGGCTGATCCGTGTCTCCGTGACCACGCTCGCGCGGTATCCGTTGTCCTCAAGCAAAATTGTCGCTGTCGAATCGTTGAGCTCCTCGCGCGTCTCGAGGTGGTACACTTCCACGTCCCAGGCCTGCCAGTACACCGGTTTGTCATCGAAAATGACGTATTGGTTCGCCTTGCCGGAAAGTGTCTCGCGTCTAGCGCGGCGGTCGTAGATCGACGTGATGCAGCCTCGTTCAACCTTGACGGTGAGGTGTTCGTTTTCCAGCTGGAAAACACCCACAGACAGCTCTTTCACCGTGACCTTATCCCTGTGAGCATTTTCGGTTCCGAACGGCAAGAGATCAAGCATATGACCACTTCCACGAGCGATAACAGCTTGCGTGCTCGAAATGTCAATGAGTTCGCTTCGTGCCCAGGGCAGGGTGTTGATCGCAGTGGTTGTCTCGATTTGGTCCACCTGGATCTCTGCGGGCTGTATCTCGTGCACGTCCAAAGTTTTGAGGATCTGCTGGTAGAGCATAGCTACGGTCTTGTAAACGTTGTCGTAGATCTAGTAGTTTACTCTCATGTTAGTGCCTGTGACGGGACTCGCGTTGGCGGAAATACCTAGCTCTCGCCGCTCCTTACCTTTTCGGAGTCGTCGTAGCACATCTCAATCGCAGTTCCTGGAAGACAGTCATGGAATTGGCACAGCATCACCCCATGCCACATCTCATCGAGCTCCTTCTTGGGATATTGGAACGCTCCTCCGCTTTGCACAGAGGCGTACGTGGCCAGCATCTCCAGATCGTGAAGCAAAATCTCGACACGGCGGTTGTGCGCCTTGGTCTTGGCCTGCGTGGTGTACACACCGCGGTGCAGCTCAAAGTACAACTCTCCGTGCCAAGTGACGAGGCTTGATGCCTTGGCCTCGAGGCCGTCGAAGAATTCGTCCACAGTGGCACCAACGTGTGTGCGCGGCACCGTCCGGCCCCCCATGGTGTCTGCCATGCCCCTGAGGCGACGCAGCCGCTCGAGATGTTGCCATGTAGGTCCGCCACCACCGTCACCTTTCCCGAACTAGGCGATGAGGGATATCATCAGTATACAACTCTGTCAAAGCTTGATTGGTGCGCAGCCATTCTGGTTTCACCTACAGCAAGCAAGGCGGTGTTGTCTTGGTCGAGCGACTTGTGGTTTGAGATGCTGCATGTGATGTTCTCAAAATTGCCTTCAGCACAGTAAGTCTTGGCTGGTGGCATGTGGCAGATGACTTGACTGCCGTCTAGTGAAACCCTGGGATTTAAAGATTGTAAGCACACGTCTTGATACAAGCCATATTTCCAGTACGCCAATGTTGTGATTTGGAGCCACCCACCAGTTGAAACTTGTATGCGGAAAATCATTGACACTGTTGAAGCACGGCTTCTGTGTAAGAAATCGCGTCATACCCGCAAGCCGGCAGATCTGCGGGATCTGACACGAGAAGCCAAAGGTGTCGGGCAGCCAGGAGGTGGTGGACCGGAAGCCAAACTCGCGCTGGAAGAATCGCTGGCCATAGAGAAACTGTCTCACTAGAGACTCGCCGCAGGGAAGGTTGGTGTCGTGCTCGACCCAAGAGCCGCCGATGGGCAGAAACTGGCCCGACTTGACCTTGGCTTTGACACGTTCCCAGCCGTAAGGGTAGATTTCCTTGAGCCATTGAAACTGTGCTCTTGCATTAGCACAATGACCAAGCTAAACTACACTGTGTCGTGTGACCTAAAGACTTATAGACTTACCTGCTGCGCCTGGGAGCAGGCAAAAGTCAATTCGGGATACCTGTCCATCAAGTCGCACTGATTCGACCAAGAGCGCACAACCTTGCGCTTGGTCTCGGCCCATGGCCACAACCAACACGTATCAATGTGGCAGTGTCCCACGGCGAACACAGTCGGACGCCGGCTGTTGGTGACGGGGCCACCTTTGGCGTAGACCTCGGCTGAGTTGATATCTTCGCCCAAATATTCCGCCGCAATCTGCCTGCACTTTTCGATCGACTTGTCATCTCCGACTCGGAAGGTGTCGATGATGCGGCTCGCGACATTGAGCGCCTCATGCTGCTCCCACGTGTCCTCGGGCAGGTCCATTGCGGCATCGTGTATGACGCTGAAGTCGGCGTGGAGCATTCTGGCTGGGTAGTTGACGGCCACGATCTCCGCCTTGGTGAGCTCGAAGAACTTGTTCTGATCAGGAGGCTGGATCGAGTCACCTCCGGCGTTGTTCTTGAAGATGGGTCGGCCGGGGCCGTTGCCAAACATGCCGTTGCACGCCATTTCGAGATAGATGGTGTGTTCTTGCCCGTCTCTGAAGCTGTCGGGCACAATCCACTCGATACGCTCACCGCGGCCGGTGAGACCCTGCAGAGGCTCGCCATCAGCGGTCCAGACGGTGGCCTCGTTGCTGCAATCCCAATGCAACTCGATGTGTTGAGCAGCCGGCTTGTTGTCACCATCAGCATTGCATAGGGCCTCGGGCAGCCGAAGGACGCAGCGGAACCAGTGTGTTGTCCACGAGGGGCCGAACTTTTCGCCGACCTTGGTTTCGCGATACTCGTTGGAGGCGGCGGTGGCCTGGGCAAATGTCGGCCTGTCGGTGCCGGGAGCATCCCATACGGAGAGCTGGACGTGGGGAGCACCGGAATATCTGCCATGATCCAGCATGCTGGTTTACGGAGACGCACATGTGATGTCAGCCAACGGGACGCAGAGGGCAGTCAGTGAGCAGCCACTCACGCCATGAGATTGACCTTCTCCCATTGTCCCGGCGTGAAGAAGTTGGTCAGGCGTTTCTTGTACAAGGAGGTAATCTTCTTGCCGACCGGGGCGGCTGCCTTGACAGGATAGACAGAAGCCGTGCCGGCCGGGTGTTCACAACCAGAACCATGACCGGAACACATCTTGACAGTTGTTTTGTGCCAGGAGGACTGTGATGCCTCTGGACCACCAAATCACACACAGCGGCAGCCAATTTGTCGATGGGGACAGCAAAGCAGACAAAGGAGTGTCGTGTTTCTAGTGAGGGGAAGGAGATGTGGCGTCACTGGTGCTGCGAGGAGACGGCATGGCGGGCATTAAAGGCATTCTTGGGGGCTAGCAACGGGGTCCCCTGGCAGGTCGACTGGGATGTGGACTTGGGGCCATGAAGGGGACGTGATCGGCGAAGCGCTCCATGATGGGAGGAGCCGCAGAGATCGGCGGTCAGTCGAGGTCCACTGCAAGGCGACTGTACGAGGAGCTGGTGAGCCAGTCGAGGGGCGGAACAGCACGTGTCAGGCTGGCGGCGAGGGCATCGTGGGCGGTGCCAGGTTGTGGAAAGGCGGGGAGAGGGGTTGGCGGCGAGGGGAAAAGATGGAGCCGTGGGGGAGGCCGGTTTGGGGGGTCAGCAGCTGGCTGTAATTAGGTGTGCCTGTGCTTGCCTGTGCTGTGCCTGTCTGTGCCTGTCGCGGCTGCGAGATGGCCGCTTGGCTGCCTTCCCAGTTGGGCCCAGCAAAGAAGCAAAAAGCGGCTGGCCAGGCTGCCGACGGAAGTCGCACGTGCCTGCTTCCGAAGGCTGCTTCCAAGAGACGAGTGGGTGGTGGACCGTGCCTGCCCTGAGAGTCTGGACTCGGCTGGACCACGTGGATTGGCAGATTTGATCTGGGAGCTGCGTCGAGTATCGACCCGAGTCAAGCCAGGCGCGTGCTGCCGCGTGACAGATTCGTGAGTGAGGACTGCCCTCCATCCTCGGGTCTACTATTTACTGACAATGAATCTTTTTTTGTCTTCTCCAAAGGTGGCGCGCATGACTGATGGCCCGACTCCAATTTGTCCAGCTCGCATAATTCCTCTTCCCAGACTGGCTGCCGTTCAGTCCGTCCAGTTGAGCCCACTCGGGCGGCGTGCCCGTGCCAGCTGGGCTTGGCTTGCCTCATCACGCAGCCCACGGGGCAATTCTCCCCGAGCCTCGAGCCCGACTCCAATTTCCCCCGTCGCGTGTTTGTTTCCTCGCTCTCCCCTAGCCATTCCGTCCCCAGACTGCCTGCTGGGCCTACCCCAGACTCATGGCCGCTTCTCCGCATCTCATCTGCGGCACAGAGCCTCAATGTCCTCGCTGCCATGGGCGCATCCCGCCGATTTTGGCCGGCCATTCCCGCTGGCTAATACTGGTACCTAGGGGCGGGTGACGATGCCATTCATGCCCCTGGCTGGCGACTTTGTTGTGGGCGTGCATCCCCACACCGCACACCCGTCTCCATCCCCATCCCCATCTCCATCTCCAGATTTTTCCTCGACTGATTATTATGGAGTACTTCCCCGTGCCCCAGACCTGGGGAAAAGGTGGTCCCAGGCCAACTCCAGTCTCGGGCATCCATCACAAGCCTGCCCTAGGTGACACAAGGACCGCGCCGTCTTCGTGACGATCGAGCACAGCCCATCTAGCACGGGCAGAGACATTAATACTTCTCACGCGGGCAGAAAAACAACCCTACAACGGGTCCTCACCACTCAAGACTTTTCGTGACAATCAGCTCGCAACACTCGACCCGACCCGAGGGAACCCCGGCCCGTCGGCGAGCTCTTGCGCGAGTCAACTGTGTCTGCCCTCCCCACCCTTAACATGAGTCCAACCCTGCCATCTCTGATGGTCAGCCCTCGCCGCATGGTGGTCATCTCCGGCCATACCCGGGTTCCAATTGGCCACGCCGGGTTCACCCCGGCAGCGCCCGGTCGCTTGGCCCGACACCCACGAAGCCGCCTCGTGGCACAACCTGGGAAGAACGTTAAGCACAAGTACGCTCAAGCTCCGCCACGACGACGAGCCATACCAAGTCGGGGACAGCGAGACGAGATCCGGAAGCTAGCAGCATCTCTAGGGCAGCCACTAGGGCCCTCCGGCACCACTCATGGCAGCACACAGCACAATGCACGACAACGCACGACCAGAGCTGAGGGCTGAAAACAACCGCCGCGATTCGCGGCAAAACCCCACGGGGAACCTGGACAGCAACTGGCCGACGGGCGGGGTCTCGGGTCATCTCCCCAACGAGGTTGTCTGGCTTGGCCCCCCTTGTTTCCGGCCAGGCTTTTCGCCCTAGGCCACTGGTGTGGTACTCGTCGGCCACACCAAGGTCATCCCTATCGCCGAGGTACTGCTCCGTTCCGACCCTGCCTGCTGTGCACAGACAATTCTGGGCCAGCCAACGGAACCGCCTTGAGGCCAAGATGGATCCGTCTTCACAAGCGCTGGTTCCGGTGCGTCGTCTGTCTTCGTTCCAAGGCCCAGGGCTCAGCCAGCCAAGCCTGGCCCCTTGGCTGGCCATTTCGGCGGATCTTTCCCATCACTGTCATACTCAGTACTCCCATTTCGTGGACTGACCCGGGCACGCGGGCTCGAGCTGAACCGCTCATGGGTCCCTCCCCAACCTGCCCGGTGCCACCTCACCCCCCTATCGCTCGGCCCCATGTCATGTTGCACCTCTTTCCTGGAGTAGAAATGCGGGGATGTTGGCCCTGGTTCACACGACCATGGTCGGTCGTGGGGCACTCGGCCAGCGTGCATGGAGGCCAGACCCGGGGTTGGTGGTGAGCCCGGCCATGTATTTATTAACCCCCGGGGACCCCAACGTCTCGGTGACCAGTCTCGAGATCCTCACTCCTCGCCTTGTTTCCTGGTCATTGTTTTCCAGGCGCACCTTGAGGTCTCGTCTTGTCCTTTGCCCACAACTGCATCATGGCGACCACCACCACAGATCTCGGCAAGGCGGAGGCCGACATGGCCAAGCCCCAGCCCTCGCACGCTGAGCACGCTGGCTACACGGCCAACATGGAGCTCATTGAGGCTGCCGTCGCTGCCTCCGACGCCGAGGCCCTCATCCCCAAGAAGGAGCTCTTCTCCCGGTACTGGCCTGCTGTCACCTTCAGCATGCTGCTCAGTCTGGCTCTCGTCATGGAGGGCATGGACACCGGTCTGATCAACAACTTCTTCGGCCAGGATGCGTACCTCAACAAGTTTGGCTGGGTGAACCCGGCCACCGGCAAGAAGTACATCTCGGCTGATTGGCAGTCCGCCATTGGTGCTGGCAACAACTGTGGCTCCATCATCGGTCTCCTTCTCAACGGTTGGCTTCAGTCTCGGTTCGGCTCCCGCCGTGTCTACATGGTAAGCACATTAATACACCTGGGTTATTTTTGAAGTGCTCTCATGAGGGACTATTCACTGACGGCATCGCTTTTTCCTTTCGCACAGGCCGCCATGGCGCTGATGGGCTGCACCATATTTGTCCTCTTCTTCAGCACCAGCGTCACCATGCTTCTCATTGGTAACATCATGTGTGGTGTCCCGTGGGGTATCTTCCAGACCCTCACCACCGCATACGCGGCTGAGATCTGCCCGGCTGCCATGCGTGGCTACCTCACTGCCTGGGTTTCCATGTGCTGGGGTGCCGGTACTTTCCTGGCCACCGGTGTCCTCCGTGGCTCGCTCAACCTCGAGGGCGACGCTGCCTGGCGCGTGCCTTACGGCCTGCAGTGGATCTGGATTCCCCCGTTGATCCTCGTCGGCTACCTCTCCCCCGAGTCTCCGTGGTTCCTCGTTCGCAAGGGCCGCATTGCCGATGCTGAGAAGTCGCTGCGCCGCCTTGCCCGCAAGGACTACTACACGGAGCGCAGCATGGCCGAGACCCTGGCGCTGATGCAGCACACCAACGAGATGGAGCGCATCGAGGCGGCCAACAGCAACTACCGCGACTGCTTCCGGGGCACCAACACGCGCCGCACCATTGTCACCTGCATGGCGTGGATCATCCAGATGCTCAACGGCCAGTCCATCACTGCCTTTGCCGTGGTGCTGCTCCGCTCCGTCGGCATGGACCAGGTCGCCGCCTTCAACTACAACATGGGCATCCAGTCGGTCAACATCATCGCCACGGGTATCGCCATTATGCTCATGGGCCGCGTCAGCCGCCGCGCCTTCTACCTCTTTGGCACCAGCGGCATCGGCTTCATGATGCTCATCATCGGCATCGTCGGCTTCTTCGTCAATCAGAACAAGACCATGCCCATCGTTGTCGCGGCCATGCTCGTCATTGTCCAGATCATCTTCAAGATCTCCCTCGGCCCGACCACCTACGTCATCGTCGGCGAGATCGCCTCGAACCGCGTCCGCGCCCAGACCATTGTGCTCGGCCGCGCCGTCTACGTCTGCGGCCAGCTCATCGTCCAGCAGCTCAACCCGCGCATGCTCAACTCGGACCCGACCGCCTGGAACTGGGGCGCCCGCACGGGTCTCTTCTACTTTGGCTTCTGCGTCATCTGGACCGTCTGGATCTACTTCTGCCTCCCCGAGACGCGCAACCGCAGCTTCGCCGACATTGACTACCTCTTCCAGAAGAAGGTCAGCGCCCGCAAGTTCACCACCACTCCCATTGACTGTAAGTTTACCTACTTCTCCTCCTCTTCTGTCCAAGCCTACCATGGCTATTGGGGAAACACCATGCTAATTCCTCCTTTCTCCAAACAACAGTGTTCGAAATCGTCCCCGCCACCGAGGGCAAGACCATCGACGACGACGCCGAGCCCACCACGACCCTTGCCGAGCGTGTCGAGGAGAAGCGTGCTTAAAGGGAGAGCGGCGGCCTGTGCAATTAAAGGGATACGTGTCATGTAGAAATGCCTGGTTTTATTTCTCAAGTATAGCAGCGGTTCCAGCGGCTCAACGTTTCTGGTATAAGAGGGCCATTGCATTGCACTCTACAGACATAACTTTCGTCGAAAGACTATGCTACATAGAGAGAGAGAGAGAGACAGCGCGCACGATACCAATATTACCAAAGCGTTTTGAAACAAAGTACCTACATATGCCGAGTCATGGGCCCCCTTTCTCTCGTGTTCAAGTGGAAGGGAGAGCATGAACGATGCCGGTAAGCGGAAGTTGATGAAGCTCCAGGACGAGACCAAACACAGCACCAGGCACCACCGGCAGCAGCAGTAGCAGGAGAGGCATATCTCTCTGCATTCCCGGTATTCTCCACGTTTGTTCGCATCAGGGTTTCGCAAAAGCCAGGGTTGAATTTGGGGCGCGCGGAATTCTCATTCGCCAACCCACATAATCGACATGTGCGGTGGTTTGTCAAGACCAGGAAAGGATTTTTCGGCCTCACCACGCAAGAGTTGTACTACCGACGACCAGAAAGAAGCTCACGACTTAGCACAAAGTCCCCAAGTTTGTTGTCCTTGTGTGCGACGCAGGCCTTAAGGGCGGATTCTCGACAGGTTTCCGAGATAGGCCCACTTCAGTATGAGGAGGCCCCTGTGGCAGCACGCGCACTTTGTTGGGGGGGGGCTTGGGTAATGGGTGGGGAAGAAGGGTAATGGGGAAGAAGGGAGGATGAAGTCTGAAGACAAGGGGTGCGTGATGAACCTCTGTGTGGACAGCCGAGGGGGGAGGATATGCTGCTTAAGTCAGTCTCTGGCAAGGAGCACTTGCGCCTGGGGGCTGTTTGAGAAACAGTACACACTTGGTTTCACCCATTAGAAAGGGCCGTCTACACTGATATATATATTTATGGTCGCGGATACGGTTGATCGGGAGACCGCCATCGGCGCCCAGATGACCGAGAAGTAAAGCTGCGTTTTGAAAGAAAAAAGGGGGCTCACGCAATCAAGTACGTGTTACATGATTCTATATAGAGGTAGTACATGGCTTTTTTGGGTTCTGTATTTGCCAAAAGAGGAGATAAGAACAGCGTGGAATTGATATATAAGATGAGGCGACGCGGAATGCAAGGTTCTGCGGCTGGCCAGAAGCGTGTTCGTGTAAGTTTCAGGCACACCTGCCCAGCCGACCGTGTGACAGTGTGCAACGACGAGGTCAAGATTGACCTACGGAGCAAGACCGCTGTCACCTGATCCGTGGTCATCTGGCGAAGGAGAGTGCCAGGTGCTGTAATGGTGCGACGACAGCCATGGACGACCGCAAAACTGCTCAAGTTCGTCGGGCAGAAGGCAGTTCTCGTCCGTCGTAAAAAGGGTTCGTGGCGTTGTCCAATCATCAAGAGCATGGCGGCGGTCTGAGCTGGGAACTTCTGCAACGTCGGGAACGGACATCGGTGAGTTTCTCTCCAACAAAACCCATGGTTCGTCAGCGCGTTCCTGAATAATCCACTGTTGCATGCTGTGGTTTTCTAATCCTCGCTGCGACAACTCGCCCGGGTCACCATCAGACCCGGCCAAGGGGCTTGGCGGCATGGCGTTTCCGCGCTCGCTGACAGAGTGCCCCAGGTGATATTGAGGACTTGCGTGCTCATGGTCTGTTACGATGTATATTTCGTCCTGCACATGCAACGTGGACATGCCAGCTACAATGTCTTGGGCAAGCGGGTCTTGAGTGTGGTCATCTGGGTTTGTGGCATGGCCGAAGGGAACACGGTCGTCGATGGTCACTCGATAGTGCGGTTCTCTGGAAAGTTCAACGTGGGGCTGGAGAGCAAGCCTCCGTTGCTGCCCAGTGTGCTCACGTTGAGTATCCATTTGGTGATGGCGAAGAGACTGGCTCCGTTGTTCTCTGGGTGTGCGTGACAGAGCCGCTCTTCGGTGCCTGGACCATTGAGGCCCATGCGACTAAGTAGCTCAGGAGGATCAGCAAGGTAATTGTCGTGATCTCATCGAGAACACTTACGGAGGAAGGACACATGGAAACAGCCTTGAAATTGCTTCCACAGCCAGAATATCCAGACAATCGTGGAGTCAAAATCGGTAATGATCCTGCTTACACGCCGCGCCACCAATAGAAGAATAGCAGTGTTGTATGAATGAAAGCATCAAAGTGCAAATAGACTATGAGATGCTCGAGTGTCTGGTGCGGAAGACGGTGCTGAAGCTGAACCGTGATTGTTGGCGGACAGCCTTTTATCAATACGGCTGCGAGGCACTTTATCGTTGCAGCAGCGAGCCACCATGCGGCGAACCATGATGAGGAGGATGGTACGAAGAGGGCTATTCATGAGCCCATTACCACAAACAGCCTTCTGTGGACCGTCTTTAACCGTCTCATCAGAGATCAATGCCTTCAACATGAAAGGTGCAGCGAGAAAAGGAACAGCTGTTGCTGGTCGCCTAGCTCCCCTGTCCAAAATCAGCTGGTCATGGATCCGATTCGACCTGGTCTACCTACACATGGGCTCGACCAATGCGCCAGCTCTCTCACCGAAATTCCCTTGTTGGTGTTCGCCATGTTGCCAATGATCTTCGTCGCTATGGCATGATGTGGGTGGTACAGCTTCTGGCTATACATGATCTGGCAGTGCCGCTGTCGCGTAGCTGCCAGCATGCTGAGGTGTCGCATCCGGGGAGTTCCCGTGGGTGGGTGCAATGGATGAGAAAAAGCCCCCAGAAGCAGGGCAAGCGCAGGTTGGTGTGGTCGCGAACCCGGGACGGGACCGTGGTGGTGGCGCTCTTCAGGGCCTGGCATCCGGGGCGGCTACCCGCGATGCATGGTTACAACACATCATGGCTGCCGTGCTCGGGCGGGCGGGGGGAACCTGCCCGTCCGGACCGCTTCCCAGGGTCCTGGTGACTGGGCCATAGGTGACGCTGCTTGTCAGTCGGCTGGTGGGCGCGGAAGCACGAGTTGCATCCGCGATCGGGTTTTGCCGGCTGACAGTGAAGAATCCGTGTAAGTCGCGGGAGGTGACGATTGGCTGGGCGTCGAGCAGTGGGCTGTGCTGCTCGTTGAGGGCCTGGTCGATTGGAGCGCGGGCCCTGAGGAACGCAGCCGGCGAGGCCAGGGCAGTGCAGAGTACGGCTGGGGTTGTCTTTCTAGAATGCTAGGCTGTCCACCGCGAGGCAGATTTGACAACGGCGACGGACCTGTTCCTGTGATGACGCGAGGCTGCGGAAGCCCATGATCTTGCGTCTTGCTGATGCATCTCATTCCGGCCATTGGGAAGCATACACCACGGGGAAAACTCCCGGACAAAGCGGAAGTTCCCGCCGGTGAGCATCATGTTGCTCAAATTGATCCCAGTGTGGAGTATGTACAAGCGTGAGAGTGTGTGGAAGTGTGGAAGGAGCATGTGGCTGCCAGACGGTGGAGGTTGCCTGGCGGCCACTGGAAGGTGCCTCTCCGCCTGATGCAGGGAGACCGCTTTGTTCTCCAGGGCTGACGGCCCCTACCTGTGTGCAGTACGCAGTCTCGCCTCGACATTCCAAACACCGTACCCAGGCGTTTGTGATCTCTCAATGGTGACCGAGGACGCCCCTTGACAACTCCTCTACGTGTAAGAGGCTCTCCACCATGGTTCGGCCGGGAGACATTGGTGCGGCCGAGGATGTCCCCAGTGGTCACGATGCAAACCATTCTGCCAGGCACAGGGCCAACATGAGCCATCTACCATCGGGAGCCAGGCAGCCCATTTAGCGAGAAGTAAACGCTGAATTGACCAGCACGATTGACCACTCTATCAGTCATTCTATTAGTCCAATCGCGGCTGTCTGTGGGAAGTCAACGCACGGCCCAGTCACATAATTGTCCATCGATGCTGGTCTCATGAACCCATACCAACCTTGGAAGGGACTGATCTCATTCGTCCCATGGGACAATTGCACCCACTGGACCCCCACTCTTGACCTCATGCCTGTGTAACGAGCAGCTGTGAAATGGCACACCTCATTAAGTAACGCAGGGTCCTTGACCCAGCCACCGGGGCATCCGAGCTGTCAGACTATGCCTCATGTGTGGCAGTCCAAGCTAGTCAGACATGGCCACGTAGTGAAACTGGTTGTCCACCTGCACGAAGTGTCAGGAGTCGGTGTAAGCCGGTTGGTCTGTGCCGAAGCCCAATATGTCCTTGAACCGCCGTTAAGCACAGAATGTGCCAACCAACTCGCTGTTGTAGACTTTTTCAAACAGAGCGTCGTGAAATCAATACTTTGCGCGAGAGGCCTTGACATGAACGCAGCAGAATGAGCAGAAACAAAGTATACACAATCGCTGGCCCCGTGCCAGCACACGTCCTACAGAGAATACGACAGCTAGGCCCATCGCGTTGTCCATCAACTCTAAGATGGCAGCTGAGGGTGTGTAACAGCTTATGCATGAACGGCATGCGGCTTGCAACAGGCCCCATGCAAGCTTCTCAATGACGTGCCAGGTACTGACCAGCAGGCCTGGCTCCAGGTCTGATGCTGTTGTTTCTCGTTGACCGAGCAAAGGGTGAAGCAACGTCTGGTTAAAGATCTGACTCTTGGAGCTAGGCACATTCTGGCCATTCAGGCAGTCCGGCGTGACGCCCACAGCGGGTAGGCACAGCGAAACTTTGAAGGGCAGTTGCGTCTAGGCAGATCCTGGAAGGCATCGGGGCTCTCCCGCCCGTGTGCCAGTCGTCAGCCAGGCCGGAGCTGGTTGCGCTACTTTAAGTCGTGCGAGACCGGCAGCGTGGACACGCTGGAATGAGCCGTTGCCGACAGACCGTGCCACTTTAGGCTAAGGTTATGGTGGAGCAGCCTGGGTACGCGGCAGGGCTGTCTATGCTGGAGAGCGGTTCTGGAGTGCTGGGGAACCTGTCAGTGAGTCTGTGTGGCCCTGGGGCAGGGCTTTCACAAGCAAGCGAATTGTTGCTCCCGAGGCTGCCGGATGCTTCAACGACAGCAAATGTTTCTGGCGACCCAGCAGCCGTGGCAGGTGTTCGGTGTGACAGCAGACCTCACGACCGGGCGCTCGGGGTGACGATGACACTGACGGAATCACTGTGGCGTAGCGTCCACCGCTGGGCCATGAGTGACACAATGGCGGCAGTTCCCTTGATCGGCAGAGAGCCCAGCAGCTGCTCTTGTCCTTGTCGCGGGTGAAGTTGTGATGCCCGCCCGCAAGTGTGCGGTTGCGGAGCCCCCATTGGTGCGGAAGCGCTGACTGCCCTGTGGCAGAGGGCTGGGGCTCGCAGCACGACACCCCTGATTGGCCAGAAGGTCGCCTGCTCCCCTCTGGAAAAAAAAACAGAAGGGCTCACCTGCGCCGTGGGCAGGCGCCGGCGTGACATGGGCGACGACATCGCACCGCCTATTGTGCCCGCCATCTCCACAATCGCCAACCCGCAGCCCCGACTGCTGCCCGCTCTTAAGCTGCCGACCCGCGCGAGGCCATCGTCGTTCGATCCCGCTCCGACCCCCAGGACTACTTCTGCCGACTCGCCTCCCCCCGCCGGCGCTCCCTCCCGTTCTCTCGCCATCCTCTACAGGTCTGTCTGTTTTCGAGCGTTCACTTCTCGCATCGCCCAGCATCGTGCTTCCCCACCATCACCATGCTCTCCACCCTCCGTCTCGCCGCCCGGCCAGTCGCCGTCCGCCGGGCCGCTACCGCCCTCTCATTCCGCGCCGCCAGAGCCGGCTCGACCTGGGCCAACGTCCAGCAGGGCCCTCCTGTAAGCTTCCGTCCCTCTCGGCCCTTCGCCAGCGATCTGGCAGCGTCCTTGTGTTGAACGCCTAGACGTGCCATGCTAACATGCCATTGCCCCATAGGATGTGAGTAATTTCTCGACTTGATGCGGCAACTGTCCCGATTCTAGCTCCCGCCGGGTAGAAGCCCTCGACTGACATGTACTCTTCTCTTGCGCTTGCTACAGGCCATTCTTGGTAAGTCTGGGTGTTGAGTGTCTTGGACTAATCTGTGCGCACGCAAGGCGCCATGCGGCTCGGAACTCAAGGCGCAATCTGCTAACATGTGACTTTGATAGGCATCACCGAGGCTTTCAAGGCCGACTCCTTCCCTCAGAAGATCAACCTTGGTAGGATCGCCCTCGATTTCTCCTCGACCCGACACCCGACCGACCATCTCTTTCGACGGCGGTTGTACATGGACCCGACCATGACTAACCACTTCTTCCACATCAGGTGTCGGTGCCTACCGCGATGACAAGGGCAAGCCCTACGTTCTTCCCTCTGTCCGCACTGCCGAGGAGAAGGTCATTGCCTCGCGCCTGAACAAGGAGTACGCCGGCATCACCGGTATCCCTGAATTCACCAAGGCTGCCGTCGAGCTCGCCTACGGCAAGGACTCGCCCGCTCTCGACCGCATCGCCGTCACCCAGTCCATCTCCGGCACTGGCGCCCTCCGCATCGGCGCCGCCTTCCTCGCCCGCCACTTCCCCGGCGACAAGAAGATCTACATCCCGACTCCCTCGTGGGCCAACCACAAGGCCGTGTTTGGCGATGCCGGCCTCGCCGTCGAGCAGTACCGCTACTACGACAAGAAGACCATCGGCCTCGACTTTGAGGGCATGATTGCCGACATCAAGGCCGCCCCCAAGGGCAGCATCTTCCTATTCCATGCCTGCGCCCACAACCCCACTGGTGTCGACCCGACCATCGAGCAGTGGAAGGAGATTAGCAACGCCGTCAAGGCACAGGGCCACTTTGCCTTCTTCGACATGGCCTACCAGGGCTTCGCCAGTGGTGACACTGACAAGGACGCCTTTGCCCTCCGCCACTTTGTCGAGGAGGGACACGACATTGCTCTCTGCCAGAGTTTCGCCAAGAACATGGTATGTGTACACTGGGCGAGGCGGGCAGACCGCGCCAAAGACTCAGCATAGCAATAGCTAACCAGGAAAAACTAGGGTCTCTACGGTGAACGTGTCGGAGCCTTCTCTATCGTCGCCTCCTCGGCCGAGGAGAAGAAGCGCATCGACTCGCAGATCAAGATCCTCGTGCGCCCCATGTACTCGAACCCCCCGATCCACGGTGCCCGCATCGCCGCCGAGATCCTCAACGACCCCGAGCTGAACAAGCAGTGGCTGGGCGAGGTCAAGGAGATGGCCGACCGCATCATCACCATGCGCGCCCTGCTCAAGGAGAACCTCGAGAAGCTCGGCAGCAAGCACGACTGGAGCCACATCACGTCGCAGATTGGCATGTTTGCCTACACTGGCCTCGATGCCGACGCCATGACCAAGCTGGCGACCGAGCACAGCGTGTACGCCACCAAGGACGGCCGCATCAGCGTTGCCGGCATTACGACCGAGAACGTGGGCCGCCTCGCCGAGGCCATCTACAAGGTCAAGGGCTAGATGCTGTGTGAGGCAGTGATAGAGTTGGTACGAAAACAGTAAAATGAGGAGCGAGACTTGACGTGTTTCTGTCGAGAGACTAGATTCTATGTATGATACATCTATGCGTCTGCCTTGCTACGTTTTGTGAGCGATAGATTGCATCGTCCACGGATGTGGCTCGAAGACAGCGTAGAACAATTTGACGATCTGGACGAGCCCTGGCAGGTCATGCATGCGTGACGCGCGAAAGCGACAATGACATTGACCAATTGAAAAGGACCGACCTGTCCACGATTGGCGTAGCCCTTGCAGGCTATGATACTCACATATCCGTGGCCGTCAGGGGATATGTCGGATGTAGTCAATTGAGTGTATGACTAGACACACGCGGCTGGGGGACGACCTCGGAAGCAACCGCTGCGTGGTGGTGCAGGCAGTGGGTACATGAGGGGTACCTGGGTCCACTACTGGAATGCTGTCGTCATTGGAGGTCGCTGGTGGGTGTCGCGCCAGAGTGGTCCCTGGGTGCATGACTCCTCGCGGTGGTGGCTGTTGGTGCTGGGGCCGGCGGCCGGACCGCCGATCGCGGGGCAATCTGGCCATTAATTTTTGAATGGCACACTCGCCCCGCCATGCCCGGCCCGCCGCCACGCCGTGTGTCTGTCTGCGCTGCCAGAGTGACTGCTACTTACCACGACCATTATCACTACTACCACGCCGCCGGGACGGTTACATTTACCTCGACTCCTTGCGATCCTTCCTTTCCCCCCCCGTCAGCTTCATTTCCCCATTCCGTCCATTGTCTCTCTGAGGACTTGCCCCTGCCACTCGCTGTCTTAATTCGTGAGTCACGTAGCAGCATCGTCGACGGGCTCGCGTGTACAAAGATCGCACCGGCCCCAAACGATCTTGTCGCCAACAGTCGAAGAAGTCCTTTACTGCTCGGCTATCGATCTTTCCGACCGTTCCACACAGCAGCACATTCACCATGGAGGCCCTCAAGCAGACCTTTAAGCGGGTGAAGGCCGAGAAGCGCGTACGTCCTCCTTGCGAACATTTTTGAACCACGTCGCCTACCACAACCAATTGGGGCTCTCTTGGACAAAACCGCTCACAAAATCTCCTCTGCAGGCCGCTCTCGTTACCTATGTGACCGCCGGCTATCCCAAGGCCAATGACACCACCGAGATCATGCTCGGCATGGAGCGTGGTGGCGCTGGTATGTCCTCTCGATTCCGCCACACCCCCAGACAACGAGGACAAGCGATACTGACACAGATTCGCCAGACGTCATCGAGCTCGGTATCCCTTTCACCGACCCCATTGCCGACGGCCCAACCATCCAGACATCGAACACAGTCGCCCTCGAGAACGGCGTGACCGTCGCCTCCACACTGCAGATGGTCAAGGACGCGCGGAAACAAGGTCTCAAGGCTCCCGTCCTGCTCATGGGCTACTACAACCCCCTGCTCAGCTACGGCGAGGAGGCTCTCCTCACAGACTGCAAGGACGCCGGTGTCAACGGCTTCATCGTTTGCGATCTGCCGCCCGAGGAGGCTGTCTCTTTCCGCCAGCTCTGCACAAAGGGTGGCCTGTCCTACGTTCCCCTCATCGCCCCGGCCACGTCCGACACCCGCATGCGCATCCTGTGCCGACTCGCCGACTCGTTCATCTACGTGGTCTCGCGCCAGGGCGTCACCGGAGCCCTCGGCACCATGAACGCCAACCTGCCCAGCCTGCTGGAGCGGGTCAAGAAGTACAGCGGCGACAAGCCCGCCGCCGTGGGCTTCGGTGTTTCCACGCACGAGCATTTCCAGTCCGTCGCCGCGATCGCCGACGGCGTCGTCATCGGCTCACAGATCGTCACGACGCTCATGAAGGCCGAGCCCGGCACGGGCAGCAAGGCCGTCGAGGAGTACTGCGCGTACGTCTCAGGCCGGACCGCGGATCCCGAGGAGAAGGCTACGAGAGAGGTCGGTGTCATCGAGGCTATCAGTGCCGCCCGGGAGCCCAGCGGTGACGGCGTCACCGTCGAGGCCGTCATCAAGGACTCTGACGTTGAGAGCGACGACGCCGCCCTTGCTGCCGAGCTGTCGGCTCTGCACGGCAAGATCCCCGACCGGTTCGGCGAGTTTGGTGGGCAGTATGTCCCCGAGGCCCTCATGGACTGCCTGTCGCAGCTCGAGGACGGCTTCAACGCGATCCGCAACGACCCAAAGTTCTGGGAGGAGTACCGCTCGCACTACCCCTGGATCGGCCGGCCGGGCCACTTGCACCTGGCTGAGCGGCTGACGGAGCACGCTGGCGGTGCCAACATCTGGCTCAAGAGAGAGGATCTCAACCACACTGGCTCGCACAAGATTAACAATGCCCTCGGCCAGATCCTGCTGGCCAAGAGACTGGGCAAGAAGAAGATCATTGCCGAGACTGGTGCTGGCCAGCACGGCGTCGCGACCGCAACCGTCTGCGCCAAATTTGGCATGGAGTGTACCGTGTACATGGGCGCTGTAAGTACCTTCCTCATCGTCGCCGCCACCATGGTGCCATATATGATGCTAACCACCATCCACCACCTCCACAGGAAGACGTCCGCCGCCAAGCCCTCAACGTGTTCCGCATGCGCCTCCTCGGCGCCAAGGTTGTCGCCGTCGAGGCTGGCGCGCGCACTCTCCGCGACGCCGTGAACGAGGCGATGCGCAGCTGGGTGACGAACCTCGAGGACACGCACTACATCCTGGGCTCCGCCATCGGCCCGCACCCGTTCCCAACCATCGTGCGCACCTTCCAGTCGGTCATCGGCGACGAGACCAAGGCCCAGATGCTCGAGAAGCGCGGCAAGCTGCCCGACGCGGTGGTCGCATGCGTGGGCGGCGGCAGCAACGCGGTGGGCATGTTCTACCCGTTCAGCAACGACCCCAGCGTGCGCCTGCTGGGCGTCGAGGCGGGCGGCGACGGCATCGACACGCCGCGCCACAGCGCGACCCTGGCCGCGGGCTCCAAGGGCGTGCTGCACGGCGTGCGCACGTACATCCTGCAGAACGAGCACGGGCAGATCAACGAGACGCACTCGGTCTCGGCGGGGCTCGACTACCCGGGCGTCGGCCCGGAGCTGTCCTCCTGGAAGGACTCGAACCGCGCGACTTTCGTGGCCGCCACGGACGCACAGGCCTTTGAGGGATTCCGGCTCATGTCCCAGCTCGAGGGCATCATCCCGGCCCTTGAGTCGGCGCACGGCATCTACGGCGCCATCGAGCTCGCCAAGACGATGAAGAAGGGCGAGGACATCGTCATCTGCCTCAGTGGGCGTGGTGACAAGGATGTGCAGAGCGTCGCGGACGAGCTGCCCAAGATTGGACCCAAGATTGGCTGGGACCTGCGATTCTAAAAGGTCTCTTGTCAACACAAACTTAGACAGGGTTTTTGGCAGACTGACTGGAGTTAGTAGTAAATACGATAAAAAAAGCTCGGGAAAAGTGTAACAAGAGTCACGCGACGGGGGTTTGCATGATTGACGAGGCAGTCTTTGGTGCTACTTTGAATGATGCATAAAAATAAAGCGAACATTGGATCACCCCCCCTTGCAAGCATTGCGATTGTGCATAGTGACTTGTCATGAAAGGCCGATCGTCACTTGAGGGTGGCTAAGGAACAACCACTTATGTTAACCACTAGTTTGCGAGTCAGGACTCTGGAACCAAGAATATGGGTATTTAAACAAAACCAAGTGTACCATTCGCTCGACGCTGCTGGAATGTTTGCTGAAACGACAGAAGTAATTGTGACGAGCGGGGAGTAATGTCACGCGTGCACACCCACATGGCAGGCGGTGCCTAGATGGACGACGGAGATGAAGACGATATGAGATGGATGGCAAATCCAATGTTTGAACCAAAGCCGCGCCCATCATCATCATCATCATCATCATCATCATCATCATATCCTGCCCAACCTCTTGAGATCCCGACGCACCTCACGCATCCGGCCCTCTATCTCGCGATACACCCGAGCAATCTCGCGCATGGTCCTCTCCTTGGTCTCGTCACCTCCTCCTCCTCCTCCTGCAATGCTGTCTCTCTTCCTGTTCCCCCTCATTCCGCCGCCACCACCACCACCACCCGAAAGCCCATCCTCGTCATCGTTGTAAGCCCCGCCGCCGCCCAACATCACGCCATAGTCCCGCAGCTCAGCCTCCTTCACCACCGACGCGTCGAGCACGCGCATCCGCGCGCCCGCCAGGTGCCGCTTGTAGTTTGCCAGCGCGACGCGCGCGTCGGCCGGGTACACCACGTCGACGGCGTGGGCGAGCAGGGCCCGCGACGCGAGGGACCAGTGCTGCGCCTCGAGGGCGGTGGCTTGGGCGTGCAGGACTTGTGTCTGTGGTTGTTGTGGTTGTCCTGCTGCTGCTACTGCCCCGCCTTGCTCTGCCGCCGCTATTGAGGAGACGGCGCCGTGTTTCGCCTCTAGGAGCCCGATCAGAAAGGTGATTCCTTGCAGGTGCTGGGCCAGGTACGACTCAGCGAGCAGGTGTGCCGTCGAGATGCGCAGGTGGGAGAGCTGCCGCTTGCCGTCGGCCAGGGTGGACGTCAGGGTCTCGGCGGTGATGGCGAGCGAGGGGATGTGCCTGTGGATGAAGGAGGGGTTTGTCGTCGGGTACACTGCTTTCGCGAGGGTGCTGGCCTGCTTGGAGAGGTTGGCGGACAGGAGGGCTGTGATCTGGGGGAAGTATGGCTGGAGGTGGGTGAAGGGCGGGTTGGAGAGGAGCGTGGCGAGGGAGTGTGCTGGGAGAGAAGGAGCGGTGGAGAGGAACGGTGGCAGGAGGGTCAGGAGGTCCACCAAGTCCTGGGGCATTGACGGAGAGTTTTCTGAAGATGTGAGCCTCACTCTTGCTGTCTGGTGGCTTGAGCGGTTGGCCCGTGATGACGGTATGGCTGTTGGTTGTTGTTGTAGTGACGATGATGAAGGCTTGTCTTGTTGTGGCACCGCCTGGGCAATGGCCTGCTTGAGGATCTGATGCTTGATGACCTCGATGCGGTGAGCCTTGAGCTCCTCGCGGACAGCTGCACGCTTGTCATCCTGTGTGTGGTCTCGCGATGAGGCGTCAGAGTTGAGCAGTGACCCTGTGAGCCTGCGGTAGACTTTGGCAAAGTCTGGGTTGGCGGGCAGTACGCCTTGGTCGGCGGGAGGCAGCATTGTGCTGAAGACGCGAAGACCCTTCCACCGATCGATCCTAAGGAGCGCCTTCCCAATGCTCTGTGCAGTGGTCAGAACAAAAAAAGCTGCCAGAAAACCGGACAGAAGGTGAGCTTATCAGTGTTGCGCTGTTCCTCCAGGTCTGCCTCTCCGCAAGATGAGACGGTGGTTGTTTATCGCTTGAGTTGTTGATATCCCAATCCTCAGCCAAGCACGGGTGTGGGGCAGAGGCCTGAAAACGGATGCACTCGATTGGCCAATGCCAACGACTCGGACGCCAGACGTTCGCGCAGTCACGTGGTCAATGCAGAGAGAAGTACCAGAGTACCCTCCCCCGGTGGGCTGGCTAATCCCTGCGCAACCACCCAAAATCGAGCAGCTCCAGCATCACAGCCCAAAATTTCGAGCATCAAGAGCACCACCACCGCGGTCCAGCGCCTGCCTCCTCAGCACCTGTAGGCCACGCCACTCCGGGCTCTCTGCCGCTGAGCGCCATCTCTGAACCTTGCGGCAACGACTTCGAGGTCCCTTGCGGCCACCGAACAGACACAATGCTGCCTTCAATACGGCCAGTCCTCTCGTCCACGACGACGACGACAAGCACGACACGCTGCCTCGCCCAGGCCTACAAGCATGCCTCTCCCTCCTCGATCTCCTCCTCCTCCGCAGCCCGCTGCCTCAGCACCACAAGCCCGCTGAACCGGCAAAAGCCCTCCCACCGCACAGTCGACCCAGAGCTGCTCCCCGAGTACCCCTACGGCCGCTTCCGCACATACAAGCAGGCCAACGAGGGCCTCTACGGCGGCGCCAAGGTGCGCTTCGGCAACGTCATCTCGGAGAAGTGGAACCGCAAGTCGCGCACAAAGTGGCACCCCAACCGCCACACCAAGCGCCTCTGGTCCGTCGGCCTCCAGAGCTTCATCCGCGTCCGCCTGACCACCCGCACCCTCCGCACCATCGACAAGCTCGGCGGCATCGACGAGTACCTCCTGGGCCCCAAGGCCGCGCGCGTCAAGGAGCTCGGCCCCGCGGGCTGGGCGCTGCGGTGGAAGGTCATGCAGTCGCCCCTCATCCAGGAGAAGTTTGCCCGCGAGCGCGCGGCGCTGGGCCTCCCGCCCAGGGCCCCCTCGCTCGCCGGTGTCGGTGCCGACAAGCTTGAGTTCCCGCCCGACGTGCTTGCGCAGGCGGCCCGGCAGACCAGCGGAGGGCGCACGCCGGAGGAGCTGATGCGCGACATCAACGCCATGTTGGAGAACGGGGAGGAGATTGACCTCGACAGCGACTCGCAGCTCGTCCTGGATGCCGAGGATCAGAAGATCCTGGACGAGCACGCGAGCCCGGAGAACAAGCGGTTGCTGCAGGAGATTGACGACCTGATTGAGCGGGAAGAGGCCGGGTTGAAGGAGCAGGGGTTCATGGCCGAGGAGGAGCGGCCGAGGAAGTGAGACAGACATCCGGGAGGGAAGGTCACAGGCAGGGACGACTAGGGCATTCCTTTGACTTGGTCAATCCGCGCACCACGACGAGTAGATCATGTGTACCATATTATGTATTGACGACTTTGTACAAAACAAAAAGTAAAAAGTCTTGTTCAACAACTAACGAGTTCTGTACTGGCTAACAAAATGTTTCATTCATTGCGTGCACGCCTTGTGCCTCTTTGATGCCAGAACATTCTTGCCATCCCACACACAGCCATCCAGACATTTGTGAAACAAGCATTCCAGAGCTATGAATCAAACCATCGCTTAGCCAGCTGTCGACTGACCGTCGTCACCTCTTTCAGTTGTTAGATAAAATGAACGAAACAATTCCACCTCACACATACACAATGATGGCAAGAGCTCAGTCAGTGGATTGTACTGCTCGCATTCAGAAGTGTAAGTAATGTACAAGCTAGGGATAGTGTGTATGTTCATGACATGTATCGTGACATCATAAAAGTGTGCATAAAAAGAAGAAAAAGACCAAGCTCGTAAAACACGCTGAGAGAGTGTGTCGCTTAAACAGGAAAAGAACTGGCAAAAATAAAATGAGCTCTTTGTACATGGTAAGGTCTTCCCGAAATATACTGTGTTTTGGAAAGGAGCAAAGAATGAACAGAGAAAGGACTGTGCGTCACCAGGACACTTCCGCTTTTTGGTTCAACCAACCATATCAAAGTACGCGGGCATATGTGGGTGATCTGGGCTGGCTGTTAAGTCACTCAGCCTCTCTAGTAAGGTTTCTGGCCGATGACGTTGCCAGCAGGACCGTAGCGGGCGACGGTGTACCAAGCGCCCTTGCTGTCCTGAACGGCAGCAATGCCGATCTTGGTGGAAGCTTTCCAGAGACACTGAGCTAAAAAGTTGCAAAAAAACCAATTGTTAGCAACTGGAACGCGCCAGATTGAAAAGCACCTTCTCTACAAGAAATATGCGGGGAGGAAAGGGGAAAAGGCAAAGGGCAAAAAGGACGTACTGTAGTGCCCGTAGGCGGCAAAGTTGCCTTCCGGGATAGCCTCGCCGTGGTAGTTGGACTCCTCTGCGAGCCAGAGCTTGGTGCCGCTGGCGATGGGCCTGGTGATGGGCGTCGACGAGTAGCTGTAGGCCAGGTTCTCGCCCTGGCCCGGGCGGGACTCGTTGCTGCTGTGCTCGAACTTGCCCGTCTGCGCGAGGTGCTGCGCCCACGCGAGCGCGTCGGCCGCCAGCTGCTTGTCCCAGGTCAGCTTGGGGATGCCCTTGACGCGGCGGGCCTGGTTGTGCAGCTTGAGGCCTCGCTGCTGGTCCTTGCTCCGGTCGCGGGCGACCAGCTCGTGTTCGGCCTCCTCGGAGATCGGGGCCGGGATGGGCTCCCGTTTGCCGCCGGCGCTGACGCCACCGGTGCCCAGGTTCAGAAGGGCGGGAGGGCCAGTGATGATGGTCGCGCCGATGTCGACGGGGATGGTGTTGGGGTCGAGCACGTCGTCCGGCCCGATGTCCAGCGGCTCGGGGATCGGGTTGGCGAGGGACAGAGTCCCGAGAAGCAGGGCTGCGGTGGCGGAGAAGCGCATTGTGGCTGGGCTGTGTTTTGGATGAGATAGTTGTTTCCTTTATTTCTTGGTCTGGTTATTGACGGCCTTGTGTTCAAAGGCTAGGGCGATCCTTGTTTATGGACACTGGATACAATATTATCGTTCAGAAAAGTCGAATATGATTGACGTTGCTTGCTGTGCTGAGAAGCACGCTCTGTATATGTACGAGAAGATAATGTTTACTCGGATGAAACTGCTTGCTGGTGATATTCGAGCTGATGTTATGCAAACAGATCATCATCCAAGTAGGGATCCAAGGGGGAGATATATACATGGACGACTCTGCTCCAAAGAAAAGACCAGTCGGCCCGTGATGTCAGGGATGACAGGGCGTTGTGGTCCACAACCCTGACCTCATGCGGAACCGCTGCCTCATTCCGCAGTCTCGATGGAGGTGGCGCTCCACCGGCGGAGAACAAAGGGCGAGCAAGCCGAATCGTGCAGGGTATTGTGTGGTCTGCTGCGTTCGCCTGCCGAGTGAGGACTGACTGATGGCAAGGCCAAGCGGAAGCTAAGAATAAGCTTCCTGGTGACACGGAGGCACGGCATCTGTCATCGCAACTTTATTATGCGAGAACGAGTGGGCCGGTGGGGATGTGTCAAGGACGGGAAGACGCACGGCGGGAATAGGGCAGAAAACGCGTGCGAGTTTGTCACGCTGGTGTCGAAATGCAGGCGGACGAAGGGGCCCGCCTGCTTGCTATGTTGGGACAAAAGCTCGACTTCAGACCAGTTCTAGCAAACTCGCATCAACTCTGTCGGCTAGTGTAGCGTCCGCACAGAGTTCCAGTCTAAATCGCCTGGGCTCAGTAACAGAGCCCTTTGCTTCGCGAAGGTCACATGCCAAGCTGTCCGGCCGAGCACTATGACAAAGTAAACCCAGTCCTGGAGTCTCCGCCCAGCTGGTTGTTTCAGGGTCTAGCTGGGGCTGCTTGTAAAGCGCGTAAAGATGGTGTCTCTGTGCATGTGTGACGTTGTGAGCCTCGGTCGGTCACAAAGAGACTCGGGACGGACGGGCCTGGCGCAGGTGGAGCGGAGACGGTGTCGAACTCGTGGGCGGCTGCAGGTACACAGGCATGATGTCAAATGCAGCTGTCCGCTTCAACTCTAATCCAGGGCGAGCAAGGACTGGACCCCCTTTGGCGGATGGCGCACGCTCCCCGCGGGTCCATCGCCTTGTCCTTGGACGCCCGCCACTAGTAAAAGCTTGGCGTCAAAGTCAAAGTCCGGACCGGATGTTGGGGATCCGTGATTTGCCTCATCTTGCTGTATTATTCTTGGGAAGCTGTTGAACGCTGATTGCCTCACCACGCGCCCGTCCCGGCATATCGACAATATACCCCGAGATCTGTGAGGGAGACCAGGAATCAATGGTCTGCTGGTGCTGGCTCGACTTTGATCCAGACTTGCATCGAAGTTACCATCAGGTTGATCGCGATGCCAGCCCTTGAGCATCACCATACGCACCATGGCCGCACTACGTCCGGCTGCTGGGCACTATCAGTTAATGATATGTGGGTTTCGAAGTGGGTGTGTGTCTCAGATGGCCTTGCCTTGCGCCAGCCCCTCTTTGTGTGTGGCCGAACCGTGGCTGCTGCCTCATGTCTCACTCTTCCATGCCTATGCCCGATGGTGGCTTAGGCGATGATGACAAACGTGCTCCTGTGCCATGGGGAATGTGTTCAGCACAACTCGGCACCAAGAGTGCCACAGCATCGTGGCTTGCACTACACACATTGAGCGCCGCTGTATGAGTTTTCCCTCACTTTCATGCAACCTCCCCTAGCTTAGAAACGGTTCTTGAGGCTGTCAGCCTTGGAAGCCGCGTCACGGCTTCGTATGTCAGCCTCGTGCCTGGCTCAGATGTTTGACTGCATTGACTGCATTGACTGCATTGACTGCATTGACTGCAAGGCACGGAAAGGCGTTCCGACGGGAAAGAGAATTACGCGCATTCTTCCTCAGGACGTACGTGTCGATCTCCCCCCACATGCTCATAGCCTCAGTGTTCTGCGGATGGCGATCCGGGGAAGCTGAAGGGCACGGTGTATCGCCAGGCCATCTCGGGGTTCGGCTCGTCGATCAGCACGGAAGAGGTTCCCGTTTGGGGAATACGTTGCGAGTGTGTGTGCTTGTGGGTATTGTATGATGCCGATCCCTTGTTGTTTGCTTCCGTCATACACACGCAAATCAGGAGAACAACGCAATGTGCTCTCTGGTGTGTGTGTGGTGGTGTTGTGGATCCGTCAGCGGGAGTCTGCAGTTCCGTGGTTCGTGGACTGTGGCGAAACGAGACATGTTTCTTTCTTCCTTGAGCCAGGAGTTTGGATGAACAATGACGATGATCGTGTCTGAGACCCAGAGGGACAGGTGAGCCTAGCTGAAACGGAAGAGTGTCCCCGGAATAACTCCAGCAGTGATCTGCATGCTGTACGGTCCCGCGTTGCGACGAGTGTGTGTATGGTGCTTGGGGGTGGGCGCTTGTCAAAGTTGTCAAGCAAACCTTAATCTGGGGACCCCCATCGGCGGTCATCACCTCTGCTAGCGTCGTGGTTTTGAATCAGTATAGAGTCTGGACGAGGTGCAAGCTGACTTGGCTGTGTCGTGCAGCCTTTGCTGACGCAATAGCCCAACGGCTGAACTTGCGGCCGCAGAATCGTCCGTCATACAATAAAGACAGCGCCATCAGCCATCACTCTGGAGAGCAGCTATATGATGCTGTGGCTAGGGATAAAGTTCGAGTGTTTTATGCGGGCTCCAGATTCCGCGTCTGTGCTGATATTGGGCGATATCAAAATTCCGGGGAGACCTTGAGCAAAGCATGCCCCTCCTTTGCAAGCGGCCAGGGATTTTGCCGTGCGGTTTGTGTGCTTTGTGTATGCTGATGGTGTGTTTCTCTGCACGCGTCATCTGTCCCACGTCCTGGTTTGCGGTTCGATGACTTTGCTTGGGATGGATACTGGTGCGGCTTTGTGACGTCGTTCAAGAGAGTGGGACGCGCTGCGCCAACACAGGAGAAAGTTCCCCGTAGCTGTTGTGGAGGAGCAGACCCTACGCGCTCTCGAAACTAACACCGTAATGACTGCTCCTGGTTCCTTGTTCCCCCTGTTTGTCCTTACTCCAGTGCTGCCATAGTATTGTTGCTGAGCAAATGGATAGCTCCGAATCGCGCTGGAGCGCGCGCAGGCGATGTGTGAATTGGGCTTTGGCAAGTTGTATGGGCGGGAAAACAATAGAGTGAAGAGTGCAAGATTATGAGTGGCAGCAATCATCGACGGCCTGTGGCGCAGTCGGCCACTCACCTGGATCACTGGAACATTCTCAATTATACCTGTGGAACCGGCCGTGCAATTTCAAGGCACAGAGGCTTGCTTATGCCTCAGAAAGACTTCATTTCAACAAGAGAGTTCCTCCAAAGCCGCTCTAGTCAGCAGAAAATGGTTCCATCTCGTGTCGGCGTTGTGTCCTTGATGAATGAGGCTCTTCATGCCGTCTCATGGGCCAGTGTCAAAGCATTGTTTGCCACTATGGGCAGGAGGAACATCTGCAAGCACAGAGCAAAATCGTTCCACACACGGATAAGGGGTTGAGCCTCGCCCCTCCGCAGGCTTCCTCAGCCACTGCCGCTCTAGCCACCCTCGGCATCATCTTGAACGTGCTGACACGCAGAGGCACCACCTCGTTGCGGTTGCCCACATTTCGCGAGCGCGGGTGAAGCAAAACCTCCCCAACCACCCACGAGCTCAACTTACCCCTCCTACCACTAGACCGCCGCTGGATGACTGATGCCTGGTCGTGCCGCACCATATTTGCCCAGACCAACTCACAGTGCACCATTGGTCTTGTGCTTTCGCACCGGGTCCATTTGGAAACTGTTCAGGACACGCGGTGAGGTGATCCTGAGGTGACCAGGTGACTTGCAATACTACCCCCACAACAACATCGCACAAGATACATCACGAGATCGCGCGCCTGCTGTTCCCCTCCTCGAACATCACGCGGCAATGGTAAGGGATGCAGACGATGACGACATGCGTGTCCCTCTACTAGCCCCCAAGTGTTCGGAGGGCAGCACCGACAATCCAGATGGCAGCACCCACAACATTTCAAGACGTTTGTCGACAATGACACGGCCAATTTCATGGATCAGGCGCCGTCTTGGGTCTTTGAGAAGGGCCTTCCGCGGCACGGAGCCAAACAGACTGATGCTTCTCCCAGAGGAGCTCCTGCTTCTTATCAGCGAGTTCCTCGACCCCCTGTCCAAGGCATTCCTGGCACAAACCTGCACGCTCTTTGCCAACAGCTTCCTCCTGCAACATCTGTACCGCGAGGACATCACGTCGGCAGAGTACCGCAGTGTCCGATGGGCGTGTTCCACTAGCAACAGGGCCTTGCTGGAGCGCGCACTCTCCTACGATGCGGACCTCAATGACTTCTGCTCATGGGCGTGGGAGCACAAACACAGAGTCTTGCGCAAGCCGCTCTATCACGCAATCTCCCATCATCAGTACGACTTCGCCAAACAGCTGATTCAGGATTACGCGCCCCAGCTCAAGTTGAACGAACCGGCCTTCTTTGTCTCCAGCAATCCCGAGGGCCCGGTCATCTCGGGCGATTTCTTCTGCCACATCGCCAGCGTGACCATGGTGCTGCTCCGGCCCTCACGCAGCATAGGAACGGCAACAAAGCTCAAGGCCTGTTCCGACATGCTGCGCGAGCTGCTCAAGCACGTGCGCCCGCAGGACTGTGCGCTGCCGTGCAGTTGCAGAGACAATCTCCCGTGGCGGATCATGAGCACCATAATTCCATTCATCTTGAAGGACAAGCTCGTGGAAGAGTTCCCACGCCCGACGGATCCGTTGCCCCATGAGGCCCCGACGTTTGGCGAGGTCAGGCTCGCGTACTGGAAAGTCCACATCCTCCACGACAGCATCGTCACCCGCCACGACCGCGAGGTCTACGAGAGCCAGACTTCCAAGTTCCTCAAGCTGGCCAGCCTGCTCCCCTCGGCCATCAGGATCCAGTGTGCCGAGGTGATGGTGCGGTTCATTGTCCGCATCATCCTGCAGCCCGAGGCCTGGGCAGCCATCGCGCCAGAGTCCCTCATCGAAAAGATGGTCACGTCAGACCACGCGCTGCTCTATCGCCACCTACGAACCCTCTTCGAAGACTTTTACGTGGACCCCAATATTACATTCAACGACGGAGGAGTCGTCACCCTTCTGGAGCATGCTGCCAACAAGGTCCGCCCAAACGCCAGACACAACGTGCCAGCTCATATCCTCCAGCGGGTCCCCCACTCGCTCGTCAAATCCGAGACGTCACGAGGCAGAGCAGTCGAGCTCTGCGACTTCTCCTCCGGCACGGCGCCAGCCCCCTCACGTGGCGCAACGGCATCTGCATCGCCTACAGTAACCCGCCCAGCGTCCTGCACTGCCTCGTTCAGGGTGGCAACAGCGCCGCCCAGGCAGTCCGCATGATTCTCGAGGAGCACCCGCCCCCCTGGCTTGGTGGCCACGTCCGCACCACGGCGCTGCCCCTGGGCGACACGGCCATCCACACGGCCTGCCGGACGCTCGAGCCGTCCCGGGAGGTTGTCCGCGTCCTCCTGGATCACGGATTTCACCACAACCTGCGGAATCGGGCGGGCGAGACGCCCTTCCAAGTCCTCATGGCAGCGCCTCACCACTCTGGCCAGACCAAGGTGTTGCTGGCCCTGGCGTTCTTCGGCCCCCATTACGTCAACGCGCGGGAGTGCCTCGAGGCGACGGACCTCGAGGGCAACGACGCGGTCACGCTCGCCAGGAGGGCAGGCTCGTCCGAGTGGTTCCTGAAGTGGCTTGACAAGCAGGTGGCCAAGGTGATGAAGAAGAAGAAGAAGGGAAGAGATTTGCGACAGCTCGTCTTGTCTTGGTTCCCATGCGACGCTTCCTGAGGTGGCTTGACAGACAGGTGGCCAAGGTGGTAAAGAAGAACTATAGGTGAAGAGGTTTGGAGCAACTCGTTTTACATTTCTGCCTATGCGTTGGTCCCTGGTTAATGAGATATTGGCTCGACGAGGAGCGGCAGAAGGGACAGGGCGGGCATGTTTTGCACACAGGGATGGAGTGGGACTTTAGGTCCAGCCGCCTTGGTCTATATGTGTATACTCGGCGTGTGATGATGGCATAGATGCTATTCAAGGCGGATGTCATTTTGTTTGGTTGTTTGGACCTGGGAAAGATAGGCCAGGTGTGTTGGAGAAAACTAGTACCCCATGGGAGCGCGAAGATTGGACTGAAGCCGAGAGATGCTCCGCGCTCAGGCGCCGTCAAGGTTTTGCCCATTGGGTTTTGTCACAGGGCGCCGAGATCTCAAAGGATGGCCTCGTGCGAGCAAAGTGTGACACGGGAAACAGGTTTCATCTGCGCAAATTGATCAATATCATGAAAGCAAAGGCAACTGCTCGTGACAGTGCAATCTCTCAGGGCAATGCATTGACGCATTAGTGGGGCGAGCAGTCGAACAATAATTGTGGTGGTGGTTGTCAGTACAAACAAAGTTCTGCATCCCAATGGAAAGGTTATCAGTGCCAGCGGAATCTTTTCATCCAGGTCCTGCATCGCTTGACAAAGGAAGGAGATGATTGTCTGCAAGCAGTTGCATCCTCAAGCTCCTACACGCTACTCGTGAGACGGCGGTGGTGAGACTGAAAAGAGAGTTTGCTCTGGCCCTCATGTCTCAAACACCTCTGCTGGTTCCGGATGTCTTGGCAATGCAGGAAGCTGTAAAAAGAGCCGACGAGCCACGTGCGCTTGGAAGAACGGTGCCTTCTCATCATTGATTTTCCATTGTCTCTTCGGGTGTGAGAGATCCCTCGCCTGGAGTACTCACCCTTTGACAGCAGACCTCTACGGCGCGATGCCTCGCCAGTGGCCGCATGTTTTCTCCATTCTGGTCTTTTGAACATGCCAGCTTTCGCAGCACTCGAGCATGCTGCGCATGACGCAGGGTCACGCTGCAGTCGGCATGCGTCTTTGGTCAGACGTGTTTGGTAAGACCGTGATGACCTCAGCACGTCAAGGACTTGTGTGACGGCTTCATCGTGAGTCCGGCTCCATTCCATAAAAACATTTCGAATTGTTTCCACACTGACTCTTGTAGAGCGCTGAGGCAGACTTCAGGCGCGATCAATCCTCCATGGGCTACCACCGGATGGTGCCCGTCCTTAGGAAGGCATTTATACCAGGCGCTGCTCCGCTCGACCTTGATGGCAGCGGCAGCATCAGAAGCACTCCAGCACAATCCCACTCGAAGAATCCCATCAGGATCGATTGCAAAATGTCAAGATTCGAGCAAGATGCCGCATGGTCCGGCTGCCTCCCAAGCCACTCTAAGCCCGACAACGCGCCAACGCCCATCTCGTCCTCGCGGCCACTGTCCACAATAGCAGCGCCACACGTAGAGCCCTACCAGCCACTCGGCCATAGAGATAATATCAGTTCAAGCTCGACGAATGCAGCATGTCGCACTGACAGTACCAAGGGGTCTTCCATCCACGAGCTGCCTGCCGAGATCCTGCTCCAGATCTCAGAGAGCTTCACAACCAAGGAAATCTCCAGCCTGGCCCGCACCAGCCGTCACTTCCAAGCAACCGACATCCTACAGTCGGCCATGTACTACAAAGACGTCGACGAAGGACTGGGACCCAACAAGTCCATGCACTATGCCTGCGCGCACGCCGACGAGGCGCTACTGCAAAAGGCACTGGCCCACGGCGCGGGTATTGACGCCTCCATCCCCAGCACTGTGGCGTGCGACCACGTCAACTTTGAGATGGAGACGGGCTGCCTGCGTCCGCTCTTCATCGCCATCTACAACCACCAGTTCGCCTTTGCCGCCACGCTTGTCCGCCACTACGGCGCCAACCCGAACCTGACCAGGTGTGCCCTGCCCGTGCCTCGGCCGCTCGAGGAGGGCGACGGCCGGCTGCCCATCGCTTTTGCCATAGACGCCCTACTCGCGACCGTCTCGGGCTTCTGCCCTCATCAGCAGCAGCAGCAAGGCGGCCACCACCACGACGCGCCGCCGCTCTTGCCCGCCCACAAGCTCGCCGAGGCCGAGGAGCTGTTTGACCTCCTTCTCCCGCGGAGCGCCTTGCTCGAGGTCGGTGATGCTTACGATAACGAAGTATACCAGCGCGAGGCCGTGCTTGAGCTGGCCGCCCGCCCGCGCATCCTAGCATCGTGGTTCGAGAAGCTATTAACCTACACGGGGGACGCGATGGCAATGTTGCTGCCGCCGGACAACTTTGTGTTCCACCTGCCATGGGAGGCGATCATCACGAGCAAGCTCGGTCTCGGATACGATCAGGTGCAGCGGTGGCCGCTGGAGTCCGACTACGACAAGGCCAACGTGCTCGGCAAGCTCCGCGCGCTCGCGGAGCACTGTGACATCGGCAGGCTCGAGAACGCCGAGCAAGGGGGCCAGTGGTTCATGCACACGCTGCTCGAGGAGCTGCTCGAGCACCCGGACACGGCGTTCGTGACGCGGGCGTTTGTCACGCTGCTGTCGTCCCCGAGCGTCGACGCCAACGACGACGGAGGCATCCTGTTCCGCGGCGACGTGGTCATGATCGAGGCCTCCGCGTGGCATCTCGGCGGGCTCTGCAAGCGGCAGGACGAGTCCACGCGCGAGGCCGTCCTCGGGAACGCCGTCGGCATCATCAAGCTGCTTCTGCAGCATGGAGCGGACCCGTTGCTCGCGGCGCATCTCAATGACGATGATGATGGAGGACGGGCTCCCAGCGGCTCTTCCCTGATCCTACGCCTCGCTGACTGTGCCCACAAGGACGTCATAGAGCTGATCGATATCGTGTGTGAGATGCACAAGGCGGCCGCCGAGCAGATCAGAACAAGAGTCGCCGCATACCACCAGCAGGGCGGCCTGCAGGGTTCGAGCCTCGACCTCGACCTCGCCTCTGAGCAGAGGAGGCTGCACGCGCTGGACGCGAACCTCGCCGACTCGCGGGGCGACAACGCCCTGCACATGGCGTGCGAGAGCCCCTTTGTGTGCCCGGAGACGATCCAGTGCCTGCTGCGCCACGGCGTGGACCCGACCGGGCCAAATCTCGACGGCCGCACGCCGCTGCACGCGCTGTGCGAGAACCGCGAGCTCAGCAACCAGCAGACGCTGGAGGTCGTGCAGGCGCTGATGGCCGGCCTCCCTGCCCGCGAGCAGTGCGTGATCCTGAAGAGCAGGACCAGGCAGAGCAGGAGCACGCCGCTCGACTTTGCCAGGCGCGAGGGGCAGTTCCTCGTGATCCGCTGGCTCGAGGAGCTGGAGGCGCAGCTGTTCAAGACATCGGGAACAGGACTCTTGGGTCTGTGAGAGACGCTCCTTGCGACGGTTGTGATTTGAATGGATGGAAGTGATGGGCGAGGACAGTAACCAGGCTGACTGCATATTGAAAAACCTGTGTTCGAGGGCATTTGCACGGAGTTTGGGTTTTGGGACGCATCGGCAGTGTACGTCATACGTGGGGACAAGTAGAGCATCGTAATAGCTCACAGCAAAACCCGACCTGGGGTGTCATCTGTATTGGAAAATTTACATTACATCACCTTGGCGCTGGGGGCATCATTCAAAAACACTGGTGACTTGCTTGCATGTTAGTGACGTGGGCAGGCGAATCGCAAGTGAGCCTGAACCATACGGAAATCCTATTGTCAGTTCGCTACTATGGACCTTGCGGCAAGTGCTCAGCTGGGGACGATGAAGAACCCCGGTATATCGAAAGGCGTCGACTTTGCCGAGAGACAGCCATTGGGCTGCAAGGGGACCTGGCTCGGAGAGGCTTGTAGATTCACTTAGATAAGACAAAAAGATACTCCGCAATGACTCTGGCGTTATCGAATCAATTTGAGCGTCGACGCTGCATCAAAGATATTCTCTGGCGGCTACCCGACAGGGTCGCTCTCCCCTGGCTTGAAATATGACGGTCAGTGTTGTTGTTGCTATTCATATAGTTGCTGCTCTTGCTCGGGAGACTGCTTTACCTCTGTAGAGTATATAGCTGGCAAGGTTTATTGTAGTCGCGTGATAAGACACGATTAGAATAGGACAGCCCATTATTTTCTGAACCATATAGACTACATTGCACTCCCATGCCTCGCACACATGCCCAGGATCTCCAGAACCTGCTTTTCCTCCGTGATAGGGATCGGATTCGTCTTGATCCACAGATCCTGCAGGCTCTGCCGCGCGAGCTCATCAAACTTGTCAGCCGTGACCTTGACAGCCTCCAGGCTCTGCGGCATGCCCAAGGCGCCAACGACGCCATACAGCACATCCCCCAGCTCGGCCTCGTGCATGTTGTCCTCCTTGTATCCGCCCCAGCGCAGGAGCTGGCGGACCTCATCTATACCAACAAGCACATCCCTCACGGCGCGCTGCCGCCGCCGGATCACGTCCCCTACCGCCACCGCCCCAGCACCACCACCACCAGCCGCAGCATCATCCGCATGCGCGAGGTTATACCGACATACCGCAGGGAGCAGGACGCAGCTCGTCTCGCCGTGCCCGACGCCCAGGGGCCCGAGCTGGTGGCCGATTGCGTGGCTCGCGCCCATCTTGACCTGGCCGCTCGAGATCGCCTGCATCGCGCGGACCACGCCGTCCTGGCACCGCCTCCTCGCGTCCAGGGACGCCCGGTCCGTCTTGCTGTCCAGCAGGCCCTTGACCAGGGCGGTCAGGCCCTCTCGGGCGGGGGCCGCGTAGGCGAGACCGCTCCAAGGGTCTGGTTTCGGGGTGGCATTGTTGTTGCTGTTGTTGTTGTTGTTGGGATCCTGGAGACTCTCCCTGACGTCGAGCACCGAGCACAGCGTCTCGACGCAGTGGTCGACAGCCCGGATCCCCGTGCTCAGCCACACCCAGTCGGGTGTCGTGAGGCACAGCTCCGGGTCAAGCACGACGAGGTCCGAGTTGACGCCCGCGCAGTGGAAGCTGCGCTTGTTCCCTCCCCCGCCGCCGCCATTTCCGGTCTCTGAGGAGGAGGAGGAGGACGCGGACGACTCGGTCCCGCCGGCGAGAGCCTGGTACTCCCCGCCAGACAGGCTCGTCGGGATGTGCACCAGCTTGATGGCCGTCGGCGGCTGGACCTTGTCGTCGCCCAGGAAGTCCGGGTTGCTGTCGCTGGTCCCGTGGAGTTTGGTGAAGTCGGCCTCTTCGCGCACGCCGTTGGCGAGGCCCAGACGCACGAGCTTGGCGGCGTCGGTCAGGCTGCCGGCGCCGAGGGTGATGATGCAGTCGACGTCGGCCTGGTTGTTGCTGCGGCTGCTGTGGTGGTGGTGGTTGAGCTCGCGGATCTCGTTGATGACCTCGACGACCTGCGCGAGCGGGGTGTGCGGGCTGATTCCCTTTCTGACGCCGGCTACTCGCTCGTGATCCTGGGCAGTACTCTGGTTTCCATCCTTGTCGTTGTCGTCGTTGTTGTTCTTGTTGTTGTTATTGTTGTTGTCATCATGGCCGTTCTTGTCGCTGTCCGCGCCGTCCAGGGCGGCCTGGAGCTGCGTCAGGGCATCCGTGTTGCGGGCAAGTGAAGCCGAGCAGATGATGTAGCAGCGCGAGACGCCCAGGTCGCCGCCGGGCCCGCAGTGCACGCGGCAGGCTTCTGGAAAGCGCAGGCCAGAGGATATACGCGGGGTGGTGGTGGTGCCCGGGAAGGCCGGGCCGCACGACTCCTGGCCAAAGGTGAAGGCCATTGCTCAAGTGTACGCCAAGGTTAATCGGGCGGTATTGGCAGGGTCTATCCGCTAGCTGGGCTTGCACCGGACGCTGTCTTCCAAGGGTTCTGAGTGTTGGCGGTGGCTGCACTGAGGCTGTAATAATGTCTGCCCACTGTCGTTGAAGACTACCCCGTGGGTGGTGTTGCTCGGGTCTTGCCAGAGTGACGTAATTGCGCATCATCCTGCATTTGCGCTCTGCGGCGGATACTCGCTGCTGTGCAACCGCCCGTGATCACCATCGCATCATTTTCAAGTCACAATTTCATGAAACAAATGCCAACATGCGCCGCCAGCAGTGTGCATTTCCGCCTGCTTGGATAAATCATGGCATCTATTGGACGCTTGAGACTGCGCAATTGACCATTATTACTAACCCTTCCTTCCAACAACCCAATAGGCATGAGCATATCATCACGGCTTGACCGACGTTCGCCATTCTACGTGGTCGGCCTGCGTGGAAAGCCCCAGTAGGGACCAGGCAATGTGAGACAAGGGGGTCGTGTTGGTGTCGTGAAGTTCACTTGTGCCTGGGGCTGCGTATAATTATACTGGAGTAGCCCGGTAAAAGTGCAGTACTACACTGGCAGTACTGTTTTTGCTACACTAGCAGTACCCACAAATGTTCCCACTCCACTATGTTTTAGGCGGTCAAATCGCGTGCTTCAATATCAAAAACTGCACCTGCGCACCTGCCTGCCACCTGGGCAGTCTTCATGTATGAAGGTACCTGCGCGTAGGCACTTCGGCGAGAAGCGTCGATCGCCACGTTTAATATCAGAATTGAAACCTTCGTGCCGGTAGGGCTGTCATTTAACTATGCAGGAGTATTTGAATATGTGATCGTCCTATCTACAAGCCTGTCAGGTCAAACACAGCAGTAGTAGAGTGACCGCCGGACTCCTTCGTCCACTAATTATTATCAGCCTTTTCGTAACGTTCGTTACCTTGTCGCCGGACGGCGGGTACTCGTCGTCGTCGTCACTACCACCGGTATCCTTAAGGTTGTGGGTAGTGTTCTTCTTCTCCTTGAATCACACGGGTCGCTTCGGTGGTCGGGCTGGCTTAGTCATATGTGTGGGTACTGCCTGTGTAGCGAAAACGGTATTGCCAGTGTAGTACTGCACCGGTGAAAACATGGGAGTTGGCGTGGTGGGGTTTGGCAGGCCGAGGCGCATGCTTGCTACCTAGTGCCTGAACTGGTCTGCCACCCTCCGGCCGTGTCGGGAAGCGCCGCGCCGCCTTGTTGCGAGGTACCAGGATTGTTAAGCCACGACGGGAAGCGCCGCGCAACCTTGTTGCGAGGTGCCAGGATTGATAAGCCACGACGGGAAGCTGGTGGAGTATGGCTTGCATCGCGCCACCGCCTCGATATAGGGGCAGGGGCAGACCGCCAGGGTATCTCGCAACGGCGCTTTCAAGGACCCCTTCAAGCAATTGACCTGTGGCTTAGTTTAGGGTTTGTTTTGGCCCTAGTCATCCCATACTTCATTTGCCCCAGCTCAATACCAATGTTGTTTTCTCAAGCACCGTGGCGAAGAATTACACAAGCCAAGCATACTCAAGGCGTGTTCCTGCTCTATTCTTTCGCTGAACGCATTTGTCCTGTGTCGTGATTCTGATTACCAAAACTCCCCAACAATCTCCCTACTGTACCACAACCAAGCACCGCAGCTACTTTTGAATAATGCATCGCTGCTCATTCCCAAACCGTCACTTCATGGCGCTTGCTTGCATCGAGGCGAGTTCTGACTCGTCCAAGTAACAAACCATCCTTGACTAACGCTCTTCCACCAAGGGGCAAGGCATAAAGCCTGTGATTCGCGTAGCTCGGGAAGGAGACTGCTCCGGAGCCTCTCTCCAAGGGAAATCGGAGAAAATCCAGGGAAGATCTTACTTGCTCTGCTTATGTTGAATAGAGTTGGGACGTACAGCCGCCACATCCAGACCCGCGAGGACGCGGCCTAATCAATAAACCTCATCGGACTTGCGGGCAAGTCGGAATCCGGAGAGATGCACAGACCGAAGTACTGATACGACCTGCTTATAAACTCCAATTAGGGCTGCGAGGCCTGGCACGGGACGTGTGGGCGGTAGGCACGGAGGTAGATACGTGCCGCCCGAGGCACCTCTCACCTGTGTGGGGTAAACACCACGTACCTTAGGTATGGTCCAAGCGGCACGGGTCCCATCGGCATCCAGCAAGCCCGCCTTCCCGAGATCGACAGCAGTGCACACGAACGTACCGAGTCATGTATTGAACCACTCGGCCAGCTATATAAATGGATGACAACCCATTGATATACTCGCACACCACCCGCTCGGTCACGCTTGATCCCTAACAACTTCCCATCAACATACACAACCATGAGTTCTCCTACTATCGTCACCGCGCTCGTGGGCCTCTGTTCCGCCGTGGCCGTTGCAAGTCTGGTCGAGGACTTGCTCTCGCCCCTGCGTAGCGTGCGAGGCCCCTGGCTGGCCCGGTTCAGCTCGGCCTGGTTTGCCTTCAAGACCTGGCAGGGCTCGTTCCATAACGTCAACCTTGATCTGCACCGACAATACGGCAAGTACCGCAAGCGACGTCGGCTTGTTCTTGTCATCATCATTGATGTCAACATCCAACCGCAATACCGCTTCCGCTAACCATCATCGCAGGGCAAATCGTCCGCTACGGACCAAATCGCTACAGCATTGGCGACGTCGAAGCGGTTAAAACAATATTCGGCCTGGGTTCGAAATTCCCCAAATCTACGTGGTACATAGCCTGGTCCGACCCTGGCGAGCACAATACCTTCAGCGACCGTTCCATGAAGAGGCATGCCCAGGAACGCAAATGGGTCCAGGCGAGCTACGCCATGTCTTCGCTGGTGCACTACGAGGCCTTTGTAGACAACTGTATCAACCTACTGAAGGAACGGCTACAGGAAATTAGCAGCTCTAGCAAGCCGGTCGAAATGTGCCACTGGTTCCGATGCTACGCATTTGACGTTATCGCCGTCATCACGTATGGCAAGCGCCTAGGCTTCCTCGATCGCGGCGAGGACGTGGGTAGCATGATGGCGGCTATCGACGGAGTTATCGACTACAACTCGATAACGGGCATCTTCCCCACCATGAATCGGCTTGTGGCACCACTCATCAAGCTTCTATCTCCCGGTGCAGGTGGCGGGAGGGGGAGTCTGACCAAGTTTACGAAGGCGAGAACGCTCGAAGCGTCAGCAAATCCAGAAGAGCCCATGTCAGTGGACGGTGGCGATGGCCCGCAGGCGCTCCCCCAGCTGAGCAAATTCCTCGCCAAGCACGCGGCCGACCCGGACAACTTCACAAGTGACCACGTAGACCAACAGTGTCTGGTCAACATCGCGGCAGGCTCCGACACGACCTCTATCAGCCTCTCGGCCACGCTGTACTACCTCCTTAAGCGACCCGCTGCCATGGCCAAACTGCGCGCCGAGATCGACGACGCGACCGCCCGCGGCGAGCTCGACGAGAACCCAACGTTCAAGCAGTCCCTGAAGTTGCCTTACCTGCAGGCCGTCATCAAGGAGGCGCTCCGAATGCATCCTGCGACCGGCCTGCCCATTGAGCGCGAGGTTCCCGAAGGCGGTGCCACGATTGCCGGCCGCTACTTTCCCCAGGGTGTAAGTGCACGCACTGTGTCCGAGACCGAGACTTGGTCATCCACTCCTCCCCGTTGATCGACACTTTGATTTTCCCCAACTCTTCCGATTCGAAAATACTGACCGCGAGAGAGGGGCCGCACAGACCATAGTTGCCGTCAGCCTATGGGTTGTGCACCGCGACCGCAGCGTCTTCGGAGAGGACGCCGACGAATTCAAGCCTGAGCGCTGGCTAGAAAGTGACGCTGAAACGATGTCTCTCATGAATCGCTTCTGGATGCCGGTAAGACTGGCCTTCCTTCCCGTTGCCCTCCTTCTCTACCTTTTTCTTTTTTCATTTTATGCTTTCCCCGGACACAATCTGTCTCTATCGCACGTACCACAAACTATCAGAGCTGATTTTCTCCCCGTGCTTCATCATAGTTCGGTACCGGTTCCCGAAGCTGCATAGGCAAAAACATCGCCATGCTCGAGATGTCCAAGCTTATGCCCGTGCTGGTGCGCGATTTTGACTTCTCTCTGCCCGAAGATTCCAGCGCCAAGGAGTGGGACACTCAAGGCTGTATCTTCATTAGGCCTGCCTCCTTTGACGTTTTGGTGCAGCCGAGGAGGAAGAAGGTCGAGATTTGAGGGCTGATTCCTGAAACCTTCCTCGCGAGGGAAGGGGGGGGAGGGGGGTTTCCGTGATGTGAATTCGTCGTTGCGAAGGGGGAATTATAGTGGGCAGTCAGTGGTTTGAGAAATATTGTGTCATGGTACTTAGATAGCCTTGGATTTGAGTTTATCGTGAAGATCCCGGAGGATAGATGGATGCTGGGTATTACCGATTAAACATTTCCTTCCTTTTATAATCTAGAAGATCACGCCACCAAGTTCAGCCGATCTCGCAGTTACAGTCTTTATAAAGTCGACTGGGAATTTCTTCCTCGCTGCATGAGTTTCGTGCGAACGGGTTATACATCACTACAGTAGAAGTCATGTTGATGATCGGGACCAACTTCTACAATGCCTGTGCAAATAAAGCTCGCTCAACCGATTCGCCGTGTCCGGGGAGCTCCTTCGCCATTTGCTTCCCTCTCGAGGTTCCATGGCTACGCGACTCTTTGTAATCCCTGGCGGAAAGGGATCAAGAACAGTCCAAAGCAAAATAATCATTCAGCTTTCAACGACAGAACAAACCCCCCCCACCCCCCCTCCCCACACACAATTTTGACGATTTCACACCAGAAATACCGTATGTTCTTTCGTCATGTCATCGTCCTCGTGATTGTGTATATCCCCCTGCCGCCGTGTGCAGAGCGCCAGCAAAGGCTCAGGATAGCCCTTGGACTCCTCTTGTAATCCCGATGCGCTGCTGCCTACACTCGAAACCGGGTTCAGCATCTCTTTGAAATATATCCGGAAACGCCCGACGCGACGATAGACTCCCTGGGCCGCGGCAACAATTGCAAGCAGCAGGCCAATGCAACATCTGTCCTGCTGGGAGTACAGCAGCGGTAAGCACAGCAGGGTCCCGGGCACCGGCCGCTCTCCTCTTCCCGCATCAGATCCGTCCAAGCTAATCTCTGAGAAGCGGAGAGTGTCCGATAGCGAACCCATGCGTAGCCTAATCGCGTCCAGTATGTGAGTCTGGTGAAAATGGGATGAGATGTCGGTGCTTGATGAAAAACATCGGGCCCCGGCACTGAAGCATGTCCTCCTCGCTGGTCGTTACTACCACCTCTGGGATCTCCTGATTGTCTCTGGGCCTAAAGAGTTGAGAAGGGCCCTCATTCGGCTTTGGCTGCAAAGCCTCGAGGGGGCTCTCGAACTCGACGGGCCGAAAGGGCAAAGAGGGCCAGATGCGTTTAAGAACTAACGAGGGGGCCCCACCAAACGGCTGCCGAGAATTACTGGTACACATTAGTATTAGTCGTGGGGGAAGCAGCATACGAAAAGTCGCCAAGCACGAATCATGATGCTGGACCCGCGCCGCGTGGCCCGCTTGGGAAGGTAGGGGTCGCCTGGCCGGTAGTGTCTTGGGCCCAAGCCTTGGTCCCGGGCAGGCGGTCTCGGCGCCGTGCCGGGTTCCGTGCAGATTCGTCTCGGATGCCCGACTCTCTGTGTCTCACACACCAAAATCCTGCACGCAGCGACAGACAGACGCCACGGTCCTCACCAGTAGTAGCCGGTGGTCGTTGAAGCGATTGTTCTTCCCCGAGTGGGCAGATGCAAGTCACGTGCATGACCATGCAAACACACGGGAGGACAGGGCCCAGACACTCGCGCTTTCTCCGTGATCCCGACAGGCCCGAAACAGGGGAGAGGCGGACAATTCCACGATATACTCGGACTGGGGTAAGTGGCCATCAATGCCTATGGGAGACAAACCCTGGGCCACCGCAACATCGTCCAACGAGATACGACGGCGGCAAAAGGTGGCGCGCGGCTCGCAGTAAGCAGGGCAGGTCAGCCCGCGATCTGGATTCCAAAAAACCCAGACAAGACACCAGGCGGCCGAAGGGGAAGGTGGCAAGAACTCCCATCACGGCCTCGCCTGGCTCGGACCCGGGCATAAACGGTAAATGGGGCAAAAGGTTTGATATCGCATGTGAAGGGGCTTACCCACCGTGAGATGAGGTCTTGGCCTTTGTGCCGTTGGGGCCTCCAGTTCGTCGGCCAGGGCACTGAGGCGCTTCTTGGGTGTGGCTTGGTACGGTGGTGGGCGGTTGCTCACTTATCACTTGGCAGCATCTTCTTAGTGTGCAGGATGACTGACTGGCAGCATCCAACTGTCCGAGAGGCGCTTGGCACGAGGCCCCCCTGGTCCCCAGAATAGCCGTGGGGCGGCCGCGACAACGCGAGCTGAGTTAGTGCCAGCACCGTGGACGCGCAGAATCGTTCTGGAAGCCTGCACATCCGGGTCCAAGTCCAGCCGTCAACATCAGCAACGGGACACGGGTCTGGCAAGGTGCGTCGCCAAGTAGCCCACGCCGGGGCTCGAGATTGAATCTGGCAGGAGACAAGACTGGACCAAGACGCGCCGCCATCGCGCCCAGTAGAGCAAAGGCTCTAGCGGCTGGGCAGCAGCTTCTTGGTGTCTGCAGCTGTCCTTCGGACAACTGCGGACCCTTTGCGAGAGCAGCGCGTGTGAGTGTAAGTGTGTGTGTGTGAGAGAGAGAGAGCATTGTCGCCTCCTAGGCGCCTCCGCCCGGGTCTACTGCCCAAGCGGATCCATCTATCCGACTGGGCCCGCTATACCAAGACCTCCCAAGACTCTCGTCGCTCCAGGATCATATAGAGCCCAGAGATAAGAGTCGTGATGGCATCCACTCGTCCACCCACTCCTGTTCTCTTGGCTCGCCATCGCGCATGCGGGTCCTCGTCCTGCAAGTTGCCCTCCAGCAATTCCTCCGCGCGTGGCTTCGCGTGGCCCCGCGGCGTACTTAATAGACGAGCACGCGACTTCTGATCGTCTCGGTCTCTCCCCTCTCTCTTCAGGCGTCCTTCCCAAGCACTCTCTCCAATCTTTGGTCTTTTTGTGAGAAGCTCGTTCAACAGTTTCGTCCTTCCTTCTGCCACCATGGGCGTCACCGACGACAAGATCGCCGTCGCCAGCAGCTCGGACCAAGCCAGCACCGAGCGCGGCGAGGCCAAGCACGACTATGTCGACGTGCTGCACGCCAACAACGCCGACTATGAGCGCATGAGCGTCTGGGGCCGCATGGGCATGACCGCCGAGTCCTTCAAGCGCCGCGACGAGACCGAGGCCAACAAGCACAACAAGTACAACCAGACCATGAAGGGCCGCCACTTGCACATGATTGCCATTGGTGGTTCCATCGGTGCTGGCCTCTTCGTCGGTACCGGCTCTGCCCTGCGCAGAGGTGGTCCCGCCTCGCTCATTGTCGACTACAGCATCATCGGTGTCATGATGTTCAACGTCGTCTTCGCTCTCGGTGAAATGGCTCTCATGTACCCCGTCTCTGGTGGCTTCTACACTCTGGTTACTCGCTTCGTTGATCCGTCTTGGGGCTTTGCCATGGGCTGGAACTACTGTAAGTCTTTTGACCTTGACCTTGCTCAACAGAGCATGTGGTGGGATCTTGCTAACAAGCCATCTCAGTCCTTCAATGGGCCGTCATTCTACCGTTCGAAATCGTCGTCGCATCCTTCACTATAAATTACTGGACAGAGGGCAGCGTCAGCCCGGCAATCTTCATGGCCGTATTCCTTGTCGCACTGACCTTCATCTGCTGTTTCGGCGCTCTCGGCTACGCAGAGGAGGAGTTCTGGTCCAGTTTCCTGAAGCTGAGTGCCATCGTCACCTTCCTCATCATCGGCGTAGTCCTTGTCTGTGGTGGCGGCCCTGACACCGGTCGGTACAATGAGTTCTGGGGCAACCGGTACTTCCAGGACAATGGCGGCTTTAAGAACGGCTTCCAGGGCTTCTGCTCCGTCTTTGTTACAGCTGCTTTTGCGTTCGCCGGCACTGAGCTCATTGGTCTTGCTGCCTCCGAGTCCAAGACACCCCTACTCACTCTTCCATCTGCCTGCAAGCAAGTCTTCTGGCGTGTTACCCTGTTCTACATCCTCTCGCTCACCTTTGTCGGTCTACTCATCTCCGCCGATGACCCGGACCTTATTGGTGGCAACGCCTTTGCCAACTCCCAGGCCTCTCCCTTTGTGCTCGTTGGCAAATACGCTGGCCTTTTCGGCTATGATCACTTCATGAACGTGGTCATCATGATCTCCGTCATTTCAATCGGTCTGTCTGGTGTCTATGGTGGCAGCCGTACTCTGACTGCCCTGGCCGAGCAGGGTTATGCGCCCAAGTTCTTCGACTACATTGACAAAACCGGCCGCCCCCTTTACTCCACCATCCTTATCCTAGTCTTGGGCCTGCTTGCCTTTGCCGGTGTCGACCCAGTCAATGGTGTTGAGCTGTTTGACTGGCTCCTCGCCCTCTCCGGCCTTGCCGCGCTCTTCACCTGGGGCTCCATATGCCTCGCCCACATCCGCTTCCGCATGGCGTGGAAGCGCCAGGGCCACACCCTCGACGAGCTGCCCTTCCACGCGGCTCTGGGCGTCACCGGCTCCTACATCGGCCTCGGCCTCTGCATCCTCGTCTTCATCGCCCAGATGTATGTCGCCATCTGCCCCGTCGGCGGCGGTGACGACGGCTCCATCTACAACTCCCCCGAGGGCTTCTTCAAGACCTGCCTCGCGTTCCCCGTCGTCATCTTCTTCTGGGTCGCTGGCTACATCTGGAAGCGCCCAACCTTCCTCACCATTGACAAGATCGATGTCGACTCGGGCCGCCGCGACATTGACTGGGCTCTGCACAGGCAGATCCAGGAGAAGCGCGCCAACGCCAGCTTCTTCATGAAGATCATCTACAAGCTCTTCTAAGCTGGTGTGTGAGGCTAGGCCTCCACTGGAGGGAAAAGTCTCTTGCATGTCTGCGGATTGGCGCAAAGCTTTTGTGTCGTCGAGCTGTGTGCTTTGGATTTTATGGTGGAATGATGATTGTGGTTTTGTTCCGTGCGGAGTTGCACGCAGGTCCGGCCGCACTGGGCGCTTAATACTGTTTCCTGGTACTAGATATCCCCGATGAATTCTAGACTTCTCTTTATACAACATGCACATTGTGACACGCTTTGATTAGATGCATGTGTAACAAGCAAACACAGAATGGAATATTATTAATGTGCTAGGCTTCTGAATTGACGTTCTCTCACCTTCTTTGTTCCTTTCATAACGGAGACATCTGATACCTTAGACAAGCGCAAACCGCCGCCGATCTCCCTCCGCCACCCAGTCCTCCCAGTCGCACCTCCTCGTCCTGTTCCTCCACCTGGTCCTGATCCTCACCGACTCGACCACGTCGAGCCCCAGGAACTCAATCTTGAGCAGGCCCTTCCTCTCCACCATCAGCGCACCGTCCTCGCACAGATCCCGACCCTTGACGGGCTTGACCACCAGACACACAATCGCGTCCGTCTCCTTGCGGTCAAAGAGGTCGATCCTGGCGAGCCTCGCCGAGTCGGACTTGCCGTCCGACGTCCTCATCGCCCGGATGACCTCGTCCCGGGGCTCACCATAGGTGCCCAGCACCAGACACAGCAGCCTCCCGTCCACAATCTTGTCGTAGACCGCGCTCCAGTCACCCCTGGGCCCTTCAGACATGTTGACCCGCAGCGTCGCGATGGGGTCTTGCCTGTGCCCGTCGCGCACCACGCCGTGGTAGGGCAACCGCGAGTCGCGCTCCCAGGCCCGGAGGCGGGAGACGTCGAGCGTGTACGCGTCCAGGTGGATCGAGGTGGCAAGGAGCAGCTTGTCGATGAGGTACTTCTTGTAGCGGGCGCGCTGGTGCAGCGAGGTGTACTCCAGCGGAGGGTTGTGCTTGGGCTGGCGGAAGTGTATCATGACAGACCCGGGACTATCACTACCGAGCAGGCTGGTGTAGCAGTGCGGCAGGTCGTCATGCCGCGAGGCAATCTCGCCGCACCAGCCGGCCCACGACCACGAGGGGAACAGCAACGACCCTGCTTGGCCGCCGTCCGCCGTGGGCCGTCCTCGCCGCCGCTGCGGGAACGGGTTCTCGCGCGGAGTCCAGGGCATGCTTTCCAGCAGCTCCTCCGGCAGGTCCTTCGGGTTCGTCAGCTCGTCGTCCACGGTGAGCGTGTGCAGCCGGTGCGTCCACGAGAGCCCGTAGACGAGTAGGTCCAGCGCCTCGCCGACCCCGGCCCTGCGCCCGACCCCGAGCCGCACGATCGGGGACGGCACCATGACGCCCGCGAGGCACGCCACCATGGCGGCGCTGCCCGCGTAGTAGCCCGCCACGCCGGCGAACGCGTGCAGCACGTCCCCCTGGCACGTCATCTCGCGGCGGGTGTACTGCCGGACCTGGAGCTGCGCGCGGCGGATGACGTCGACTTTCCGGTGGCACTTGTCCCTCCCGCGGACGTGGTAGTGCGAGAAGGCGTTGCTGTTGCCGCACACGAACCGGCCCGCGCGGTGGAAGGCCCGCAGGCGCTGCCCGTTGCGCGTGTGCAGCGTGCGCATGCGGCTGCGCAGGGACTCGGTCGTGTTCATGGCGTTGCACTCAAAGTAGACCTGGTGCGGCGTGAAGAAGAGCCGGCGCGTGCTGAAGAGGCCCTCCTGGAACGTCCACGCCCGGGTCGACCAGGTCGACTGCTCGATGGACGTGTGCGGGTCGGGCAGTGTTGATAGCAGCGTGTAAGCGCCCCGGTCGAGGACGGTCCGGTGCTGGCGCCATGATCGCCGCGGGAGGCTGACCCCGGGCAGGCCGCTGTTGGAGTCGGTTCCCAGGGCGAAGATTGTGATCTTGGCCCCCTCGTAGATGGACGCCATGCGGTTGAACTGGTTCTGCTTCTCGGCCTCGTTGGTCTGGTCGATGCAGTACTGGTCCACCCACAGGTACTTGAGGTGCAGCTGCTTGACCACCGCGATGGCGTCCCGGATCGTGCCGGGGACGTTGGCAGGGAGCTTCAGCTTCGTCACCGCCGGTCGGGTCGAGCCGGGCCCGCGTTGTCTCGTCACTACTACAGCGTGGGACTCGGCTCGAGATGGTTGATGGACGGTGGTGGTTGTCGAGCGGGTGTTGTAAGCCGGCGGCGGCGGCGGCGGCGACAGCGACAGAGACAGCGCGGCCTCGCTCGATCCCGGGGGAGCACCCCAGACGTAACTGAGAGCGACGTACTCGGAATCCCCGTCAAACTCCTCAATCTCGAGATCCGGCGAGCGGCAGTTGATCACCCGCATGCCCTTGACCTCCGGCTTCTTCGGGTTGCACAGGTCGCGGTGGCTCGCGCAGGTGTCGAGCGAGTGCTGGACGATCCTGGGCTCAAACCACGGCGCGACCTCGCGCATGTCGAAAATCTCGGACCCCCGCCGCCCGTCGTCCCGGTCTCTGCTCCTCGGGAAGATGGCCACGATCCCCTGCGCAGAGATGTGCTCCTTCAGCTCGTCCTTCCAGTTCAGCATCCTGGCCCCGGCGGCCCCACCACCGCCCGGCACGACGGCGATGTGGTACGGCGCGTTGTGCAGCTTGAGCATGTTGCGCGAGGTCGGGAAGTCGTTGACGTGCGGCAGGTGCCGCAGGTGCCGGAAGATGTGGATGCGGTCCTCCTCGTGGTAGTCGGCCTCGCTCCCGTACCGGGTCAGGAACGGCACGATCCACGGCGCCCGCAGCTGCCGGCACAGCGAGCAGTTGACATTGCTGCTGTTGTTGTTGCTGTTGCTGTTGTCATCCTCCCCAGGAATGTGCCGGTAGTGGTGGCCCGCCCTGGCGATCGGCTTGCCGCGCCAGGTGAACCGCCGGGATGGATCCTCGGCCAGCGTGTTGGTGATCTCGGCCGTGAGGAGCGGCTCGAGGAGGGTGCAGAAGTGGCACAGCATTGTGGTGGTGGTGCGTATAATAGTCTGTCAAGGTTGACACCGGCTGTTGTCTACGGGGTCTTGGGGAGCCGGTCGAGATACGTCAGGTTGTTGGCGTTCTGCATCTGGTTAGTAGGTGTATGAGGAGACAACGCTGGCGAGATAGTTTTGATTTGGCTTACACATACGTGCTATATCGATATATCTTGTCTGTCTTGTCTGTATCGGTAAGGAGACGTGCTACAATAGTGCTCATGATTGCGAATGCCGTTCTGCTGGTTCTGGGAAATGAGACTCGACGGTGAGAGAGCCAGTGCTAGTACTGTTGGATGTGACTGGTGCAATGCTGCCATTAAGAAGAGTTTCAACACACTGGAAGCTCCGGTGAAGAGACCCCTTTGCATAAGGACAAGATCAAGATTTGCGCTGGACACGGGTGTGGGGTGGGTGCCAGCCTTCTTAATGCTCAGGGAGGGTATTGCGCTGCAAGTGCTGCGCGGTTGCTCCGGGATCGGGTGTTGTCTTTGAGTCAGCTGCTCCAAGGCGCTTGCGTGTATCGCAGGGAAAAGGAGCACAGGTGAGGGGTCGAGAAAGTAGAACAACCTGGGCTGTTAAGTGCCAGAGTGCCTTGTGTGTACGCCGTGCTCGGAGCACTGGAGACAGAAACGGATGGATGTAAACAAGCCCCGTATCAGTCTGTGAGACGATTGGGCGAACAGGAGAGACACACGGGGAACTCTGTAGAAGTTCCGACCTGGGGTTGAGCGCCAGAAAGCCCTGGGTGATCATATTCCCGATTCTGCTGCCCTCATGCGTATGTCGAGCTCGAGCTGAAAACACGGAGCTGCAGCCCAGGCACACCAGCGAGGCAGACTCGTGCCGTGCCGCCCGTCCCCGCGCTGGTCGGGTGGTGTGTATGCGGGTATGTTCAGCTCGTCGAGACATCCCTGGCCAAGACACGCGGTGAGGGAAACGTGATAGGCTGACTGCAAGGCATCGCGATTGGCGAGCGACGTTGACAGCCAATCGCGAGACACCACTAACGAGGAGACAGCCAATCAGATTGTGTCGTGCAATGCTGGGGTGGCCTGTTTTGGAGACGCGTTGGGGAGCCTTAGACGTTGTGCAGAGCACATGGAGGGTTGCTCAACTTGCACGACAACGGTTGATAGCACGGCGTGGATCGAGGCAGAATCTTTCTCAAGTACCTAGTATGTTGATAGACTTAGTTCGCGGGTTCACCGCGGCCCTTGAAATGCACGAGTTGGAAGGGGGGTTTCACAGTGTTAGAGAAGGGGGCTTGCGAAAGCAATGCCTGCCCTTGTACATGGGCTTTGTGTGAGGCTTCCCGTACTTTACCTTGACCCATTATGGTGAAACCTGTCACACTGAGTCGGCATGATCTCGTAAGGCTAGTGGCAGCGCAAATACTGGGGATTAGAACTTGCTGAGCCAGGTTTGCTTCATCGTCCACCTGCAAAACAGCTTGACTCTGATGTTGTTGCATCATGGCTGGCGGGGAGCAGGGACACGATAGCAGCAGTACTTACCATAACAACTTGCCTTCTATTGGCCCAAACATATTCGGAGAGGGCTTTCCAGTGCTGTGGAAGCCTCACCAGCGATCAGTCTTACCTCAGAGCGGAGCCGAATCCAGCTCAACCCTCAGCAGATACATGAACTCGCGCAACTCGGCCTTTCTCGACGGCGACATATCTCCACCCTCTCTGACTCCACGTAATACCTCTACGATAATCCTGGCAGCTTCCTCGCCACAGCCCAGGGCGACCCAAACCTCTCGCGTCCCCGGGATTACCACTTCCGACCGGCTCGCGAGCAACACGACAACACGTTCCAGCCGCGCGACCAACTTCTGCATCTCTGCAAGCCGCCGACGCCGGGCCTGTCCTCCACGCCCCCCGAATCCAAATACTCTAGGGACGTTGTTTGCATCACTGCTGGGGCTCCTGCTGCTGCTGCTGCCGTCATCTCCGTGGTGGTCCCGCTCCCACTCCTCCAGGGGTGGCAGTACTTTCTGAAAATCCTCCAGTATGTCCAGGACACAAGGTAGGACAGCACCGTACTTGAGCAGCACGTGGGCGAATTGGGCATGGCCGCCACGCAGGAACGCGTGCAGCAGCGTCGTTCCGGACGGGGCGGCCAGACTCGCGTCCAGTCCGCCGTGCGTGATGTACAGCGCAAGCAAGTCCGGCGCCCAGCACGCGTCGCGGAGCGCGGCGAAGCTGGTGACGACGGAGGAAATGGAGAACCGGCCTGGGTTGTCTGCCTGTTTCCCAGCAGCAGCAGCAGCAGCAGCAGCAGCAGCAGAAGCACCGCCACTGCCGTCGATCAGTGGTGGCAGCTGGGCGCCGGTGCCGCTGCTGTGCGTGAGCAGCCATTCGACTACTGGCACGGGGTTGCTGTCGTTGACCATGCGGGGGATGCATCCCTGTGCCAGTGTATAAGCGGGAGGGCTTGGTGAGGGTGAGAGGATGGTGTTCATGATCCAGGCCGTGTCCGCTTCGTCGAGTTGCACTGATGCGTTGTGGAATGTGTCCAACAGCGAAGTGGCCGCGTCTGGATTGGGGAACCACGCGGCGATGGCCATGGGGGACAGGCGTGGTCCAGGGCATCGCTCGGTGCTGGCTCCTATCCTCAAGAGGGCTTTGAGGATTTCGATACGACCTTTTGCTGAAGCCCCCTGTTGTGGTTGGGACCTGGGATTGTGAGAAGTGTCGACGCAGACTATGTCTATTGCACGCATAGGAGGGGTGTCGCGTGTGTGGCCGCCGTTTGGCGTGCACAATGCATCCGGGTCAGCCCCGGCGTGGAGCAGTTCGGCAGCCTTGTCCCACCACTGATTCCAGCAGGCGAACTGGAGAGGCGTGCAGTTCCATGGGCCGCCAGGTACGTCGACGTCTGCGCCCATTGCCAAGAGGCATGGCCTGACCTCGTCCCCGCTCGGGCTGCGGACCGCGTGGAACAGCGGAGTCAGGCCATGGTAGTCCCTGACGTTGATGTCGATGGTGGTCGCATGCGAGCTCTCGAGGCACAGCCACTTGATGAGAGCCACACGGCCATGGATCGCCGCCGTGTGAAGAGCGTGCTCTCCTCCACTGCCATCCATCTTGCCCGGAAAGTTCAAAGACGCCCCTCTGGCGATCAACAGACGTGGCACGTCATCCTGGCCAGCACATATCGCCGTCCTCAGTGCGGGTTCCGCCCAGCCGCCTGGTGCCCCCGACCAAGAGCGGATGTGGTCATCGTCGTCCGGCGGCCTTTGCAGCAATTTGTGCCTGGAGCGGTGTGAGTGGCAGAAGTCTGGCGCAAGTGTGTCGACATTCGCACCATGGTCCAGCAGCATCTCTACTATGCAGACATGTCCTTTGAACGCGGCAAGGTGCATCGGCGACAAAAGCCAGCTGAGAGAATGACTGAACCATGGCGTGGCCGAGTTATCGAAGGACTCACCCTCAATGGGCTCGCTGTAATACTTGCGTAGCAACTGCATGTCTGGCAGTCTGGTAGCTCCCCGCTTGTAGCTTACTTCTTCGCCTACAAGATCACGCTGGCATCTAGTGCGTATGGCGAGGTACTCTGCGCCCGCTGCCAGGAGCATCTGGACCGTGTTTCGTCTTCCACATTCCACAGCCCAGACCAAGAGCGTCGGGTGAATGTGGGCAGCCTTCTTGTACAAAGCACTGGTCGCGATCGGATGAAGAGGCTGACATGTCTGTGTCAAGGCTGCCAGGTCGCGCACGGTTAGGAAGTGGGTGATTTGAAGCATGAGCTCTGGAGGCAGAGTTGCAATGAAGCTCTTTCGGCCAGCCGTGTCCAGCATCATCGGTGAGACCAGTTGCGGAGAGATCGTGGATGGCGGGTGCTCGCAAACTGGTCCTGAGTGATAGTCTCAACTCCTGACAGGACCTCAAGGCAGCAGCCAAGACAGGTTGCCGGGTGATGGCCCACACCAAGAAACGTTTAGGATCAGTGCGACAGCCTGACCAGGGGAAGGTCGATTTTCAGTACCCCTGACGGAAAGTGGGACGCGCTTCACGGTCTCGCCGGTCTGCGAACAGTTCGACAAAAGTTGTCGAACACCTTCCAGTTCTTTGTAAATAAAAAAAGAGAGCCAACAGCTGCACTCCCCCCGATTCTGGTACGGCGAAGAATAAACGCTTGGATGCGAGAGCTCCAACTGAAAAACCAGGCCCGAATTGTTCTGCCATTGAACTTCTTCTCGTTCTGCCATCTGGTCTAGTGACCCGAGCACGTAACCACTAGGTAAGTATAGCCATGCAAGGGGCATATTTACGGTGAAGACCATTCAGCCAGATAAGGGGGTAGATCTAGTCTATACATAGGCCCTTGATCTCAAGAAAATGTTTTAGCGGCCTTTCTACTACTAGTTCGCTATTATACATGGATGATCACTACCATTTTTGACCTATAGTGATGAAGAGAAATCAGACGAGTCACGAGGTATGTCAGAGTAGTTCGAATTTGTGCGACTGGTTCAAATGCACAGCTGAGGCCAGTTTCCAATCATCATTTGTGGCGCGCCTATACCCTCACAGTGGCTCATCGCAGGCTTTTTTCATTTCAGTTCCTTTGAAAGTGATGCACGGTGTAAAGAGCAGCTGGCAGTCACGTTTGGTCGCTTCGATGCAGGCACAACCGCTCCGGTTCCGCAGATTGACAAGGGTTTGGTTCTCATCCTTCGTACCCTCCCAATTATTGGAGAGGATCTTGAACCGTGGAGCTAGCGGCTTGGTTTCTGATTACTTTACATGAGCTCGAATTCTATGTACCCATACTGTTTAAGCAGCATGAGAGTCGCATACACCAGCGCGAGCGGAGCACCTGCCATGGCCACTTTGTCCTTGACCATTCCCTCGCTCCACGACCCAACCCGCGCGTAGACCTTGGATGCATGCCTCAGGCACACGAGGACGAAGAGCATGATACGAAACAAGGCCCACCAGGTCCGGAGACGTTGTCGCACGGTTTTCGCGTCTGCTGCGGGCTGCGCGTGGATTGATGCCTTGTCCTTAGCTGGAGTTTGCCATCGATTCTGTCAGTCAGTAGATTTGCTTCTTCGCGTAAGGTGTCTGAGAGCTCACAAGCAGGGTAACCGGCGATGTCGGAGTTGGAAGGCTTAGAGTCCAGCGAGGTTGGCTTGTCCGACATTTTTCTCGCGAAGCCACTTGCAAGTTGTTGCCGGTGTTGCTGTCGTAGTGCTGGAGTTGTTGGTAGAGAAAGGAGTGAAAGATGGTCGGGCCAGCAAAGCTGCAGCAAGTTTGGGGCGAAGTATCAAGCTGTTCGACCCCAGTCCCGACGCGCCAGCAACATTTCCATCTACATTTTGGACGGAGGCAACTCGGAAGCGGTAATAGCGAAGGCTCTTGTCGCTTATTGTCGTTGGTAAGGGCGGCAGGCAGTGGTTGGGGGTGCCAGCCTCGAGGCACTTACCCTGGACAAGCGCCGCGCACATGGGGGCAGCGGTGGGTCCTGGTTTGGCGTCACGCTACGCTCATCACGTCACCGACCACGGGGCACCTTCCAGGCCGTGAGCCTCCTCCGTGTCTGCGACAGACAGGCACCGGCGCCCCCAGTGGAGACCCGCCGCTTCCACATCGCACGCACGCCTTGCTTTCCCACACATTCCACGCCAGAAAAGTCGTCGTCTGCGGTATCCAGCTGCGCATCCATTGCGGCCCCCTCCCCTCGACGCCGCCACCATATCGTCCCAATCGCCTCTCGCCGCGCCCTCCTCTGATCGCGCTGCCTTCCCACCCAAGAGCGCCCTCCAAGCACCCACGCCTCCGGTTAGAGGGGGGACAACCACCGCCGACGCCGCCTCCTACGAGCTCGACGACATTGGCCGTGCCGCCCGCGACAGACGCATCCAGGACAAAAGGGACACGAAACGGCGCTGGCTCGACGAGCAGGACGAGATGAAGTTCTCCCACAGCATCCAGTTCAATGCGGTGCCCGACTGGAGCAGTCACTACATTGCCTACAGCAACCTCAAGAAGCTCATCTACCACCTCGAAAAGTCCGTCCACCAGTCCGGGCCCTCCGACGTCGAGACCCGCCCCCTCCTCACCAATGAGGACCCCGAAACCGTCTTCAGCCGCGCCCTAGACGTCGAGCTCGAGAAAATCTCGTCCTTCTACACCGTCAAGGAGAAGGAGCTCTTTGACGAGGTCGACGAGCTACTTCGCGACATCGAGAATGTTGCTAGTGACGAAGATGGCGACGCGTTCGCCGCCGGGCGGCCACCTATGCACCACACCACGAGCGAGCAGATCGGCCATCACCGCGGGCCGCGCAGCTCCCACAGCGGCCCCAGCGTGCGGTCTACCGAGGACGGCATCGAGGACAGCGACGAGGACGACGAGGACGCTGACGAGACGGCGGCCCTCACCAAGAAGCGCCGCTCAATCAGTGGCAGTGCTGGCGGCATGGCCCGGCGTCGCACCGTGCCTAACCTCATGCTCAACTCGACCGACCTGACCGCCTCGATGACGGAGAACACTAAGTCGCGACGCTACAGTACCACCTTTGACGATTACGCAGAGACGGCGCAGCTCTACTCAGACACCATCATGCTCAAGAAGCGCATCATCAGCCTCTACGTCCAGCTGTGCGAGCTCAAATCGTACATCCAGCTCAACAAGACAGGCTTCAGCAAGGTGCTCAAGAAGTTTGACAAGATTGTTGACAGGGAGCTGCGGGCTAAGTACATCGCCAACCACGTCCAATCGGCATACCCCTTCCTGGATGACCGCATTCCTGAGCTGGACGACCGCATCCAACAGATGGTGGACGCCTACGCGGAATATGTGACGCAGGGCGACGTCCAGGCCGCCAAGAAAGATCTCCGCTCCCATCTCCGGGAGCACGTCGTCTGGGAACGCAACACGGTCTGGCGCGATCTGATTGGTATTGAGCGACGTGCCGAGGCAGCCACACTCGGATCTGCTCTACTTGGCGGGCGGGTAGACGGTTCCAAGCTGAGGCTGCAGGGAGATGAGGCCCCCAAGACGCCCATGAGGGAGATCGAAACGCCTGTCGGTCGGCTCACGTGCCCTACATGGCTGTTCGGCACCACCACATTCACTCTGATCGGCATCATCGCCATTTTCGTTGCCCTACTGTTGGCTCCCATCATGGAGAAGCCAGAGCAGCAGAATTGCCTGGCCATGCTCGTGTTTGTGAGCCTGCTGTGGGCTACCGAGGTTTGTTTTGCCGAATCTGTGTGCTAAAGTCCGTTTTGCTAACTCTTGAAATCAGGCGATACCACTCTTCGTTACTTCTCTGTTGATTCCCTTTTTGTGTGTCCTGCTCAACGTCGTGCGGGCGGACGATAAGCCCTACAAGCGGCTCAACTCAAAGGAAGCCACGGCCTACGTGTTCGCGGCGATGTGGACTCCAGTCATTATGCTGCTGCTTGGTGGTTTCTCGGTCGCTGCGGCCCTTTCCAAGTGCACCATTGACAAGAGAATTGCCACTTTTGTCCTGAGCAAGGCCGGCACTCGCCCAAGCACCGTCATCATCGCCAACATGTTTGTTGCTGCTTTCGCCAGTATGCTTGTCAGCAATGTCGCTGCTCCTGTGCTGTGCTTCTCAATCATTGAGGTAAGTCAGCTGTCCAGTTCAAGCAAGCGAGCACTCAGACTGACACTTTTTAGCCCATGCTCCGCAACCTTCCCACGGGTTCCAACATGTCGAAAGCTGTCATCATGGGCATCGCGCTTGCGTCTAACGTCGGAGGCATGCTTTCTCCAATCGCTTCCCCCCAGAACGTCGTTGCCTTGGGCATCATGGAGCCCCCGCCGACCTGGGGCGAATGGTTTTTCATCGTCATCCCCGTGGGCATTGTCTCCCTCGTACTGATCTGGGTGCTCCTCCTCCTCACCTTCCAGCCCGGCAAAGGCACAACTATTGTCCCGATCCGAACTGTTCGAGAGCGCTTTACTGGTGTGCAATGGTTTGTGTCGATTGTCTGCATCAGCACGATTGCACTCTGGTGTGCAAGCCACCAGCTCGAGTCCACCTTTGGCGACATGGGCGTGATTGCCATCCTGCCCATCGTCATCTTCTTTGGTATTGGCATCCTCACCAAGGAGGACTTCAACAACTTCCCCTGGACAATCATCATCCTCGCGGCTGGTGGCTTGTCCCTAGGCAAGGCTGTCAAATCGTCCGGGCTGCTGCACACTATTGCCGAGGAGATCTCCAAGGAAGTGGACGGCATGGATCTCTACGGCGTGCTGCTCATCTTTTCGGGTCTGACCCTGGTCGTTGCCACTTTCATCAGCCACACTGTGGCCGCCCTCATCATCCTCCCCCTGGTTGCCGACATTGGTCGCAACATGGACGAGCCACACCCGAACCTGCTCATCATGGCCGCCACCCTCATGTGCAGCGCCGCGATGGGTCTGCCCACCAGTGGCTTCCCCAACATGACGGCCATTATGAAGGAGGACTCGACGGGCCAGCGCTACCTCCAGGTCAAGCACTTCATTAGTCGTGGCGTGCCTGCTAGTGTGCTCACGCTGGCTGTCGTTGTCACTCTTGGATACGGCGCTATGCGGGTGATCGGGATGTAAAGCGCGGGCGTATGTCTGCCCCTGTAGCTGTCTTTTGTGTAGTTCTCTTGGTTGCTCGAAGTCATCTCGTCACTAGACGTTGTTGGCAGGTGTCATACATTGCATTGCATATTGAGCATAAAGTTGTCAATTATTATCGTCGGTGCAATGCCGGTGTCCTACATATAAAACTGTTTGGAATAAGACAAAACCTGTGTGAATAAAGAGTTGGTTCCTAAGCCTTTTCCTCAAGCATCGCCACCTGCCTCTCCATCTGCCACTGCTGCTGCGACCACAGCTGGTGCCTGCTTGTCCGCACCCGCCGCAACCGGTTGCTGGGGCATGTTTGCCATGACCTTGCCAAAGAACGACAGCGCCTCGAGTCCCGCGCCCAGCAAGTCGGCTGCTTCCCCGCCACCTCCTCCTCCAACGCCCGCCGCCGAAGCCTTGCGCGGCGCGCCGTCGCCATCAGCAGCGCCAGCACCAGCCTGGCTGCTGCTGCTGTCGTCTGTCAGGGTCTTGCTGAGCCCCTGGAACGCGTTCATCACCTTGAGCATCTTGAACGCGCTGTTGATGTCTAGGCCCGCTGGCATCGGTGTGCCTTCCCCTGCAACTGCACCTGCTCCAGCTCCTGCGCGGCCTCCGTTGTTACTGGTGCTGCCAGCCAGTGCCCCAAGGATGCTGACCAGGTCGAGACCACCACCGCCAGCGGCAGAGCCCTTTTTGGGCGTCCCGCCGGCGGTGCTCCCTCCTGCGACCGAGCCCAGCGCGCCTAGGAGGCCAGCAAGGTCGAGACTAGGCCCGGAGCCTTTCTTGTTGGCCCCACCAGCATTGCCGCTGCCACCGGCCGCAGCGCCGAGTTTTCCAAGGAGGCCGAGCAGGTCTGCCGCCCCTGCTGCGCCTGCGCCGTTCCCACCGACGGGGTTAGATCTGGAGGACGAGGAGGACGAGGAGGACGAGGAAGAAGAAGAAGAGGAGGATGCTTCCGAAGACGGCTTTTTGGCAAGCGCGCCCGAGTTGAGCTTGCCCAGGAGGCCGAGGAGGTCGCCGACTGCCTCTGCGGCTCCGGCGCCAGACGATGAGGGTGACTTGGGCTTGTCGTTGAGCTTAACTCCTGCTTCTGTGTCGGGCTTGATCTTGACCTCGCGCTTCTCCTCTACGATGATCCCTGAAACCTCGCGACCGTCCTGCTCATCTACACCGGTCTCGGTAGTTTCAGCGGCGGTGACGATGACCTCCTCGGCTTCAACGACGACATCACCAGTGGAAGCGGCCTCGGACTTGGCGCTGTTGTCCGCCATCGCCTTGCCGAAGAACCCGATCAGGCCGGCCACCGACTCCGCCAGGTCCTGCTGTTCTTTGGTCAGGCCGCCGCTTTTCTTCTTCTTGGCCTGGCCGTCCGAAACAGAATCCTTTCCCTCCGCATCCGCTGCAGATGAAGCCTTGAGCATGTCGACACCGGAGGTCTCGCGCTTGGGCCTGTTCTGCTGGAACGCGGCGAGGATGTCGGCGATTGTGTCGCCGATGGGCTGGTCTTTGTTGTCTGCCACTTTGCGCTTCTGTTCCTGCTTGAGGAGGGTGCCAGCTTCTGTCTTTGGTTTGGTTGTAGAGCCCTCATCCTTTGGCAGCAGCGGGGAGTCGGTTCCTTCTGTGCTGTCGTCGCCGCCCGGCTTCTCGCGCCGCCACTCCTTGTCGCCGGTCTTGGCCTTTGTGTATTTCACTCCTCCTCCTTCCGTCGCTTCCTTTCCCCTTTCTTTACTGCTGCTGCTGCCGCTGCCGCTCTTCTCCTCGTTATTGTTCTCCTTCTTCGTCTTCTGCTTCTGCCCCTTCTTCGTCGCACCCGCCACCGCATCAGCCAGCGCATCGACCAACCCTTTTCTCCGCGCGAGCGCCTCCTCCTCCTCCCTGGCCCACTGCGCCTGCTGCGCCGACAACCCTCCCCACGGGCTCCTTGTCGTCGCCACCTGCGTGACCCACTCCAGCGCGTCGTCGTACTTTTCCCGCGCGACACCGGCAGGATCGGACCGGACCTGGGTGAAAAGGGACTGCCACTGCGGGATGTCTGTGCTGCGTGCGGCGGACAGGGCGGCCGTGGTGGCGGCGGGGAATGTGAGAGGCGCGGAGAGTAGCGCGGCGAGGAGGGTGAGGTTCATGGCGAGGGAGAGCTTGTGTGTTGTTGTTGTTGTTGTTGTAGTTGTTGATTTTGGTGCTCTTTTGAGTGATGCGCTTGGCTTCTGCTTCTGGGAGACGTTGGAGGAGGAGGATGAGGATGAGTTTGTTGGTGTTGGTAGTGCTGGTGGTGGTGGTGGGAGCGCTGCCGTGGTCTTGATGCTCGCTGGCGGCGGCTTGGTCGTTGCGCCGCCAGACTGCGCGGGTTTCTTGCTTGAGCCCATGCTTGAAGTTGAGATATTGGGAAAACCAGCTTGTGCTCGAATTTGTCCTCGATTTGGCAATGAGGGATAATAAGTCTTGTCAAGTCTGGAATGAGAGGACAGCCAAGTACCAGAGTGCTCTGTTCCGATAATCTAAGAACAAATGGTGTGTGGGTGATGTGATAGCTGGCGCTAATCACAAGCAAGTCAAGAGGAACTGAGGGGGTGGAGGAGGGAAAAGCTGGGGAAAATCCGGGGATCGCGCGTGCCAAGGTCGTCCAGCCTGGGAGGTTACTCCGCAAAGTGGCTGTCACCGTCGCAGCAGCCAGTGAAGTGGCGTGGCTGCCCACAAGCCAATTTGCGAGCAGCCGCCTGGAGCCATGTTGATCCCTGCATTGCGAGGCCCCTGGTCGGGGCTCATGCCTCGGCTCACATGTGGAGGTCAACGACAGGGGGGTGAATCTGGTGTGGTGTGTTGATCCCCAGTGGTAGAATGTGTGCTGCTGCTGCAAATAATGTGACTTCACGAGTCGCAGCTGCTCCTGATAGAATCGGCCACATCAAAATGTAAGGAATTGGTCGTCACCTGTGTGCTCTAAATCACGAAATGCCTGGAAGTAGAAACAAGGACAGGTCTTATCTAATCCTGTAGGCAAAACGAAAGTTCAGGAGCAAGCAGGCAACTCCTGGCTCGGCCACCTCGGCCAAGACAATTTCTACCGGCCTCGCGGCATGATTCGGCAAGGAGAGAATGCGAATGCCTAACCGGCAGCAACCCTCTTTCCATCGATCATCAGGCTGAATCATCGTGGGACTCAACACACCGCCTGCAGCAGGTCGTCCCCCCATGTGTCCAACATCCAGCCAGCCTGGTGCCGTTGTGACCTCCACACTAGGCGCGACTCCGCTTTGTAACGCGTACAGGCCAGCCATATGGCGCGACAACGAAGAAGGTATGGTACTTCCAATCTGCATTCCTGTCAACCTGCTCAAAGTCGTAGTCGCGGACAAGCGTGGCGAGGATCTTTGACAATTGGATCCTGGCTAGGTTTTGACCAGGGCATGAGGCATAACCTAGGCCAAACTTCAGATTCTCGAGGTTAGCAGAGACAAGACGAGCCAGCCAAGACCCGGCAAAGCAAACAACACGGAGTACTATCAGAAAATGTCACCTACCGGCATATAATACTTCTCCAGCCTCGCTGCATCGCCGCTCAGCCACCGCTCAGGCTTGAACTCCTTCGCGTCCGGGCCCCAGAACTCCGTGGAGGCATGGATCACCCACGGACAAACCGACACAATGGTGCCCTCGGGGATCACCCTGTCCCCAATGCTTAAACCACCAGCAGGGGCCACACGCGGCAACGTCATCGGCGCAGGGCTAAACACTCTCAAGGCCTCCTTGATACATGCCTGCAGATACGTCAAGTTCTGCGCATCCCCATACGCGATGACCTCCGCATCCGGCAACCCCGCGGCGTCAATCTCCTCCCGCGCCTTGGCCCATGCGTGCGGGTGGCGGATCATGTGGTACACGAAGCTCTGCAGGCCCGTGGCGACCGTATCTGATCCCGCAGCGACGGCGTTGGTCGCGGCCGAGTGCACGTCGAACAGGCTCATCCGGTCTGGATGCTCCGCGAGCGCCCGGAACCAGTGCGAGAGCACGTCGAACCGCGCGTCCGGGTTCGCCTCGCGGTCCTTGACGGCGCCCATGGCCGTGTCGACGATGTGCCCGAACGGCAGCAGTCCCGAGGCCGTCATCCAGGGGTTCGCGATCAGGCCGTGGAACCAAGGATAGAACCCGACCACGGCGACGTAGGCGTTCTGGTAGAACGAGTTGCGGATCGAGCCGCCAATGTCGCGCGCCTCGCGCAGGAAGCCGAACTGCTTGGAGAAGATGGACTCGCCGACAATGTCGAACGTCGTGTAGGTGAAGAAGTCGTCGAGGTTGATAGGTGAGTTGCTCGCCGCGTGGCGGTCCAGGTGGGCCTTGAAGAGGGCGACGACGGTGTCGATCCCGGACTCGTTGCGCAGCAGGCTGGAGAGCGTGAGGCCCGGGGCGAGGTTCTTGGACCGCGCGATCTTGAGCTTCGGGTCCGTGGTGGACATGGGGTTCTGGTAGCGCTTGTCCGGGAAGGCGATTATCGAGTACCAGTCGCCCTTTTTTGGCACGCCACTGGTCAGTAAGAGGGCTTATGTATGCAAATTCGTCGTTCTGTCCGGGTATTACCTTGTGCAGGGGAGCCAGCAGGATAGACTTGATGGCGTCGGGATGGCTGACGCTGATCTCATTGTGAGCAATGCGCACAAAATGGCCTGGCCACAGAAATGGAGTTAGTTCCGGGGCTGGTGTATCCAAGACATCGCAATCATCCTACCATGTTTCTCATGAAGAGCAATGAATTGATCGCTCTGATCGCCCTTGATAATGTGTCGGACGTGCCATAGCCGCGAGAACTGCGCCAGCCAAGGTCCTGGAATTCCGCGTAGCTTCTGATACCTCCAAAGAGCAATACCCAGAAGCAGCCCGAAGCCACTCGCAGCCAACTTGGTCGCGTTTGCCAATAGCGCCTGCGTCGCTGCCATATGCCCCATGACTTTTTCTGGGATCCGGGGTGTACCAGGAATAGCTCGATGAGGTAACAGCACTAAGTCGCCTTGCGCATAAAGAGGGATGAAAGTTGGTATGCTCGAAAGGCGACATTGCGGAGGGGCCGGGAGCGCACGTGTGAATCCGGACGGGTGGGCATTCGGAAGACAATCTCTATCACACCCTTGTAAAACTGCCATTCTCTCCACCCCATTGACACAATCCCCCTCCGACCAAGGCCATGTTGGCCATTCAGGAGGCCCCTGTGGGTTCCGCCCTCGGCGACCCCAAAGCGAGCAAAAGGCTGCGGATGCCAAGGATTTTCTGCAGGACGATTCCGTGAATGCAAGAACAGGAGAGGCGTGCCGAGATGCCACATTCTGGCCCGGACGGCACCACGGAAGGTGGCAATGTTGCGAGATTGTACCGGGGAACCTGATCCCGTGTGGAACTGTGGATAATTGTCCACTTTCCTGGCCAAAGGGTTTGGCAAGGGTTGCTCGGTCGGCTTTGCGGTCAATTTTTGGACGCGGGATGTATTGCCTGCCATGTTCAACGATGATGCCTTCTGGACTTTCGGGCTTTGTATATTTTGTGAGGCAGGGAACAAAAGCGCGTAGGTTGAGTATTCAGTTCCTGAGCCGTCACGGCACTTGGGGAACGTCTGTCTCTATGCGCGGTTTCCGGAACCATGACATCCATGTTTTAAAGCCCCAAGACAACAGCCCTGAGATAGCGCAAGTCCAGGGACTCCTCCGTGGCTGGGTTCAAATTGCCATCTCCGTCCTGCACGAAGCCATTGGCCAGGAAGAGGCCAGTTAACCTCGCAACTTCGACACGCTGCTTCAGCGCCTCGGATACTGCTCCCCCAAGGCAGTGGTAGAACACAGCCCAGAACTGCTCTCGGAGCTCGGCATGCTTGGGGAAGTAGCTCCAACCGTGCTCATTCATCGTCCGGATCCCAAGCATCGTCTCGAGCCCGCCCAGAGACATGCCAAAGGGGCTGACCTCTGCATCTCCCCAATCACAGATGCCCGCTATCTTGCCCGTCGTGGGGTCCACGTGTATGTTGTTCTCCAGGAGGTCGGTATGGTTGGGAACCAGTGGCCAGTCCGCGTCAAAGACGGTCGGCAGCTGGGGGATCAGAGTGTCCAGCGTTGCGTGAAAACGCTGGGGGAGCCCCTTACGCAGCCGTTGGAGTTGCGAGGAGTATTGCTGAAGGAGCTGCCCACGATCTGGTCCGCTCATCGACTCAGGCGTGTGGTGAAACGCCGAGGCGAAGAAACTGTCCGGTCTGGTCAGATACAAATATACTCGCTTACATCGGAAGGGCAGGGTCGGGAACGAAGAAAAGGGGTGAGGAAGGGAGCCGCCAGCCGGCTGAGGATGACTGACCGTGCGTAGTTGTCTATGGTGTTTTGGAGGAGCGCATAATTGTTCTTGTATAAGAGATCTCGGACAAGGTACATGGAAACGCCACCAATGTTGTTCATGGTGTAGACATGGAGGTGATAAAACAGATCATGGTGTTTGTGCTGTGGCGTGAAGCCCGGGTATGCTTGCTCGATGCTCTTCATCAACATCATGTCCAAGGGCGAATCTGGAGCTCGGAACTGGACGATGACTTGGCCCGCGTCGACAGTATAGCTATTTCCGCCCTGGCAAGCGGTTGGGGTAACGAGCTTGCCTGTCATATCACGCGCTTTGTCGTTGCATTGCGTCTGCGAGACAGGAGCGTTACGCTGGAAGAAGACGCCTATCTGCATCTGTGACAGCGCGGAGATGTCGACCGCCATTGCGCGAAGGCGTATTGTGTTTTTCTGTCTTGACAGTGTTGGGTCCGGCCTGATCGGCTTGTATGAGTGATGGGGCGGAACTTTTGTAGGAGAGGAGTGAGTTGCTCAGGGTATGTTCCAGTAGTATTCCACCTTGGCTCGATGATCGCGGGTGACCCCGTCACAACAAGAGAGGCCCCAGAAGTGAACGCACGGACTGTTGGTTCCAATGCGGCAACACGCCAACGCCTGCAACCGCCCGGCGTCGTCTACCCCTCGTTCCAGTATGCACGATCGACATGCTACGGAGACCCGACTCGCTGGTGCCTGGGCCTGCATGCCTGTCCATCACAGATGCGGCCGAAGTCATTGTCGGCATTCCGTGGTAGCTAAGCGTACATCTAACCCTGACCTACATGCCTGAATTACCTTGAGGTGGCATCGGTCCTGCAGCCACGCGTTCAACCATTCCTTGCTTGCTGCGTCTCGGTTGTTCTATCCCGCATCTGCTTCATCACACCGCCACCATTACCCCTGTCACTAGAGAGTCGTTCCCCTGCAGCCTTTGCCTGGCAGCTGGACCGATCAAGGTCACCCGGCTCGCCATCCCCATCGCATTGGTGTGCGAGGTGTGACTCTACACACTCCCTACCCAAATGCACATTCCCTGACCTGGCAAGCAACAAGCGCGGCACATGCCAGGCCCAATTCCCGCATATAAACCAGCCTATTTCAAGGGCTAGCCAACACGGCCCAACGTGCCCTACACCACCCAAGCCCCGGAACGCTCAGTGGGATCGAGACTGCTTCCAAAGTTTGCTGGTGCTCGGACTCCGCTATTCAAGGTGCTGCAGAGGGCGATACCTGTCACACGCCTGGGAACAGTGCATCGCAGGAGTCAACTGTAGGTTGAGCTGCAGGAGAGAAACTTATAGTTCCACTGCTGACTCTGATGATATGGTACAATTATAGTTACATGGAACTGCATGTCTCACAACTTATCTGATGCGGCCGAGTCGCCAACGCTGTTGCTTACACAAGTTTCTCGCCCAACCAACTCATCAGCGAAAGCTGACAGATGAGAACTGAAGAAAGGATGAGATCAAAAAGAAGAAACTATGTTTGAGCAGCAGGAACACAGTAGCAGTTCAGGTACATCTCGCCCTGGACAGGGGTCGCGGTCGGGGCAGGGAAGCCAGTAACTGCTGGACGCGAAGAACTGCTTCTGGCTGAGGAGGAAGTGGAGGAGGACATGGAAACAGAGGAGGAACGGGTAAGAGAGGAGGAGCTGGTCACGGTAGACGAGCTGGAAATGGAGGAGGTGCGGGTAGGGGCGGCGGGATCAGGAACGCAGTAGCAGTTGAGTGCGCCTGGGAAAGGGTTAATACCCGCGGTGGGAGAGGCGGTAACACCTGAACCCGGCGCACCACTGCTAGCCGTGGGAGAACCAGACCCAGTACCCGGCGGACCAGCGACAGGCCCAGCACCCGCTCCGTTGTTTCCTCCCGCTCCATTGCCAGCGGCAGGACCAGCGCCACCACCATTTGTAGACCCGGCGCCGTTACCAGGCGCGTTACCCAATCCAGGTGCGGCGCCACCAAAGCCTTGACCACCACCACCAGGAGAAGAGCCAGCGTTTCCGGGACCAGTCCCAGGAAGTGCACCATTGTCGCCGTTTCCAGGGATTCCGCTCCCGTTTCCGCCATTCCCAGGGACGACGCCAGGTCCTGGGAACCCATTGTTGCCGCCATTCCCAGGAGGTTGGCCATTTCCAGGAGGTTGACCATTTCCAGGAGGTTGGCCATTCCCAGGGGTTTGGCCGTTCCCACCCCCGTTTCCAGGGCCAGGGTTAGGAATGGCTGTAGGTTGGATGAGTACACTGCTCGATCGCGTCGGTACTCCCCCAGCCGGCGAAGATGGGCCCGTGGGAGGGAAAGCGCCGCCTTGGGGAGTGGTCGTGGGAGCCACTCCACCGGGTATGCCGCTATTTACAGAACTAGGATTAGGACTAGCTGTAGGCTGAACTTGGCCACTGCTGACGCCTGTTGGGGCAACGCTGGGCGGGGCGCTCTCCGTGAGGCCCGGACCTGGAGCACCAGTAGGCACGGGGTTGCCAGCAGAGCCGCTAGGTTGCGAAGACACTCCTACTCTAGTTGAAGAGAAGAGACTGCCCGAGCTGCTAGTTGGCGATGCGGTGCCGGGGGCAGAGCTTTGTGTAAGACCTGGTCCTGGAACACCAGTAGGAACACCAGTAGGCACGAGGTTCCTGGAAGAAGAACTAAGCGTCGAAGATGCTCCTACGCTGTTCGAAGGGAAAGCCCCACCCGAGCCGCTGGTTGGTGACGCAGTACCAGATGGGGTGCCATCCGTAAGGTTTGGTCCTGGAATACTAGTGGGCGAGGGATTACTCGTAAATCCGCTAAGTACTGAAGATACTCCTACGCTGTTCGAAGGGAATGCGCCGCCTGAGCCGCTGGCTGATGACGCGCTTACAGATGGCGTACCATTCGTGGGATCTGCCCCAGAAGAGCGAGTAGGTGAGGAACTACTTGAAGAAACACTGGAGATCGAAGATATTCCTGCGCTGTTTGAAGCAAAAAGGCCAGCCGAGCTGCCGGTTGGTGAGGTGCTAAAAGATGGCGCGACATTCGTGGGAGCTTCCGCAGAAGAGGTTGTAAGCAAGGGATTGCCAGAAGTAGCACTGGGTGTCGAGGATACTCCTGTGCTATCCGAAGGGAAAGCGCCGCCCAAGCTGCTAGTTGGCAACGTAGTACTGGATGGGGTACCCTCCGTGAGATCGGGCCCTGGGAACCCAGTCGGCAAGAAATTGCCAGTCGAGCTGAGTACTGAAGGTATTCCATTCGAAGGGAAACCACCGCCAAGTCCGCTGGTTGATGATACGCCGCCAGAGGAGACATCAGTAGAAGGTGGAGCACCATTGCCCTGGCTGGCGGTCGATGAAAGCCCCACGGACAAACTCGCTGAAATACCGGGACCAGCTTCGCTAGTGGGGATACCGGTGAAGGAGGTACCATCGGGAAGATCTACGGTCGGAGAACTCCCTGGGATGCCAACGGATGAGGACGCGTCGGGAATCCCAAGTACAGTAGACGTCCCAGTGGTAAGGATGTCAATTATTGAAGAAGTGCCAGTCGGCAAGTCAATGTTTGGAGTGAGGCTAGTAGAGAAGCCATCACTCAGTATTGAAGACGTGCCACTCGGCAGGAAGATTGTCGAGAAGGTGGTGGGGAGCCCATCGCTGAGGATTGAAGAAATGCCAGTTGGCAAAAAGATTGTCGAAAAGGTGGTAGGGAGTGTATCGATCAATGAAGAGAGACCAGTGGGGAGGTTATTAATGATTGAAGAAGTCGGGAAGCTTTCAATGATTGATGTAAGACCAGTAGAGAGGTTGTCGAGTACTGAAGAGGTTGGGAGGTTTTCGAGAAGCGAAGTAACCCCACTGACACCAGTGGGGAGGTCATCAAGTATTGACGAGGTTGTGAGTTCACCAATAATTGAAGTGAGGCTGGTCGAAAGGTTGTTAATTACCGAAGAAGTTGGCAGATTTTCAATAATTGAAGTACTGCCTGTGGGAAGGCTATCGAGTATTGACGAGGTTGGGATGTCATCGACAAGTGAAGTGACACCAGTAACGCCAGTGGGAAGGTTGTCAATCACTGAAGTGAGGCTTGTCGGGAAGTTATCGATGACCGACGAAGTTGGGAGATTATCAAGAATCGAAGTAACCCCAGTCGGGAGGTCATCGAGAATGGAGGTCAGGCCAGTCGGAGCGTTCTCTAGTATTGATGAAATTGGTAGGGTGCCAATGATTGAAGTGGACCCTGTTGGTAGATCATCAATGATCGAAGTCACGCCAGTCGGGATGTCGTCGATGATTGACGTAGCTCCAGTAGGGAGGTTTTCCAGTATCGACGAAGTTGGCAGGTTCCCAATAATTGAAGTGAGGCCTGTTGGTAGATCATCAACGATCGAAGTGATGCTAATCGGCGGGTCGTCAATGATCGATGTCAAGCCTGTTGGGAGGTTATCGACGATTGACGTGGCTGCTGTAGAGAGGTCGTCCAATAACGAAGAGGTGGGCAGGGCATCAATAATAGAGGTAAGGCCTGTTGGGAGGTTATCTAGAATTGACGAACTCGGAATGTTACTGATGATGGAAGTAAAGCCAGTCGGCAGGTCGTCAATAATGGGAGTGAGACTTGTTGGCAGGCCATTGATGATTGACGTAACACCTGTAGGCAATTCATCGATAATCGAAGTCACGCCAGTCGGCAGCTCGCCGATGATTGAAGTCAGGCCTGTAGGTAAATCTTCAATGATTGAAGTTAAGCCTGTTGGGAGATTGTCGATAATTGAAGTTTGGCCTGTTGGCAGGATTGAGGTCACGCCCGTTGGCAGGTCATCGATGATCGAGGTTACACCGATTGGTAAGATTGAGCTTAGGCCAGTTGGCAGAATCGAGGTCAGGCCGGTCGGTAGGTTGTCGATAATTGAGGTCAGGCCTGTTGGCAGGTTATCAATGATTGACGTGACACCGGTTGGTAATTCATCGATAATCGAGGTTAGGCCTGTGGGCAGTTCGCCGATAATGGAAGTTAAGCCTGTTGGCAGGTTATCAATGATTGATGTTACACCTGTTGGTAATTCATCGATAATTGAGCTCAGGTCAGTTGGCAGAATCGAGGTCAGGCCTGTTGGTAGGTTGTCGATAATTGAGGTCACGCCAGTCGGCAGGTCGTCGATAATCGAGGTTAGGCCTGTTGGCAGTTCGTCGACAATGGAAGTTAATCCTGTTGGCAGGTTATCAATGATTGACGTGGCACCCGTTGGTAGGTTATCAATGATGGAAGTGAGGCCGGTTGGGAGCCCATCGATGATTGACGTGACACCTGTTGGCAATTCGTCGATAATGGAGGTGATCCCTGTAGGGAGCTCATCAATAATTGACGTGACATCAGTGGGGAGCCCATCGACGATGGAGCTAACACCTGTTGGCAATC